GGAGAATCTAAAACCAGCGGTCATAGTCTCAGGATTAAAGGTCAGCCCTTTAGAACTGAATTGAGAAAACATTTCTTCACTCAGAGGGTAGTGAATTTATGGAATTCTCTACCCTAGAAGGCTGTGGATGCTCAGTACTTGAAAATATTCAAGACTGAGATCGATAGATTTTTAAAAACGAAAGGGATTAAGGAATATGGGGATAGGGCGGGTAAATGGATCAGCCATGATCTTATTAAATGGTGGGGCAGGCTCGAAGGGTCAAATGACCTACTCCTTCCCCTATTTCTTATGTAACAAATTACACTTGGGAAAGACGTTCCAGGTCACTGGACAATCAGGATTTTGGACCCGAGCTGGGAGTTGGGGTCAGAAGGGGAGGGGCTGGGGGTGGGGGGGCTGGTAGTGTGGCCAAAGGCACGGTCGAAAAGGAAGGTATTCCGACATGAATTGAGGGAGGCAAGAAATGGCTTGAGGTGGAGGGATTGTGGGATAAAGTTCCAGAGTGTGGGGGCAGAGATGCTAAATGCCTGACCGACAATGGTGCAGCAGGTAGTGCGGGAGACAAGAGGCAGACCGGTGTCCGCTGAGCGGAGGGAGCGGACAGGCTGATATGGGGTTATGAGGTCCCCATATCAGTCCTCCCCATATGAGGTCGGAGAGGTAGGGGGGAGCAAGACCATGGAGGGCCTTGAAGATGACCAATGGTTTTGTACTTGATTCTCTGAGGAATGGGGAGCCAGTGAAGCCGGGCAAGAACGGGATGATAGGTTCCCAGAGGTGTAGGAGAGGACACAAGCTACAGAGTTCTGAATAATCTGCAGCTTGTGGAGGGAAGAGTTGGGAAGTCCAATGAGCAGGCAGTTAGCGTAGTCAAGCCGAGATGCAATGAAAGCTTCTGACTCACAGGTGAGAGTGCTATCAACTGAGCCAAGGTGACACACATAACTACCATAGAATAAAATGAAACAAAATGCATTAATCATACCATTTGTTTACACCATCCATACAGAGTTTGAGTACTCTGCACACAACAAATTTTAAAAAAAGTTAATGTAGTTCCTTCCATAAGTAAATCTAACAGTTTTAAAGGAGATTATAAAAGTTTATTTTTATGTAATTGCTGCAATGTGTGTTTTATGCCTATAATAATGGTTGGTTTATCACCACTCATGTCCAACATTGCTTTTTATTGCTATTTGGTCTCTTCCTGGAGCAATAATGATGTATTTGACAAGGGCAAAAATATGGAGAATGAAAATGAACAGATTGTGGAAATGTTTTCTGTCCACAGCAGTATAACATTAAATAGAATCAACACAGGCAGCTAGTTACAAGTGGGTCAAGCCACCACACCACTAAGCTATACACATCGGAAAATTGCTTTGAATTCTAATCTGTACTGAGTTAACGTATTGAGCAGGGAAGCAATTGTGTCCATGAGTTCAGAGGGGAAATTCAAGCAAGCTTCCTATTATTATTATTATTGCTATTCGGATACATGCATGGTTAGGTAAACATTGGGCGAAAATGGAATTAAGTTCGGTTGTGACTCTTCCCCCACTTGACCAATGCGGCAGGGATTACGCCCATTATCTGTGGAATTGTATCCCGAACCATGAGAAATTTAGAGATGAGTTGGGAAAAGGGAGCAGTAGCAGCACCAAATACTTGGATGTGTTCAGTGTAGAGTGAAGTAATCATGACATTTATTCAGAATGATGTTGTGCAATTAATTTGATTTCCTGACCTTCAAGTTTTGATTTTGCTTTTGATTTTACCAAGAGAAAATGGGTCATTACTCGGAATATTTTAATTGATTGCAAATCCACAGAAATCCTACTAAATGTAAAAATCTGTAACCTGTTTCTCTACATCTCGATAGACTAGTGTGACAATGTAATTTGCCACATAATATTCTGCAGGGTCACCTTCAAGGGATGGAGAACATAGGATGGTTGTTTAGAAACAGGGTCATAGAAGGCATTGGCGTTTCTTTGCTTAAATGATTTATAAAAGATATTGATGGTGATTGAAATTTCAAAGGCATTAGTTATAGATACTGAGTAGAACTTTTAAATGTTTCACTGTGGAGCCCAGCTGGTTTAAAGTTTGGGGCGAATGCATCACAATTTGTGACACGTTAAACGTTATTATGTTAATTATGAGTAACCCTGATGTTAAAGTACCTTATTGACTGAATACATTAACTAATCTATTGGTGTGATTCCTCCTGACTCCATCTCAATGGTTGGGCCTGAAGCCAGCCACAATTGACTGCTGATTCACTCATTGACACGCTCATCAGCTGAACTACACTATAAAAATCAGAGTCTTCATTCACTCTTTTATTTTTAAGGATTTATTTTCTTAGCTACCCACTCGCCATTTCTGAAAGGAATTATCTGGGCCACGGGTTATTTGTTCTTCTCTGTTCTCCCTCTCTTTAATACAGTATTTAGCGTCTGACTCCATACTCATGCAGCTGGCTAAGACCATGATACTATGCATATATTGCTGGGGGCAAAAATAGCAAGAGATATAAATTAAGATTCTTCTCCACTTTGTTATACCATCACGAAGGAGCATCACCAGGAGCAAAACCAACAGCAGAGCAATGTGGAGCAGGAAGTTTGGATTATACTTCCTGCACCACACACTAAAATCCAATGTTTGCTTTTCAATTATATTAAATAGAGAGTCACAGTGGTCCAGCCCAGTGCTATTCACACTCAGCACGCTTATAAGTGGAGTCCTGTAGCTCAGTGATTAGAGCATCGCTCATAAGCAAGAGACCTGGGTTCGATTCCCAGCAGGGTGAAATGTTGGTTAAGTTTCCTTACTCCATAGCCTCAGTTCACCTAGCAGCAAGTAGGAACCCAGATGTTAGTTGATTAGCGGATCGCTTTTCCGGGGTTAATAATTCTTTAAAACCTTTTTTGTTTTTTAAAAATTGGTCACTTCAATCCATGACTGTTTGTGAGACACTGTTGTGCGCAATTGTCTGTTGCATTTTGTCCACAAAATATACAGTCAATTCACTTTACAGTATACTCTGTGAAACGCTTTGAGACGTCTCGAAGATGTGACAAGGCTTATTATTATATTATAATTGACCCAATAATAAGTCATGGGGCTTTTTACCATTGTTGTCAGTACTGACTTGCCACAATTCAAATGCATTAAGAGGTTAACAGTGATTGTGAACAGATTAGTTTAGTATGACCTTTCTCATTCTTTATGTATAGTTCCTCCTCTGCGTACAAAGCCCCACATTAGGACTGTTGAGCTCACAATCTAGGCTGACACTCCAGTGCAAAGTTGGGGGAGTGTTGCATTCATAGAGGTGAAGTCCTACAAGTGAGACATTAAACCAAGGTTCAGGTGGACGTGAAAGATTCCAAGACATTATTCAAAAGGAGAAGGGAATTTCTCACAGTGTTCTGGTCAACTTTTTCTAGATAAATTGATCATTCACTTCAAAGCTGATTATGGGACACTGCTGTGCGAAATTTTCTGCAAATCGTTTGTTACTAGGAAAGAAAATCATTCATAACATGATGCTGCAGTCATCTTTTGGATTTAAATTTTTAACTTAATTTGTAAAACAATTGAGATTTAACCTTGTAAGGGCGATAATGTGATTCAACATGCAGTCTATCATAAAATGTTAATTAGATACAATTTTATTTTATTCAGTGAATGCTTTAATGCATAATTCATCTGTTCTAACCTTTCTTCTGTGCATTAAATGCTTAGCATTTAAATTTTCACAATAGCAATTCAAGATGAAAACTCGTCATCTCTAATAGGAAAATTAGAAAACAATTGTGGTAGATCTTAACATTTAACACCAAGAATATGAATTCATTTCCAAAAAGGGCACCATTTATCCGTAAAGAACCATTTATGTTTTTTTTCAGCATTGTAAATATTCAACACAGTAGTACTGTATAACTGCAAAAGAACTACCCTCATGACTACTTCTAATCATCGGGCTCAGACGTGGGTGCAGGGCTGTAAGATACCAGATGAAAAAAAGTGCTAATTTCCTCATCTAAGAGCTACAGGAAACCAGTAGCAATGTTAAGACTAAATTCCACAACTTGACAAATTCTGGACAACCTGAAATGCTGAGTAAATCTAGAAACAAATGGAATTTCTCTTTATCAGAGACTCAAACAGAGAAAGGATCAGCGAGACAGAGTGAGAAAGTCTCCAAGAGGGGAGAGAGAAAAGGAAATCTAAGAAAGAAAAGAGGTGGAGAGAGATAAAGGCAGACACAGAGAAGGGTGGGTATTATAGTGGCAGTGTACAACTCTTGATGGAACAAATTTTAGTTATCAATGCATCCGAATTGTATTTTGTATGACAACCAATTATTCACACTGTTTGCTCATTCACAATAGAATTGGTCCCAATTAGTGTGGAAACCTTAGCTTTCTACTGTATTAAATTCAATGCCAAATGCTTTTACTATTTCCTCGAGGTAACCTGTTCATTTAAGGATGAGAATAAAATTAATGTTAACTCTACGTAGATGACGAAGAGCTAAAATTCAAGTCCTTTCTACTACCAACCTAATCATTTGCTTAGTACAGTAATGGGTCGGCTAATGTTTCACTACAAATTTAAACAAACAGCAGAGATTGGCAAAAATTCTTGATTCTATGTTGAATGACAAATATCAACAGGCAAAGCAGCCCAGACTGAACTCATCAACACTTTTAATCGTTAGGGCCAAGGTCAATGGCAGTACTGGCTTATGGAGGGGGAGGGGGGGTGGGTATTTGAAGGTAAGTGGAAGTCGACTCATGTCATTGAATCTTCTTTCTAGGTCACTTTAGAAATAGCTTCCCACTGAAGTCATGTTGGCATTTATTAAGGAACTGAAGAGGGCTGCAGGTTAGTTTAACATTGACTTTGAACCAATAACAATGCAATAAAATATGGTAGAACAGGGCTATCTGTATTCTGTTATTGGCAGACACATGATGTACCTTTAGAACGTCCAGTAGACCATTAAAGCGATCAACTTCTTGGCCAAGTACAGTAGTCAAAGAATTGAGGCGTCCCATTGCATCTTTAACAAAGAGTGATTCCAATCCAACCTCCAGGTCAAGTTTTTCTACGATAAAGAGGATTAAAAAGTGAGAATGATGCTTTTCAATAAATCAATTAAAATTCTTAAATTGGATATATCAAATACAGCAGGTAAGACTGTCCACTTTTAAAATGAAATTCAGCACAAAGAAGTGTGACTATTTCTGCGTGGAAAAATATGCTAACATTGGAACAAAAGAGACAATAGAATGAAATGTGTAGCAATTCAGAGCATCCAGAAAACAATTTGCTTTAATTTTGAAGCCTGTTTTCTAAAATGTATTATAAGTGAATTTGTGCTTTGGTAAAGCAAATTATAACAGGGCTGCATTATATTTGAAAAGATTCAGAGAAGAATGACAAAATATAAATTCTGCAAAGTATGAGGAGAGATTCAGAACCAAATTTGATTTAATTAGAGAAATAATTGGAGCATAATCCAGATTCTTAAAAAACTAACAGGAATGGAAAATGTAGACACATGGAGATGATGTAACTTGAATTTATTGCATGGACTAAAGGATAGAAGTGAAAAAAAAAGTGCCTCCAAGCAAGCCTGAGTAAAATGGAGTGTTTCACTTCAGAATATTACATATGGATAGTCATCTCCCAAGAACAGCAGTAAATACCCTGATAAATGCACAGTTTCGCCCACAAATATACATTCAATTCACTTTACAGTATATTCTGTGAAGCGCTTTGAGACATCTAGAAGACATGAAAAACGTTATATCAAAAGCAAGGATTATTATTATTATAACGATCCGGTTAGGATTACAGTTTTAAAGTTACACAGATAACCATAGAAAGAACATGATAACACAATGGAACTAAGCTGCTGGAACAGAAAATGTCCTGAGGAAGGCAACCAGTCAAGAATAAACTGTACTGAATGAGAAAATATTCTGGAATTTTGCTTGATTTACTAAGAGAAGAGAAAAATCTTCCTGAAGCTTTCCTGATGAAATACATTGGATTTAATGAACTTTGACAGAACAGATTGTACAATCTAGAGAAGATGATCAAATGTCTGTTTGTTCCTTTTTTTTACCTCCTTATATTTTTAGTAATTCCTACATTTAATAAGAAAATGTTGAAAAGACATCTGAAAGCGCTTCACAGAATTTACTGTAACTGTATTTTGTTGGTGACTACAGTGATTAAAAGGTTAAATTATGAGGACAGGTTACATAAACTTGGTCTGCATTCCCTTGAGTTTAGAAGGTTGAGGGCTGATCTGATTGAGTTTTTTTTAAATAATAAAACCTAGGGTAGATACAGAAAAAATATTTCCTTTGGTGAGGGAATCCAGAACAAGAAGGCATAATCTTAAAATTTGATCATTTAGGAGTGAAATCACAAGGCAGTTTTTCATGCAAGGAGTAGTGGAAATCTGAGCTCTCTCCTCCAAAGGTTGTGGATGCTGGGTCCATTCGCATTTTCAAGACTGAGGTGGATAGATATTTGTTAGGTCAGGATGCCAAGGGATATGGGACAAGGGCGGGTAATTGGAGTTGAGGTACAGACCAGCTGTGATCTTATAGAATGGCGGAACAGACTCGAGGGGCTGAATGACCTACTCCTGTTTCTATGCATCAGCTAACTTGCGCACACTGATATCCAACAAACAATCATGAAGTGAATGGCCAATTTTATCTAGGGGATTGCTGACCATATTAAAACAGCCAGGATATTGGGTGTTTTAATAAATTGTAAAAGACTAAACCTCATAATTATTTGTAAATCATTAGAGCTCGTCAGGTTCACATATACTTAAGGTTCAAATATACTTGTCACTCACTAGCATTGTGTTCAATTACTTATTCCTTAACTAATTCTTGTTTCTACTTTACTACTGCAAAACATCAAAGGTCATCCCAAGTTACTTTTATTGGAAAAGGAGGCAAAGTAAATTATTGCAAACCTGATGAATTCAAAGAAATGGGAGCAGGGACTCTTTCCACTCATTTAAGGCAAAGCCTTAAAGGATAAGCAGTGAGCTTGGCAACGGTGCTTTCAATTAGAAATTGTGCTGTTTTAGCTGGTTAAACTCCAGCAGTATTCCAAAACACAATGTGGTGTCCACAAGCCTGGACTCTTGCCAACCTGCGCCTTATACTGTCCTGAATTAAGTAAGCAGGGTGCATCTCTCCAGCGAGAGAATGCGCATTCCATTCAGACCCAGGGAAATTTCCATGTTCAGGTAGCATACAAATGTAAGGCTCTGTCTGGTGTGGATAATCTTAAGCATGGTGATGGGATTCTGCATGGGTCAGACATGTGGCTGACCCGCCCCAAAAATGTGACTGAATGGAAAGCTGAATGCTTGAAAGAATGTCTTAGTATAACCAAATCTGTAACGTATAGATAGGTTTGCACTGTTGGAATGAAGAACATTTGAACAATCAGTATATGTGTCATTTCTCAGAAATAGGGTCAAGTCCACAAAAGTTCTCTGTGAAGCAGATGTTAGCTTGAGTGATATTTTTCAAAGAAAATGTACCAAACAGAAGATAAATATATTTTTTTCTTCTCTTGGAAAAATCATTCATCCCAGAAATCAATTTCCCAGAACGATAGTTCAAAGCTATTTTTTCCCCCCATTTCATCACCCATTTTGGCTTCTTAAATTGAACAAACACTGTGAAGTAGCCACTGCAAAAAAAAACATAAAGAAAGCATTGGGGCTCAATACGGCAGCGAATGACAACTTTATGGGCACATATCAAAACTAAAATTAGAAAAAAAATTGCTGTTCTCGGATATGTCGGTGATTTTTTTTAGCTCTGAGCATAAACAAAACCAAGAAACTACCTACTTGATAAAAGTTTTGCTTGACGCCCATAAAACATGCAACTTGTACAGTATGATGCACAAAAAATTAATTTTCCATAGGTTTGCTAAAAATATATATGATTTAACAATTATATACGATAAGATTAGGAAACAAATCTGTACTTAATCCAATTGAAACACTGGGCCTAACGTTCCCTTTTAAATGTTATGATGTCAGCATCAAAACCCAAAGGTTAGTGCACGGAATTTGGGGTAGAGTTTGGGCCGTTTCAAACTATTATTAATCTATCATCATTGCTAAATATTATACACCAACTTAACTCAGCAATAAAAATAAATCAGAATTAAGATGGTATCCCATGATCAGACACTCAAATCACAGGCAGCTGTGTGCCCAATATTAATAATAATCTTTGCATTTGATTTTGTGCCTTATCACGTTGATGATTCATCTCATAGTGCTTCACAGAATGTATTGTAAAATTAATTGACTGTATTCTGTGGGCAAAATAATCATCATAACCAATTTGGAGGGATGGGGCGGGGGGGGGCGGGAGGATGTCAAAACATTGACAGGGTGTAATTTTATTATTGGTGATAATTACCCAAATTGCAAATTTTAATCCTTAATCCCTGCTGGTGTTCTGCTCTATTTGCAGAAAGATGAGAGCAAATATTTGTGTCTCTGATGGGATTGTGACCACCTTATATGCAACTATCTGTATAATGGTACTGTACTGGTCCATATCAGCAATTATGCAATCCACAGTCAAGGATGTTAAGTAACCCTTGGATATGAGAAAGATCTCACGCTACTATGCAGAACACTTCCAAGAGCTGTAAATTAATCTTTGATTGTCATCTGAAGATGTTAACATATGTAAAAGATTAACTTGAGAAATTCAGAAATGTTATTATTTGATGTTATTGTAAATTAGTTGCATGAATCTGATAAAGGTCCTAAATTGAAATTATCTTGAAACACAGAGAACACTAACATTTCAAAAAATTGTATGTACCTTTATATTCATTGCAGAGGCCTGCAGTACTAAGACATACCCCTTAAGGGCTGAATAAACACCACTGTAATGTTAAGCACACTTCAGCACATTGAGTTCTAATTATTGCCTAAAAATGGGTGTTTGGTATTGATTTTATTATACTTGGGGTAAAACAACAAAAAGGCTATTCCTCACGTTAGTTAAAGACACGATATTTTTCTTTGTGATGAACAATGAAGGTTAACATTTTAATGAAAGTTTCAATCCATATTCATATATTCCAGTTCAAGAACAGTAGGTAATGAACTTATCTTAACCTGCTTTGCAAATGCTGAATATTAAACTGCAGGTGGTTAATTTTCAAACCTGAAAATCCATAATTGTATGCATTTGTTATACAAATGAGCAAGCAGCCATCCAAATAAAGTGTTTATTTAGTCACCTGTAAAATACTCTAAGCTTAAACTCAGAGAAAAATACAACAGATTAGCCTTTAATATATGACTGCAGCTTGAAGTTAACTAAAAAAGCCTTTGGCAATTCCTCTAAAAATGGACTGACTGCTGAGGGTGGTCTCCTCTTGGAATATCCTACACTAACAAACTAGGAGAATAGAAACTATATACCACTCAGTTTTAGCTATATTTTATGAGAGTACTTTAAGAATGATATTTTAAAGATTTAAGGAAAACAACAGGTAAAACAAATGTTGAACCTATAGTAATATAATGATTAGTTAGTCACTATCAAAAGCATAGGAAAATGAAAATATATTGTACTTCAGCCAATTGACAAACAAAATGAGCTCCCCATCGAGTTTAAAATAGAGTAGCCTTTGCATGGTTTGTGGAAGGATGTGACAAATAGTATTGTTCAAATTCTAGCTCAGTTGCTTTTGGTTTGTTTCAGTCACTAGACCATAATAATAATAATAATAATCCTTGCATTTGATATAGCGCTTTTCACGTCGGGAGGACGTCCCAAAGCGCTTCACAGAATATACTGTAAAGTGAATTAACTGTATATTTGTGGGTGAACGCGGCAGCCAATTGCGCACAGCAATGTCCCACAAACAGTCGTAGATTGAAAATGACCAATTTATTATTGTTTTTGGTTTTGGAGGGATTATTATTAGGCTCTGTGTGGAGTAAGGAAACTTGCCCAAGGTTTCGCCCTGCCTGGAATTGAACTCAGGTCTCTCACTTCCAAAGCGAGTGCTCTAACCACTGAGCTACAGGACTCCACGAATTCAAGTGGTCAGAATTTGACAACCGTAGTAACAGTCTTTTTTCTTGTTTGAATAAAGTTGAACCTTCACGTAGAATAAAAAAAATCATGCCATGGGAGAAAATCACCCAATTTTTTTCAGATTTTTTCAATGTGATTTTCAGATTTTTGCAGCATGTGAGTAAACCGCATATCAAGCCCCAGTGTGGCGTTTGATACATAACTAATAAACACATAAATCGAAATGTTTCAAACGTTATTTATCCTTAACTCAATAGGTAATCCCCCACTCAATGATGTACTCTTAACCACATTCATTTTCTCCTTTCTCCTGGATAATATTGGGTGCAAACCAGTTAGTACTATCTTTGCCCTAAATCTTACCACAAGCTCATATTATTTTATTGACCTACTAGATACCCTGAATTAGAGTCACCGATGCCAAAAGCATACTGACTACTCTTTCACTACGAATACACATAATGTTCTTCCACTGTCATCACTAAAAATGACATTATGCTACTGACATTCTTGGTCACCCTTCCTTTCCTCCACAACTCCCCCTCCATCACTCTCGATGCCCTTGTTCCTCTCGCTTCCCGCACTGCCTCCTATTCATGGAAATCACTCTGGTACACCAGCCACCTCCGCTCCCTCAAAGCACAGGTGCGTGCTGCCGAACGCACCTGTCTCAAATCTAATGGTCCATCGGCAGATCTGGCTGGACCCTATCAAAACTTACCGCTCCACCCTCGCCTCTGCTAAATCGTCCTTTAACTCCAAGTCAATCTTGGAGGCCAAGGACAACCCCAGCCTCCTCTTCTCCATCACCAACCGGCTCCTCCACCCACCCTGTCACACCCTCCTTGGCTCCCTGCCCTCCACCCTTTCCAATCACAAATCCCAGTTCAGGTCCAAAACACTGACTGTCCAGCACCTTGGGAAGTCCTCTCAATGCGAAAGGCCCTATACAAATGTAATTTTGTTGTTGTTGATATTGATTTTTTTTCCCATTTTCCATCTAATAATTATTATGCAATAAACAAAAACCTAAAATACAATTTTTTTGTCAATATTAGCTATTTATAACCAGACGATTTTGAATTGGGGATAAATACGTCTCCAGAATCTGACGCAAGAGCACAAAGGGTTTAGAGAAACAGTTATGTGCCAGTTTCAAGTTGGAAATTTCCCATCGCCTAATGCATGCTCCAGCAACCCGAGCTCAAAGGATGATGATCTTCTCTTCACAAGCTGCAAATCATCCAAAACTCTGCATCTCATGTACTCTCACGCACCAGGCTCCATGACCCCATCATTCCCATCCTCGCCCGATTCCACTGGCTCACCATCCCCCAGAGGATCGAGTTCAAGATCCTCGTCCTCACCTTTAAGGCCATCCATGGCCTTGCCCCCTCCTACCTGCTGACGCCCTACCAACCTGCCCACTTCCTCCATTCAGCGGGCTCCGGTCTGCTCCATGTCTCCCGCCCAACCCACCCTACCATCGGTGGCCGGGCTTTCTGCCTCTCTGCCCCCACACTCTGGAACTCCATCCCACGGTCCCTTCGCCTCACTTCCTTCCTTGCCTCCTTCAAGGTCAGTCTCAAGACCCTTCTCTTCAACCATACCTTTGATCTCCCTCTCACCTCTCTGCCTTCCCTCATCCCTACATAACCCCTCCCCCATTCTCGGGCCCCGACACCTGACAGTTCAGCGCTTTGAGACGTCCTCCCGATGTGAAGGGCGCTCTATAAAAGTAATTTTGTTGTTGTTGATGTTGTAAACTCTACAGCTAAATCTCTGCCCATAAAGGGACATCGTTCCAGATAATGACACTTTTGTAGCAGATAGTTTGTTCAGTCAGATGATATGTGACATTTTGCTGCTAGCGTTTCTGAGCAGATTTTTTAAACTTACACTTAGCAGTGCTTCTGTTCTTGGCAAACGCATGCAATTATGGTTTATGTGCTAGTAACTCTTCCAAGTCCTGTTATAGTTATGATCTGTTGAAAGATTGATAACCAAGCCACATTTTCTGATTTTAAACAATCTGATTTGCTAACTAGCAGGTTTAGAGCAAAATCCATGAGGCAATATTCTCTGGTTTGCTTCCAGTATTATCCAGAAGTTTGTAAAGAATGAGCAGGATAATTGACTTCGATGATTATGCAGAACATAAATCAATTAGTAAATAACCGGCAAACAAATTCAAATAAAAGGAAACACAAAATACTGCAGATGCTGGAAATTTGAAACAAAAACAGAAGTCGCTGGGTACACTCAGCAGGTTAGGCAGCATCTATGGAGAAAGGAAAGTGAGTCAACGTTTCAGGTCCACGACCCTTTGTCAGAATTGGGGCATGTTGGAAGGGAGAGGCTTTTAAGAACTAAGAGAGGGGGAAGGTTCCTACTTATTGCTGATAAACAGAGGCGTGTGGAGTAATAATAACAATAATCATTGCATTGGATAATTTATTTTAAATTACTTGTAAATTGTAAAATTTAAATAAAATAAATTTGACATAGCACCTTTCACAATTTAATTGAATTGATGTATATTTGTGGGCGAAACGCAGCAGCCAATTGGGCACAGCAGTGTCCCCCAAACAGTCGTGGATTAAAATGACCAATTTATTATTTTTTTTAAGGAAACTTGTCTAAGGTTTCACTCTGCCTGGGAAGCGAACCCAGGTCCTCTCGCTTACAAGGCAAGAGCTCTAACCAATACGCTACAAGAGTCTACTGTCAATCCCTGACCAACATATAAAAATGAATAAACCAAACCTAAATCCAATTCACTGAGGTCATTATTCTGCTCAATGGACCCAAGGAGTTAGAAGATAACGAAAGCCTTTCCACAATGCTCAATGGAGTAAGGTGTGGACTGAATAAATTCCATCCAGCAGAAGATTCTGTTGCAACATGACTGACTTATCTGGCTTTAGCAATGAATTCAATTGGGTTTCAGGTCAGTAAAGTTGTGGTATGAATTGAAAGTCTTAGAAAAACAATAAAAAAATAATTTTATACAATTCAAATAATTTACAGGAACCTAATTGAACATATAAGACAGGAGAAATTCTATTTTATGTGATATTTCTTCCATAATACTGATTTTACAGGTTTTTCTGCTTCTGGAGATATTTTTTGGTCAAGTGTTAGACTAAATATTTCTGACTGGTAACTGTATTTTGTATTAGAAGCTATTCTGAAAATGTTTTCCAAGTGGTTTATAATCATTGGCTAAACCAATAAAGGTATTAGTAGATTCAAAAACATTGTTGATCGTTCTCAAAGTCAACTTTGAAAGATGGCAAATGTATTCTGTATTGGTTAAATCTAGTTGTGAATACATAGAACATTTATAAACAAAATTTATTATGATTACCTGGAAGTTTGGATAAGATAGAATCAGCTACTTCATTAATAATTTCATCAGAGCTTTTTCCGGTTCCTTGTGCTGAAGAGCGGGGTTGTACTTCAAGAATGGTGTTTATCATGGTATTGGTTTCTTGACGCTGTAACAAGAGCAATGACAAACAGGTTTATGGTTCAGAGCATTTTAACTATGCCTGCTCTCTTCAGAACAGATCCCCATTTGCAGAATAGAGCTGAACACATTACCAATTCACAATACAGACTTCATTCACAAACTACAGTCACTCCACTTTACAGTATATCCCATGAAGCAATTTGAGATATCCTCCTGAAGTGAAAGGCTCAATATCCAAATAGAAGGATGATTATTATTATAATTCAAACGCCAGCAAAAGATACAACATGGGATTTACTCCAGGTCTATTCCAAAACATATGTACTTAAGGCTAGGTCGAATAAAATGCTGACTATGTTTGCCAATTGGTGCCTGTGGAACCATAACTCAGTGATGGGAAGAAAGGAGAAGGATAACGAAAACAAAAAGGGTGGGGAAAATATATTTTTTTAAAAGTTTGTAAAGACATGTTAATAATAATAATAATCCTTGCATTTGATATAGCGCTTTTCAAGTCTTTTCATGTTATGAAAGTAGATGAGAGTATTTTTTTCAGTAAAATGATTTCATAGAATGTTACAGCACAGAAACAGGCCAATTCAGCCTAACTTCACTTCAGTGTTTATACTCCAGATAAGCTTCTAATCCACTCTCTCAGACGACTTTATTCCTTTCCTCCTATTGTATGCATCATTTCCTCTGAAATACATTGATGCTTTCTGCTTCAACCAGTTTCTGGCAGTGAGTTCCACATTCTCACCACCCTCTAACTCAAATGTTAATTTGGACAATTTCCCCATTCGCTAGTGCTGAGGCGGTGTTAAGACCAATTTTATTGTTCTAATCTCTGCCCTAAATGAAATTAGCTACTCAACACAGATCAGGGATCAAAAATCTGGAGTCTTCTTGGTCAGTATGATTTAGTGTACACTGCATAGTTCATTTAATTACTGAACTAATGGAAAAGGTCAATGGTTTTAATCAAACAAATACATTTTGCCAATACTTTCGCAGAGTTAAAGCAGTAATTTCTAATACCAAACTTGTGTGCATAAAAACTTTTTTATATAAAGTCACCTTGACAAGAATCATTGGAAAATTAAATGATTTTATTTTGAGATGGCATAGAGAAGGAATTAATGTTCCAATAGAGATATAGCTATTCCCTTTATTGTAGATAGTGATCATTAGAAATTGTTCATTCTTCCATCTCGTATCCATTCTGTATGTGTTTTTTTTCCTTAAATTCTTTGTCTCCTCCTCCATTTTGAACATTTTGTGGGAAAAGGAAAAGCAAAGCAATCCATTTCCAAGGACCTTCCAATGCATCTCTGAAGCACCGCTGGGTGCTAAATAATGGCACTACAATAGTTTTGTGAAAGGAAAACTGCACTTAACCATTGTACCATAACCTTGTACCAAGCACACTACTCGGCACAATTTTTTTAAGAGGAGAAAAACTGCCAATTAAGAATTAAAATATTATTTGGATTAAACAAGATATGTATGTTTACACAATAAATGACACTCCTTTAAACCGTCTAAATCCAATAACAGTCATCCACAGCTTGTGAGACTAGAATTATTGATTTGTCAAAGACTGAAATCAATCTTACAAGAGCCTTTTGCTGAGGATTGTAATTTGATTATATACAAAGACACTTTACTACATAGGCTATTTCCAATAAATCCTCACACAAATAAATGTCTTGGAACAGATCCCACTGGCAATTCACAGTTCACTAATCCCTGAATAATGTAATGGTCAAAATTCCAATATATTTCACAAAAAATAGACTGAAATTATGGAAGATTTTATCAACAACAATAAATTGCATTTATATAGTGCCTTTCATGTCGAGAGGTCATCCCAAGGTGCTGGACAGTCAATGGTTTTCACCCAAGCTGCAGGCTGGAGTCAACAAGGGTGATGGGCAAGGAAGGTGGAAGTGGGAAGATGAACGTACGCTTGGTCAAAGAGGAGGGTCTTCAGAATGGAATTCCAGAGGGTAGGTGGAGAAAAGTTAAATACCTTACCTCCGAAGGTGGAAGGGCAGGGCACCCACTGAGCGGACAGGTTGGTAGGGTTTTAGGAGGTCACAGAGGTCGGATGGAGCAAGACTGTGCAGGGCTTTAAAAGTGAGGATGAAGATTTTAATCCCGATCCTCTGGGGAATGGAGAGCCAGCGAAGCCAGGTGAGGATAGGGGTGACGGGCTCCCAGGGCTCAGTGCAGGAGAGGACACAAACTACAAGTTCTGAATAACCTGCAGCTTGTAGAAGGAAGAGTAGGGAAGACCGGTGAGCAGGGAATTGGCGCAGTCAAGCCCGGATGTTACAAAAGCATGATGATGATCTCAGCAGCTTGAAGGGCAAGATAGCGGCGGAGGCGGGATTCTATTTTTCAGAAAATAGTAGAAATAGTGTAACAATACTGTAGCTATAAAGACTTATTTTTCTTTTAAAGAGACCATGTTTAAATGGCTGATTGTGACAGTTTAAAAATCGTCATCCACTATTTTCCAAAGAATAAAATCCTTACATTTGGTATTAATAATCCTTAATAATAATAATCCTTGCATTTGATATAGCGCTTTTCACGTCGGGAGGACGTCCCAAAGCGCTTCACAGAACACACTGTAAAGTGAATTGACTGTATATTTGTGGGCGAACGCGGCAGCCAATTGCGCACAGCAATGTCCCACAAACAGTCGTAGATTGAAAATGACCAATTTATTATTGTTTTTGGTTTTGGAGGGATTATTATTAGGCTCTGTGTGGAGTAAGGAAACTTGCCCAAGGTTTCGCCCTCTGCCTGGAATTGAACTCAGGTCTCTCACTTGCAAAAGCGAGCGCTCTAACCACTGAGCTACAGGACTCCACAAAGGTAGTGCTTTAAAACCACTCTGGTTGCACCACGCACCAATTTCTCAGACTGTGGGTGGGCTTTCAGGTCCATAAGAATTCCCAAAGAACTTCACAGGATTTACTGCAATGACTATGTTTTATGGGCGAACGTGGTAGCCAATTTACGCACAGTAATATCCCACAACCGGCCACAACATTAATGATCAATTTTTTATGGGGGATTGTTGACCAAGAATCAGGAGAAACTTCCTTCTCTTTACAAATAGTGCCATGGAATCATATAGGTCAACAACAACAACTTGCACTTATGTAGTGCCTTCCACACAGGATAGCGACTCAGAGCGCTTAAAAGTGACTTTTCAGGTCCACCTGAAAAGGCACACGGGGTCTCAGTTCAACATCTCATCCCAAGAACGGCACCACCAACAATGCAGCACACCCCTATCACCGCACTGGAGTGTCAGCTTAGACCAAGTCCTGTCATGGTGCTTGAACCACAGTCATCTGACTCAGAATGTGAGAATGGTACCAATTGAGTCAGTCTGTGTAAAAGCCTGAAAGAGCAAGAGCTAGCTTTGAACAGAGTGGAGTTGTAGAGGGATATTCTTAGAACTGTCTCTGACAAACTGTAATCCATTTATAGTATTTCACTATAATCACAACCACATCTCGTGTCAAACACTGAGCACTTAACTAAGTCTAAAATTCAAAGAACCATTGCATATTGATAGTGTAATACATGTCTAGGAAGAGGAGTTAATTCTCAGGCAGGAAAAGCAGTACATACAACAACAAGATTCCATTTATAGAGCGCCTTTCACGTCAATCAACCATGACTGTTTGTGGGACACTGCTGTGTACAATTGGCTGCCACATTTCATCCACAAAATAGTCAATTCACTTTACAATATATTCTGTGAAGTTCTTTGTGACTTCAACTACGTGATAAGGCGCTATATCAAATTATTATAGTATTGTAAGGTGCTTGGCAACCTCAGGAGGGAGGCCGACGGACCCCACAAGTGACCAGTCTGTGCAGAGGGAGTGCAAGGATCTCTCTCCCACTGTTGAATTTCTGCCTTTGTACCTCGCAGTGGAAGCCAGGAAGCGGACAATTTAGGGCTGAGCTGATTGTGAAACAAAGCTCGGGTTGTGATTGACTGTTCTGAGCGAGTCTGAAATTATTATTTATGCCTGGGGAAAAGGGAAATCAGTGCATGCTTCACAAGCGTGACCTTGGGTTCAGTTGAAATTGGTCCTCGCATTGGAACTAAGCGGGCCATGAAGACTATTTGCTAAGCTGAAATGTAATTTGTTTAAATACAAAGACACTTTACTACATAAGTTATTTCCAATAAATCCTAACGCAAATAAATGTGTTAGGACAACTCCTACTGCCATTTCACAGTTCACTAATCCCTGAATAATGTAAATGGTTAAATTCCAATATAATTCACAAAAAAAGGACAAGGAAATTATGGAAGGATTTTATCAATACTGTTGCTTTAAAAATTATTTGTTTCCATTAAAGTGACATTATTTAATAACAGATGGAATACAAATGTCAGTTCATACCATGTCTCCTTGAACTGTTCGGTGTGTTATCATAAGCTTGGAACACAATCGGAGGCTTATTATAAGAAATAATGGAATATCACAAGTAAAACTCATCAAAACAAAAGATGGAATACAAACCTGAAAACTCAGATTGGCATTTTCATGCATCCCAAAGATTTCAGGGTCATCAATGAGAGGAAGGATTTCAACATACTCTCTAAATGCCTGTAAGGTGTCTGCTTCAGGACTGTAGTAAATCCCTAAAAAAAAAGAAAAATTTGTATTACATGGAAATTCCTCATCTCATAGTTTTCAAAGTGTAAATAATTGATGAGGAGAAAAGAGTACTGTCAGCATCTCTAACATAATTAAGCAGTTTTAACAACAGACTTTTGTTCAAATCCTGGATTTAAAAAAATACCTTCATAAACTTTTTATTTTCTGATACACATAGCACTTCAGGAACTGTTCTTATATCCAGCAAGCAATCTTTGTAGAAATATGAATCACATCTGGTGAAAGCCTTGGAAAACTAAACAAATTTGTAACCCAGGTGCTGTTGATGGTACTGCATTGAATCCCAGGTTAATTATTTCCTTTGACTTGTGTCCCAACTCTGAGTCAATAAGGAATTGCACTTCAAATTCAAGTGGAGACAACAACAATGTAAAAGTGACAGAAGTAAACTGGAATTCAAAGTTGAAGAGAAATACAGAAAATGGTTGTGAAATATAATCCATTGACTACTTCACAACCAGTTTCACAACATAATTTGATTATGAACTATTTTAATGAGTTCACTATCATCATGGATATTAGCTTCCGAACATTCAGTAAAAGATTCTAGAGGAAGCAGTTTAAGTAATGTTGGATTATACAATATTGTAAGAAAGTGTCTAGCAATATGGTGTCTGACTAAATGATGAGGTCACTCCAGAGGAGGCTTCTCAGTGACCCCAAGAGAGGAGAATAGGCTGGGTGTATAAAGCTGTAAACCAATCTGCTGCATACTCTCCCCATTTTGGGACTGCAGGGGGACAAAGGAAACCTGAGACCCAGACGCATGGCAGGCCCAGGGCTGTTCCAATGTAGAGTTTGAAAGACCAAGCAGTTCCAAGTCCAATTGCTCAACTAGTTGAAATGTGTGTCCAAGCTGCGGGCAGGAGGACGGTGACAATGTTCTCATACATTTCATGCTAAGATGTGCTGCTCACTGGAAAACATGCAGGGAATTTTGAGATGAGCTGATTCCAAGGTAACATGCTTCGCAACTGAATCTCAGAATTGAGTCTAATATTTTGTGATGGTTTTGGTAATCCAGTTTAGGTGGATTCACAGCACTCCAGGGTATTGCTGATGACAGACCCACGTCCTGCCAATAACTCAAACTGGCTGAGGAACAGACTGGGTTGTCTTTCCATTGTGAAGAACACTATACAAGTGTAATTTGTTGTTGTTATTGGTCACTGGAGGCTGGGATTTACCCACTCAGTTCTTGTTAACCCAGCAAAACAAAGCCTAACACGTAAACTGGTCAGAGCTGGACAGTGAGTAGCTTGCCAGCCAGAGTTTTCAATGGCAAGCTATATGGTTTTAGCTGCTTAATCTCCAGTTGTTTCCCAACCTACACTCTGGGATCCAAAAGGTTTGGGTCTTGCCAATTTGCACCTATTGCCTTCCAAAATTAGGTAAGTAGGGTATGTCCCTCCAAGTAGAGAGCATACAATGCATTCCAGACACAAGGAAATTTCCATACGAACGGCCAGATGTACATGGTATTCTCAGTCTGGTTTGGATATTTTTAAGTATGATGAGTTCCCACGATAAAGCAAAGAAAAAATAAACTATAGATGTAATAAAAAGTCATATTTTAGAAAGTTTCAATCTTAGGAACACGTTGCTAAAATTGTTAATTATAGACAAATCTACAACATTACTGTAGTGTGTTCACTTGCCTGATTCTGAATACTTGTATGCCTCGTTTAAGGTTTCAGATGAGAAGAATCTCTTTAAGATAGTACGCAGGCATCGCTGATCCCAGGCATCTGTAACTCGACCTCCGTAGGTGATCTCACCTATTCAATATAGTTAAAGCAATCAGAAGTTACATCTGTCAAGTTTGCATCTAAGTTAAATTCAATAAAGTGGTCACACTTAATGGTACATTATCCTTCTGTAGAATGTTCAACAAAATAATACACCTTCTTTTCGAATATCCTGTATTACACTGCTGGAAACAGCTCAGTACAGTCATGGGTGATGGCAAGTGTAAACAGAATTGTAAATAAGGGCAAAAAATAGATGAAAGGTCAAAAGGACATTTGTGAGGCATAGCTAATAAGAAAGGGGTCAGCTATTTTCAAGTGTCTTTATCTTACTAATCCTTTGGGTAAATAGCATTGCAGGCTCAAACTTTTAGGTCAATGCTTGAAAAACACCATTAGGATGTAAGCTCTCGGAGTGAGTGTACCCCAAAGAGTATTGCACTGGATGGGATTCTCAGGAGTACAAAGTCACTGAAGGCAAACTAGACATATGTAAAAGGGTAAGGGGAAAAGATCCAGAATTCCAGTGCTTGGGAACACTCCCAATGTCTCTGACAATGATATTTTTAAGCATAATACAATATTTATTTTATCAACCTCAAAATGGCTTTTTAAACATTTTAAACAGTCTTTTAAACCCAGATATGTCTGTTCCCAAGCCCCTTACTTAACTGGTTGAGCCACCAGTGATGTTGTACTCAGAAGGGAAACATGACAAGCAATGAGTGTGTTTGCTAGTCACAATACAGGTCTGAGAAGATAGTATTTAAAATGTAAATAAATTACAATATTTGATACTCGATCATAGAATGGAAGTTCTGTCATATTGGAAGTATTGTAATGATGCAATGATCGCGCAGAAGCTGATTGGAATGATAAAATGAATACGTCTGTGTAACAATTCTGAAGCCTTCCAAAAACAGTAAATATAATAAATTAAAGTAGCCCTGGTGGCATGCGCAGGATGGGACATGAAGAAGAAGGAATTCCCTAATAATTTACTGAACACTACTCAGTGATAATTGAATCTCACTGCTTGCTGTGTCTAGCTGACTGAATGACTGGACAAACATCAACAATGTACAGTGAGATGACATTTATAGAATGGCAAAACATTTTAACAATAATAATAATCCTTGCATTTGATATAGCGCTTTTCACATCGGGAGGACGTCCCAAAGCGCTTCACAGAAGACACTGTAAAGTGAATTGACTATATTTGTGGGCGAACGCGGCAGCCAATTGCGCACAGCAATGTCCCACAAACAGTCGTAGATTGCAAATGACCAATTTATTATTTTTTTTGGAGGGATTATTATTAGGAGTTTGGAGTAAGGAAACTTGCCCAAGGTTTCGCCCTGCCTGGAATTGAACTCAGGTCTCTCACTTGCAAAGCGAGTGCTCTAACCACTGAGCTACAGGACTCCACATTTTGATTTGTAGTTTAATATTTTGCAAATGTAAAGCCTGCAGGATTGCTACAAAAGGTTATTGCTGAGTCTAAAACTTTTTTCTACCATTACCAACTTGTGTTCTTTTCATCACAATCTCATTTTTATTTTCTGTGAGTCGGCACTTTCTGGCACTTAACCTATGTCAGCAACAGTATATAGGGCAACTGCATTATAACATCCCTGGTGTAATGCAGCTTTGCTTATTATGCTGGTACTGTTTGGGGATGAAAGGCAAAATCATAACCCCATGCTTTTATTTATATGTGATCTGGTTATTTGTTGCAAATTATCCAAGTTGATTCCTCAGCCATTTCTGAAGACCTTCTCAGATCCATTTGGAAATTGGGTTGAATAAATTAACATTAGTACTTGAAACAGCGCCTTGTTCAAACATTTCAAAGGGCTTCATATTATCCACTTCAACATTCAGAAAAGGCAAAAAAAAACGTCTCATCTGAAGGCCAGAATGCCCAGCCATGCAGCCTGGATTATGAAAGTCATTCTTGGTAAATTTAGGTTGTTGACGATCAGATTTTCTAATCCCAATTGAACCACTAAGCATTTCCTTACTATTGAGGTCAAAAATATTATGTTCAAGTACCATGTCTATATATAAAAGCTTCTGGGGAGGAAGGCTTCATCTCCCAGTTGGAAAATTACCAAGAAACCTACTATTGCTTCTGAATTTTCCAGTACAGTATACAGGGCAACTGCACTAATAACAACAAACAACAACAACTTGCATTTGTATAACACCCCTCATGCAGGGTAGTGTCCCAGAGCGCTTGACAGTGGCGGAGCATGACTCCAAGCTGGGAGGGGACAGTCGAATTGGAAGGTCTTTAGGCATGACCTGAAATGGGGAAGGAAGGGCAAGGCAGAGGGATAGAGGAAGAGTTTTCCAGAATTTCGGGGTGTAGTGGCTGAAACAGCAGCCACGAATGGTGGAACGAAGGGCATGAGGGACATGCAGAAGGCCGGAGCCAGTTGAGCGGAGGCAGCGGGTTGTGGGTTGGGAGGTAAGCAGGTCGGAGAGGTGCCAGGGCAGGAAAAGGATTTGAAAATGAGTGTGACGATCTTGAAATCGACATGTTCGGTGATAGGGAGCGTAGAACTGGTACGATGGGGATACAGAGTTCAGTAAAGGATACAGGTGAGTATGCGGGCGAGCATTATTTACATCCTTGGTGCATTGCAGTTTCCTGTGAAAGGCACCATACAAATGTAATTTCACATGAAAGGTGCTATTTCAGCTTCACATGAAAGGAGCTATACCAAAGTAATTTTTTGTTGTTGTAATGCTGCTGTCCTGTGGACTCACACTAACTGGAAGCATGGTTCACCTGGCTTGTGGGGTTGACTAGCTGGCATCCAGCGCTAAAAACTAGCCAACTTCCAGGTTGCAGCGGACATCACTTCCTCCATGTTTCACACCATTTACACTATGAGCAGAGTGCCGCTGATATCACAAAGGATGTCAATGGTATTTCCTCTGGATATCTGTATGCATATATAACGTGTAGGAAGTAAGGTCAGCAGTGAGCTGAATAATAAGAATAATCCTTGCATTTGATATAGTACCTTATCACATCATTGAGATGTCTCAAAGCGCGTCACAAAATATAGTGTAAAGTGAATTTGTGGGCCAAAAGTGGCAGACAATTACACACAGCAGTGAATACGCTGAAGTAACCATTTTGTCAGTTTCTCTTACAACACAGCCTCTGATATATTGGACACAGTTGATCAAGCTATAACAGGGTTGCCCTATATTAAAATATAAATTCAGAGGCAGAGGCATAAGTGCTAAAACTGTGCCAAACTGCCACATATGTGCTCCCATCCAGAAATGTGGTCCACACAGTGCAACACAGTGAACAATTGGGATCTCCCACTAATGCACTCGGTGTTAGTTGACGTTTTGCTCACTGTATGGAGTCCTGTAGCTCAGTGGTTAGAGCACTCACTTTGCAAGCGAGAGACCTGAGTTCAATTCCAGGCAGGGCAAAACCTTGAGCAAGTTTCCTTACTCCACACAGAGCCTAATAATAATCCCTCCAAAAAAAACAAAAACAATAATAAATTGGTCATTTTCAATCTACGACTGTTTGTAGGACATTGCTGTGCGCAATTGGCTGCCGCGTTCGCCCACAAATATACAGTCAATTCACTTTACGATGTGTTCTGTGAAGCGCTTTGGGACGTCCTCCCGACGTGAAAAGCGCTATATCAAATGCAAGGATTATTATTATTATTATACCAAAACCTTGTGAGGTAGCAATAAACAAGAACAACAGGATGCTGGAATATATAACTAAAGTGTTTGGATCCCAGACATCAAACTCTGGTCAGACCGCATCTTGAATACTGCATACAGTTCTGGTCTAGGCTGCAGAGGAGACCAATAAAAATGATCCCTAGTGTTAGCGGATTGAGCTATGATCAATAGTTAGACAAGCTAGGGCTCTTCAATCTTGAGCGAAGGTGACTCAGAGGGGACCTCATAAAGCTGTATAAATTTTAAATGGCATTGAATAAGTAAACCCAGATCAATATTTTAAAAGCAACAAGTAGAACAGGAGGCTATTTGTTTAGAGTTGTAAAGGGCAATTTCAGGATAGATAGCAGAACGTTTTTCTTTATGCAGAGAGAAATCAACAACCAGAACATCTTGCCAGGAAAGGTGATAGAAGCCAGGACACTGGACTGATATAAAACATAGCAGGATGCAGTAATGGGAGGGGGAGAACTGTTGGGTGGGTGTTCTGGAGGGATGAGATCAGGTGGGCTGAAGGACCTTCTTCATCCAAAACAATCTCGTCATCTTATGAGGAAGTTAACTTCTGATTACAGGGTTGAGGGGACTTTACTTTGTGTATAATCAATACTATATCTGACCAAAGAGTGGTGGATTTGGGTATTCGGTGCCTGAAATAGAACATTAGTTCATTTTCCAGGACTGATGTTCTATATTTTGATCAATGCAATGAACAAAACACAAAGGCATTGAATTTCATGTTCATCTTGCTCCCCTCTAGAAATGTTATGGAAGATATTACACAAATGTTTTGCAGCAAGAATTTATATTTACTTTGACAGATGGATTTAACTGAATAATACAACATTATGTGCTCACCAGTTATGTTTATAACTAGAGCTCACCAGTTAAGTTTATAATCTAGAGCTCACCAGTTATGTTAATGTCACTTGTTTCCCACAGAAATCATCAGCTTTCCCCTATATTGGTCATTCACTTTTTGGCTAGTTGATCATTGCTACATGCAAATTGGCTGCCATATTAACCTACAAATACAATCAATACACTGAACAAGAAAAGCTATGAAACATTTTTATATGTTGACAACAATGTTGTAAATCGCTGTATGAAATGCAAAGATTATTACGTAACAAGTTAAGTGAGTTTTGTTATTGGCAGCCTGAGCTGTATATTTTTTCCATAAATCATACAACATTTGTAAGTCAAAATGAAACGTTCTTTACTGGATAGATAGAACTAAAATAACAACTTAAATGAAATTGTGTCTGAGGATACTGGGCACTGCTCTCACATAAGAATAAATTGTATATACCGCTAGTTTGTTCATTAGAGTAGTGCAAAGCACTTCTACATCATCACTTTCCTGATTTTAGTTCGGATCATATAACATATGAAAAAAGAAAATAACTAGAGCTCACCAGTTATGTACACCAGGGCATCCCAAGGGATGGTTCCTTTTTGGCAGTATAGATTCAGATTGAGAAGAGCGCATTCTCGGTCGCTGTCACTGAACTCATAACGGATGTTCCAACCTAGTGGACCAAACTTTTTCCTTTCCTGAAGATACAATGCACTATGGTATTATATCACACACAAGATATTCATGGTGAATACATCTTGACAGATTCAAATTGAGAGAAGCACATTCTCTATTCCTGTCACTGAGCTCAGTAACTCACTTATTATTCAAAGTTTTGTCAGAAACCGCAACATTTTCAATAAAGGTACTATTTTTCTCCAATTGTAAAATGTTTTAAAATATATTTTAATTCATAAGAAAATTAAATGCATTACCTAGAATGTCTTTCTAACATATTTTACTTTACTTGAAAAATCATCTTTAAGCCCACTACCCAGAAAAGAACAGCAACAACAAAATTCATCTGTATAGCACCTTTCACATCAAGAGGACTTCCTAAGGCGCTGGACAGTCAAGGAGAGGCGGGTGTGGATAGGTCAATATGGTGTTAGCCGTTCACAGAGGTTGGAAGGAGGCAAGGTGGTGGAGGGCTTTGAAGGTGAGGATGAACTCTATCCTCTGGGGTATGGGGAGCCAGTGGAGTCAGGCGAGGGTGGGGGTGATAGGGTCACGGAGCCTGGTGCAGGAGGAAAGAGTTTGGATGGCTGACAAGCATGGACTTGGGGTAGTCGAGCCTCGATATAACAAATGCATGGATGAGGGTCTTGGCAGGCTGAGGTGAGAGACAGTGTCGGAGCCGGGCGATGTTGCGGAGATGGGGAAGGCAGAGCGGGTCATGGCACAGATGTGGGGTAGAAAGGACAGTTGTGGGTCAAACAAGACACCAAGATTCCGGATTAGCTCAGTGAGGTGGAGTGTACAACCATTGATGGTGATGCTGTCAGTGCCTGAGGTGTGGAGGTGCTGACGGGAGCCAATCAGGAGAGCCTCAGTCTTGTTAATGTTCAACTGTAGAAAGTTAGGTCTCATCCAGGACTTGATGTCTAAGAGACATTCTGTCAGGACAGCAGTGGTCCTGGAATTGAGGATGGAGGCAGAGAGATAGAGTTGGGTATCATCCGCATACATGTGGAAGTTGACGCCATGTTTCAGATGTTGTCACTAAGAGGGAGCATTGGAGAACCGAGGACAGAGCCCCAAGGAACACCACATAAGACAGTAGAAGGACATAATCACAGAAAGAAAAGATCACAGATCACAAGATGTGTCTGACTGAACATAGGAATAGGTGTAGGCCCTTCAGCCCATCAAGCCTGTTGCACCCTTCTCTTAGGTCATGGCTAATCTGAACCGCAACTCCAATTTCCCATCTTTGCCCCATATCCCTTGATACCCTTACCTAACAAGGTAAGAAAGCCCTTCGGCCCATGCAATCTGATCCCTCATGAACACCCCATCTACCATCTCCTGATCACTGCTTCAAGCAGCTTTTTAAATGAGTCCAGTGTGCTGGCCTCTACATCCTACCATCTTTCCTGGCAACCAGTTCCAGTCATTGCATAAAGAAAAACTTCCAGGGTATCGGTCCTGAAAATGCCCTTTACTAATCTAAACCCATGACCTCCTGTTCTATTGTCAAGATAGGATTGAATAAGGAAACCCAGATCAATATTTAGTGTCTATTTCAAATTTTGAACACCTCTATGAGGTCCCCTCTGAGTTATCTTCTCTCAAGACTGAAGAGCCCTAGCTTGTCTAATCATTGCTCATAGCTCATTCCTTTAACATTACAGATCATCCTTGTTGCTCTCCTCTGCACAGCATCTCAGCCATGGTCTGCCTCTTTATGCTGTGGAGTTGCCAAAACATAAAATCAGCATTCACCTTGGCACATTAAACATTTTTTCACACTTCACCGGTCATTGGTCTAAGAACATATTATCCCAAGTAATATTCTGAATAAAACACATGGCTGTCTGCTGATCATTAACTTCAGCAAAAACATACCTGAACTATAGCATGGAAGAAACAAATTCCGAAGATAATCTTTCTCCAATCCCTGCCCAAGACATGCTCCTCAAAAAAAGAGTTTGTAATTTCTGTGAAAGCTCGTCGGATATTGGCACGAAGTCCTTTTGGAGGTTCATTGGTAACCTGAAGAAGATTATCCATTAGTTCTTCAACCATTTCAACTGTTTTCCGAATTTACTGCTTTTCTACAGCTCTCAGAATTTTGCTTATCAGCTATCAATGAAAGGACACAACAGAATATCCATTTGCACAGATATGAATATATTTATATTTTTATTGCAAAGAAGAAACTAGTGAATCACGGTGCATAATCTCTGGTGTTTACTGTGATATATTTACTTAGACTTTCACCATAGCAGTGTCAAAAATAAACAGAATTTGAGTTGTAAGCACAAAGCAAATTATTTTAGTTTATTTCAAAGATAATAATAATAGTTGCATTTGATATAGCGCCTTATCACGTCATTGAGACACCTCAAAGTGCTTCACAGAAGTGTATATTTTGTAAGCGAAAATAAATGAAAAATAATTTATTTTAAAACCTAAAATATTTGTGAAGGTAGGAAACTGAATAGTTTTTCTAATTGTGAGGCAAAGGATTATAAATGAGTTCAAAGGGGAAAAAAACTGTATATATACAATTTTAGAAAAGATTCATAGAAAACTTAATTAACAAAAGTTAAATAGAACAACAACTTAGATTTATATAGCGCCTTCCACGCCGGACGGCATCTCAGACCGCTTCACAATAACGGATCCCGGGGCCGAGCCAGGGGGAGGGGGAAGAAGGTGACCAAAGGCGCGGTGGAAAAGAAAGGTCTTAAGCCGAGACCTGAAAATAGGAAGAGAGGGAAGGGAGTGAGGAAGGGAGTTCCAGAGCCTTGAAGCATAGTGGCTGAAGGCACAGCTGCCGAGGGTGGAGCGGAGGATTCAGGGGACAAGGAGGAGGCCAGACCCGGTGGAGCAAAGGCAACCGGCACTGTTTTGAGGAGAGAGGAGGTCAGAGAGGTAGGGGGTGCAGAGGAGTGGAGGGATTTGAAGACAAGAGTGAGAATCTTGAAATCGATCCTCTCTGGGACAGGCAGCCAGTGCAGACTGGCAAGGACTGAGGTAATCGGGGAGCGCAGTTTGGTGGGTGTGAGAATGCAGGTGGCAGAGTTCTGGATGACCTGGATTTTATGAATGGTAGTGGAGGGGAGACCGGCGAGGAGGGCATTTGAATAGTCCAGGTGACAAATGCATGGACCAGTGTTTCGGCGGCTTTTGGGGTGAGTTATTGGCGGAGACGGGCGATGCATCGGATATAAAATAAAAAGCTAAAAATTAATGAACAGAAGTTAATTAACAAAATACAATAAAATGTTACACATTGAAAAGTATTGAAAAGAGCCATTTTGCTTTTCAAAAATGACTTGCAAGTCTCATCTAAAGGACACAATCTAAGACAATGAAACAGTCCCTCAGCGCTGTGTTGGAATTTCAGCCTTTCAGAGTTCAAAATCCAGCCATGGGGCTTGAACCCACAACATTCTGACTCAAAGCTAAGAGTGCTACCAAGTGAGCAGGCTGACACCAAAATGTGGTCCAACTCCAGGGAAAAATAGTCAGAAACACTTAGGATATAGAGAATATTAGTCTTTGAGTCAATAGTAATGTTACGATTATGTTTTTGAACCATACTAGAGGTGCCTTATCGTCATCAGTTTAGCAAGAATAGTTTTGCAACAGAATATAAGCACTAGATTTTTTGCTGACACTAATAAAACATTATTGTTCTTCAGAATCCATTACCTTAACTGAATTTTGCAAAACTGTAACAGGAAATGTCTGAGTTGGCATGGAACTTAGGAACAATCTAAAGTTCTCATGAATAACAGTATCTAAGGAAGAACAAATAAATTAAAGATGAGCTATAAAGACAAGTTATATAACAATATCTATATACATAAACAAATTTTGCTTATTACACTTTTCAAAACTGCTAGTAACTGGCAGACTAGCACAAGGAACAATTGTCTTACCTCTCCGACCTACTATCCCCCTACTTACCTGCCCGTACCCTCCGTTCCTCTGGCTCCGGTCTGCTCCACATCCCCCGCCCCAACCGCCCTTCCATCGGTGGCCGGGCCTTCAGCCTCTCAGCCCCGAGGCTCTGGAACTCTATCCCCCAGTGCCTTGGCCGCCTCCTCCCTTTCCTCCTTCAAGGCCGGTCTCAAGACCTTTCTCTTTGACCGTGCCTTCAGCTCCCCTCTCGACTCTCTACCCCCCCCTCGCTCCCTCCCTCCCCTCCCCTCACCCTGACCAGTTCCCCCCAATGCTCGTGTCCTGACCCAACTGTACAGCGCCTTGGGACGTCCTCCCGATGTGAAAGGCACTCTATAAATGGAATCTTGTTGTTGTCTTTTGACCTTTTTCACTGCTGTAAAATGAGATAAATATCTGACTGCTGAAAATTGATGATGGAATAAAATCAGAACATTTTAATTCAGGTGTAGACCACATAAAAATACAATCGGTTTGAATAAATCAAGATCAACAGAATAACAATTCTTTCAAGATTAATCAGGATAGAGGCTACTGAAATGAAAAGTTGAACTCCTTTTAAATCTGATTTTCCTGAAGCAGATTTTGCTGAGATCGTCAAGGAGAAAAGCAGTACAGCTGGAGTGCTGTCTACCAAACAATTTCTTCTAAGTGAATCAATCATCAGAGGTCTCCATCTGTTACTTCCAATTTTCAAATGTATCTGAAGTTCATTTTCTGTCTTCACTTTGAACATTAGAAACAATATTTGAACACAATAGTGCTCTTTGGTATCAAATGACATTATTTTAAAAAACTACTACTCTTTTAGTTTAAAAGAGGCATTTTTTTTTTTGTCCGGGAGAAAGTAGAAGTTGGGGCCTAACTGGAGTATATGAAGGAATTCATCTTTAGATAAAATAAATTCAAGTGCTTTCAGATAAGGAAAGAGTGAGATCCACAATGTAAATACAATGCAAATTTAGAATATATATCTGGGGAAAAAAAACCTTCAAAACAAATAATAAATCTTTTGAAAAATCTAACAAAAGAAAGTAACAGAGGTATAAATATTAGAATTATGCAAAATACAAATTGGTGTTAGGTTGGGAATAGTAAACATACTGAAGCAGGGATGGCCAACTTGCACCCCGTGGGCTGCATGCATAAAATACTCAAGTTGGCCATCCCTGGACTATAGGAATGAGCATTGGTGGGCCGAATGGGACAAGATGAAAAGAAAAAAGGAAAAAGAAAATTAATCTGGGTATGGAATATTACTTATACATACTTGGTTCCGTGAATGTCTTAATTAATTCTTCCATGGCTAACATCCATGAAACTGCAAGGTGACAATTTTGAAGAAATATCCAATTTCCTGACTTCAGAGCACTTTTGATCATTGTTTCAGCAATGGGCCCCTGTCCTTGTCCTAAGGAAATGGATTGTACCCTGTAGATAAGAACATTAGTGCATAAACACACACTTCTATACAAGTGGAAGCAGACTATCCTGATGTAACTATAAACAACGCACAAATAAGGTGACTAATAATAATACAAGCATCATAATCATAAAATATAGAAAGTTATAAGGTTATCCTCCTCATGTAGTGAAATAAAACCTAAATACTGCAACTGCATTTTAAATCATGATTTATGTATGAATGATTATTTTGGCAGTAACTTTTATTTTGAAAAAATCTCCAAGTTTGACAAAGATAAAAGCACTATATTTTTCAGATCAGACTTCTTCACATTGGCACCCAGGGTGATGCACTGCAGCTGCTTTATAACATGTTTAGTAGAGACAATTTGGTTAAAATATACAGTCAATTCACTTTACAGTGTATTCTATGCACATGCACAGCAGGGACTGGATATTGTGGTAGGGATTTTATGGATTTCACATTATAATGGTGCTCCATTGTTTAAAGATATAGAAAGATAAAAGGGCCACATCAGTAACGTACATCATTTGGTCAGCTCTAGATTTATTCAAGAGAAATCAGGTCTTGATAAGAGAGAAACAAGTGACAAAACTGATGAACAGATGGTTTCAGAAACAAATCCATTTTCACCACTGAAGTATCAATGCAAAATAATTTGATCTGCCCTCATAAATAGTTCTATCTATGTTCTACATTGGTCAATGAAGAACTTTTAGGGATTATTTTCTAATATTATTAAAAATGTTTGCAAGACATTAAAATGAACCAGCTTGTGGCGATCTGGATATGCTCTTATATGCTTTATACACACACAGATAGATAGGTCTTTCTAGTCCAGGTGAAAGTAATTGGGAACAGGACAAATTAATCCTGAATAAGTTTCTACCCTCTCCCAAAGCAAAGAGTGGGTTGGTAAATATTTTGTTGTGAAGATGATCCTTTTTAAATGGATTAGTTGACATTGATAGCGGATTAGTGGATATTTGTATGCTAGCCAAGGAAAAATATCTGGGAAAAACTGTCATAGACCTTACCTGGAAAGGTAGTCTCTTTCTTTTGCAAATCTCTGGAAGGCACCCATGGGATCAGAACCAGTACTTAATATGAAAATCAGGGGAGTCGAAGGAGACATATCCTGGTAGAGAGTGGCTAAATCCACAGGAGGATTCTCAACAAACTCCATCCCAAGCTTTTCTATGACAAAATCTGTGATTGCAAACACCACCTAAAATAATGCAGAAAACATTCGTTATCAAACAAATTGCTATAAACTATTTCCTGTCAAGATTATTTCTTCAATCTATTGGGCCCAAAGATATCTGTGCACTCAGCTGTCCCTCTACTGAACATGCAAAACAACCTCTCTGGTCTTATTCACAGGAAAGTACCCTAAATCAAACATCCTCTGAATAATATCAAAAAGGCTGATTTTCAGCCGTAAAAGATGATCAATGTGAAGCTGTAGTGCTTTTTTTCCGTTTCGTGAACATTCTCACTGACAAATGTTGATTGTCTGCATTATGTCTTAGAACATACAAATACTCTATTTGAAGGCTAGCAGGCTTCAAAATGTTTTATTTTAATAATTTCCACAAGTTCTTGAAGAACGATACTGCAGAAAAGCTTACCTTCCAGAATCCAGATGAAATCTCTGTTCTCTTTTGCTTCATTGGAAAATGAAATTTCAAATGACAACAAAGTATTTTTTGATATACAAGTTGAAAAATATGATGACAGTGAGATCAATATATTAAAGATGTCTGAAGCATAAACTTTCACAGTTGACTGGAAAATTGTTTAAAAGAGAACATCTCGTAGCTATTCATTCATTTAATGCTCAATTCCAATATTCCATTATCGGTTGTGTCACCTTGTAACTATCTCAGCCCCGAGGACACACCATTAACTCCCCACCCCCATGCCAAGGAGGACAGCCACTAACTAGTTGATCATTTGACATCTGACAATTACAGATGTAAAGCTTTCACAGGGTGGATAACAGGTACCTGGCACTCTGGAGCACTTCCTGGTGAGCAGCACAGCTCATCATAAAATGCACAAGAACAATGTCTCCATCCTTCTGCCCACAGCTCACACACATTCATACCCCTGAGCAGTTGGAGGTGCGAAGTTTGAGCAGCAGCTGCTGACCCCAAACCATCATGCCAAACAATAATAATCCTTGCATTTGATATAGCACTTTTCACGTCGGGAGGACGTCCCAAAGCGCTTCACAGAAGACATAGTAAAGTGAATTGACTGTATATTTGTGGGCGAACGCGGCAGCCAATTGCGTACAGCAATGTCCCACAAACAGTTGTGGATTGAAAATGACCAATTTATTATTGTTTTGTTTTGGAGGGATTATTATCAGGTGTGTGGAGTAAGGAAACTTGCCCAAGGTTTCGACCTGCCTGGAATTGAACCCAGGTGTCTCGCTTGCAAGGCGAGTGCTCCAACCACGAAGCTACAGGACTCCACATTTCTTTGCTGTAATCCTGTGCCAACATACAGATATCTCTGCATAATGGCATAGGACAACAACAACTAAAACAAAGAAACATATAGTTGATACCCAATACATCGATTATTCCAATATTCCAGCAATTCAAATATTCCAGCAACCTTACATGTTGCCACAGGAAGTAGCGAGTTCATTAGTAATGCAAGGTCTAGCATTCTTTTCTTCTACACTGCTGAAGAGTAATACTCTCCATAGATGTTCTCTATTACCCCTTTTGCTCACCTTGTTTTAGTGATGAATTTACCTAAAGTCTAATTGCTAAAGGAAACATGTAACTAGCAAGATTGACAAGTTAACTGTCTGTGCAAGAACTAATACGTGATAGAAATGTGAGTAGAAATTTTTTGGTGCTGAGATTTCGTGAAAAGGAGGAAAATTTTAGATTGATTTTTTGACTTNAAAAAAAAGCAATATTAATTTGCTGAAAACAAATATATTGTGCTCGTCTGCCAACAACAAAATTCTCTATTCCTCTATATCTATCAGTAACATAAAACAAAATATCAAGTGGTTATAGGAACCTATTGGTGCACAGATTCCAGCACCAGCTTGCTCTAAACCAAATTTAACTTCTATACAACAACCTGCAGAGCAAAATTTGACATGCCATATTATAGTTGTCTTTCAGAAGACAGGACATGATCAGGATTTTTCAAACTCCAGTTCTCACCAGAGGCAAGTGGTTTACAGAAATAGCAGCATCAAGGAAAACCAGTGAATTCAGAAATGAGAAAATTGAAGAATTTTTTGGGTCAACATTGCCATCATACAACTGTACAGCAGAATCCTAAAGCATACTTGCAAAACTTTATCTGCAGGAGCATCAGAGCAGGCAAGTCACTTTTTACTAACAAAAGTAGTTGCAAGTGAATTCAGGATTTCAGAATCAGCTACACTGTAACTGAACATTCCTTAAACATTTTCATGAAACATTTCTCAGATAATTAATATTACTGTACCTTTTCCTCCATAAAAGATTTGGTTAAAATTAATTTCTGAAACTCAGACAGCCTCTTATTCCAGTGACCAACAATGTACCCTGAAACAATTTCCTGTCCTGGTGAGTATGGTGATAAGGTTAAGTCATATCCATTCCATTTCCTTGGGTTGATCTCAATTTCAAGACGTCCTGAAGAAACACATTTTTACAACTGCTGTCACAACCACTGACTATGACTGATTAGTTTTTGTACTGAGATTTGGAAATTAATAATAAACACAATGATTGCTGGATAAAACTTAACTACTTTGTAAAAACATAAGAATAAAGCAAGAGAATGATTTATAATTTACAAAAAACGCACTCTGTGGGTAGGGTAAAATTAATGCTTTTACAAATCACCTATTTGGAAAAATACAGGTGTTGCAATAATTTCCTCTTGGAGTCCTTTAAAGCACATCAGTGTTTCTTCAAGATCGCAGCATGAATTCCACATCTGAGTTGTTAACCAGTCAACTGATGGTTTTAGTGGATGCTCCTAGAAAAAGAAAACCTACAACTCAACATCATAAAAAACAGTTTTATAGATGTAACCAAACAATCCTTAATTGAAAGTTAGTTTGGCATTCCCCTGATCATTTAATATTAAAAATCACTGCATTTGATATAACGACCTATCATGTCATCGAGATATCTCAAAGCGCTTCACAGGATATCCTGTAAATACTGTGCATTTTGGGGCAAGACTCGACAGCTAGTTTTGTGCACAGCAATGTCCCACAAACAGCCATGTCGTGAGTGACCAATTGATGCCCAGAACACCAGGAGAAACTCCCTTCTCTTTTTGAATAGTGCCATGGTATCTTTAACGTTCACCTGAGCAGACAGACGGTTTAACGTCTCATCTGAAGGACTCCTATAATACACCGCCAGTACTGAATTGGAATGTCAGCGTAGACCAGGGTGGTCCAAATGGCGGCCCGCTTGCCAATTTCATCCGCCTCCCCCTCTCCCCCACTCAATTTCATCTGGCTCTCCCATTCCCTTCATAACCTGGAAACGTTACGTTTCTGGAAGGTAAATACAAAAATATTGTTTATGGGGCCCATGGACATTTCCCAAATAGGGCATCCGGCTCTCAGCAGCCAAAAGTTTGGACCACCCTGGCTTAGACTATGTGATTCCAAGCCCCGATGTGGAGCTCGACCCAACAACTTTCTGACTCAGAGGCGAGAGTGCTAGCCATTGAGCCAGGCTGACACACATTTAATGAGTAAAAATACCACTCAGTGTAGCACTAAACCTTAGAGATTAATGGGTTCCAGCGCCTTGGGACGTTCTCCCGACGTGAAAGGCGCTATACAAATGTAATCTTGTTGTTGTATAGTTTCTATTCCTTTGCTGAGCTGTCAGAGGTGGAGCTCTACAGCTGACCTCAGTACCTATGAATTAACGCTGAGAAAATCAGGCAGGAGTTTTGGAGGATGCAGCAAAAGGTGCACAATGAGTTGAACAAAACCTTAAAGGGCACAATGATTTTTTTGTTCCTTACAGAGAAGGAGAAGGAACAAGGTCTTGGAGTGACACAAACGATCTTTAAAGTGTGCAAATGTGAGGATGGATGAAAATTCTGGAATTCTCTTTAGGAATTGGGGTGTATTGATGCAGAACCTCTCCAGGAAATAGAATGATGGTGTAAAAGTCCACAGAAGTTATGTTTTGCACGTCAGATAGGATTGTCTTGTTTTACATTGTCTAATAATGTTTCATTTGAAAAAGTTAGATGACAGGAATCAACTTACATTCTTCATTTCCGTTTTCCTCTAAATTTTAGGTTTTAAAACATGTTTCTTAGTAAAATAGTAGTATTAATAGCATATTCCTGCCAGGAAAATGACATTTTCTGTAGGGAAACCCATTTACATGTACATGCTACCCATGTCCTGAGGAGCATAACAGTTAAGTTAGGTGCAGTCAAAATGTAAAAGTTCTTCAAATCTCTTTAATAATCGACACAGACTAACATAAACCAAGGGGCACAATTATATTTGGGACTGAACTTCCAAAGATTACCTTATCCATTCCTGAAGATCCTCTAAGGAAATAGTTCCATTCAACATCTGATATTTCTCCTTTCTGACGCAGGATTTCAATACAGAGCATGAAACTGTAGATAAGCTTGTGTTGTTCAAATAGACCTCTAGAAACATTAGAGTAGGTGCTAAAAAGTGTCTTATGCAACAAAGTGATCAAACGTTGTTTCAGGTCATAGGTCTTCTCAGACACCTCAATAGTCGTATTGAACAGCTGTAAAATGAGAAATTAAATGTTCAAATGGTTCATTTCATTACTTTAGTAGTTTTGGTTTCTAGAATACTTCTTTCTGAAGAAGCAAAACAAGGTGAGGATTATTCAACATGCAACTAATAATCCAGGAAGCATGCTATTTGTGCATGTAATTTACATACTCTCCTAACTTTTCTTCTTGGATACTTCATTGTTGTAACATTAATTGATCCATAGTATTATGGTTGTGAAAATCTTATAGATGTACATTTTTATACATGGAAACATTGCCAAAATCTAATTAGAATGCAGTAGTTTGGAAAGAAAAAAATTGTTTTCTGTGGCAAATTACTACAGCTCCAGTTATAATTACTTTAAATTAGATTTTGTGCTGCAATTATATTTATCTGCAATGGATACTTTAACTGAATTGCAATAAATACACAAACTGAGCCATGTAAAACATAAAGATTTTCTTCCTCTCTTAACTCGCTTCATGTCACACACCAAACCACATCCTACAGATAGCAAGCATCTTACTTCTAGAGTACCAATGAGAAAGCTTTGGTGAATTGAGGTCCAATTTACTTTTTCTCTCTGTTATGAAGTTTCTGGAATCTGCTAGGAAATCCTCCAATGATGGCAAGTCATCATGTTGATCTTAAACCAGAATCCTACCTCTTTGCCATATTGTCAAGTCACTGTTATAGGTATGTATTTCTCTTTCAAAAAATATTCAGTAGATAAATAAATACAGGATTAGCAAACACCTATAATCTTTAGCCCGTGCATTCTAAATAAACATATCTCTAACATCTCAACTAATGAACGCATCTAAAATATTTTAGTGATTGTAAAAAGCCAGGTTGGGTAGCACTCATGGGTTAAGCAAGAAAAATGGCAAACCTGTTTGAAGTATTTTAAAGAAAACTGGTACATCGGGTCTATTTCAGAGAGGCTAGCGACGACAAAATACATAACTGATCCACGGGTCGCTACAGGACGATACTTCTCACGAGCAGAATTAATTTTTTGTTCTGTAGCTTCGGCCTCTTCCAAGCGAACTTTAATAGCACCTGAGGTAACCTATGTAAAATAAATTTCAAAAATTGGCTCCAAGGTGATACAACTAGCAATGGAAGATCAGAATCAATTCAATTCACCAATTTCAATCTCAGTTGTCCAGTACTCGAGTCTGAAAGATCCACAATCCTCCAAAGAACTACTGATGAAGGATCAGTGAACCAGGAACAAACCAGTCACTGTAGACAGGGATTCTTGCCATTCAGTAGCTGTTAACTCTGCAAACCAAAGCCTTAATGGGTGGTTCTAGCTACGTAAGCAGCAAGAAGCTTGCCAGTGTTTGGAAAGGCAAGCTGTGCAGTTTTAGCTGTTAAACTCCAGGAGAACTCAAATGTACTCTCAGGGGTCTCCAAGCCTTGGTTCTCACTAATCTGTGTCTAAATGCTCCAGAATTAGATAAGCATGAGTACATCCACTCTCTGGGGAGAGAGAGCATACTCCAAACCAAACAAATGTAAACCATATACATGTTGAACTTTTAATTATTAGATTTGGACGCTCTTATGCACGACAACAGATTTCCCCATGTACCAGCTATCTGTTTGACCAAAAATAAAGTGTTGGTTTAACCACACTTCATATACTCTTAAAAGTCGAGGGTGCCATGCAATGTATGTTGTGCAACAAATCAGCAAACAACTTTTGTGGCACATACTATAAATATATATTGTGAAAGTAACATGTAAAATAAATCTTCCATGTTTTTGATGGAGATCATTGCTAAGTGAAAGAAAGAGTGAAAGCCTAGTGAATGCTTTGTTTTATATTATAAACGGTGAAGAATTTTACTCTGTTTAGTACATTGTATTATTTTCAGGGTAGAATAATCAGTGGAGATCATGTGAATATGGATCACTTAATGCTATTGTGATGCTAGAGGGGTTGATGGTTGGAAGAAAAAACAAGTTGTACATCAGAAACATGGAATAGTCAACTCTAAACTGTATGTAATTCTTGCAAAGTATATGTCTCGCCGATGTTCAGACCTCAATATAGTAGTTAAACACACTGGCCCTTCTTTGGTGAACGGTTCAATTGTTACACAGATAAAATTACCTTTGAATCTTGAAGAGTACGTATCAGTTCTTCATTGTCCAGAATGTTGCCTTCAGAGGTAAAAAGCAACCTCAAGATTTTATCTTCAATTGCTTTCAGCTGATTTTTATCTGCGTTAATTCGAACTATCAGTTGGTTTCTTTGTTCTTCAAGTTCAGGTTTCTCTATTCTCACAACATCACTGTAAAATACAACATTGAGGTCTGTCATTCACTGTACACTACAAATAATATTTTTCCCATCATAAAGACATAATAAAAATATTGTTATTTTGGCAGTGAGTTTTTGATGGACCCCACATCAAAAACTGTATATTTTGTAGGTGTTTTTTTATTATGTCTTTCAGGTTTCCAATGGGCAAGTTCTATTCCATCCATAGGTACTTGTGTATCATATTCATGCATCCTATAAGTAATACTGTGTATTTACCTGTATTAAACTTAATTTCCCAGTTATTATAGTTGCCAGGTTTAGCAGCCCTCAGTATTGCAATAAAGTATCGGCCTAGGGCAATGAGTTCAAAGTCTCAGCAAGGGGCTTGAACCCACTATCTTCTGATTAAAATATATATATATGTGACAATATATCAGAGCTCTTCCAATATAATGCTTTTTTGTACGTTTGGATACATTTGCTGAAAAATCAATAATTAGTTTGTACACATTAAAAATCATATTCACGGGAGTTTCAGCATATATTTATAAACTAATTTGCATTTTATCGTACTGGGTTTCTCAGTAGACTATGGAATTAAACTTCATAATTCCATCCTCTTGCTTTTTGTACCACTGTGAAATTCATACACGCAAGTTTAAAAAGAAAAATTCTAACTCGGTCAAATTACCATTTCTGAAATATAATCTCACCGTCCCCACCATCCAGTGCCTTGGGACGTGAAAGGCACTATATAAATGCAATTTTTTGCTGTTTGTTATTTTCCTTCAGGCTTACTAATCAAAACTACATTATACTGTCCAGTGCAAATGTTACCATATCGACCCTTAACACTGTTGAACAGTAAACCAAAGATTTGGTTAATAAAGTTTAAACAAGGGATTCAGGGTATGTTCTAATAAGAGACAGAATAGTAAGATAAAGTTCAGTTAAAACATAAAAATAAGACAAGGAGCTTCACCTTAGTAGCTGATCTTCCAGACCAGATTTGGTCACAGTGAAGTTGATGATCGTGACCTTGATACACACCTGATGGAAAAAGTCAGATATTTAATGTCAAACTGAACAAGCAGATAGCGTCGAAGGTCAACACCTCCAACAATGCATCCCCCACCCCCCAGCACCGCATTGGAATGTTAGCTCAGACTGTGTGATTCAAAGTCCCAACGTGGGGCTTGAACCCACATTGGTCTGACTGACAGGCGAGAGTGCTACCACTGAGACAGGCTAATATTTCTCATTTTCCGAGATTGTGGGCATTCGCTGTTTGATTGTGTCATGGGCAAGTAGCTCATTGAGTACCAGAGTGGGTTTTCATGCTTGTGAGAGCTTTAGAGGACTACAGATGGGGAATTGGCTGGTATTGTCTTGTCCTTTATAATTACACAAAGAGGAAGGAAGGTCCTGCAAGGAACGTAATAAGTAATTCTTCCCACACTATGCTGTATAAAAGTTCCACTGCAGAAGAGTGGTGGTTTGATGTTGAATAACCTCAGGAGCACAGCAATGTTGAAACTTTTTTTACTTTAGAATGGTCACCTCAAGCTTAGCAAATGTAGGCAATTGGCAGGCATGCTTCCTTATTAATAACCTCAAAAGGAGATCTCTACATGTTGGTCCAAGTTGTCATCAATCCACTAGTAAAGTGAAATCTGGCTTTTCTTGATGGGTGTTGTGGTGAAGGATTAAAATGCCAGGGAACACAGTAAAAAAAACAATTTAGGAATAAGCAGGGAAGTCAGATGATTTTTTTAAACAGCAAATAGACTGCAGAATCAGTGTATGGTCGGTGGTGCGTGACTAATATCAGCTAGGCCAGCAGTGAGCACAGTACAACCAAGCACAAAACAATTAATTTGCAAGGAGAGATGACACCCATAGATCTCTTTCAGCTTCCTCCTTGGCAAATTCAATCCCATCCATGGAGTACTTGTGTTTCATATTCTTGGATCCTATATGTAGTAGCTTGCGCTGATCAGTATTAAACTTAATTTGCCAGTTATTGTTCCATGTGCAAATTCTATCAAGCTCTATTTGTAGGACTTTTGCTGCCTCTTATTTCCCCTTTTCCCCCCACTTGGTGTCATCTGCAGATTTGACTATCTTACATAGGGTGTGCAAATTAGGTAAATAATGTATGACCTGAGGAATAGTAGGAGTCTCAGTACAGATACCTGAAGGATCCTGCTTAATACCTCTCCCCATTTTGACCCTGATCCCCTGACAAAGACCCTCTGTTTTCTTCCCTTCAGCCAATTCTGAATCCATATCTTGCCTGTGAAACCCAGTGACAATAGTCTGTGAAGAAGTTTTTCATGTGGTACTTTGCCTAACACCTTTTCAAAGTCATATCATTTCTGAAGAATAGCCACTTGGCTAAGGCACCGGAGGGTTACCGCTACCACAGCAACAACAAGATTGCATTTATAGAGCGCCTTTCACGTCGGGGGACGTCCCAAGACGCTGGACAGTTGGGTCGGGACCCGAGCAGGGGGGAAATGGTCAGGGTGAGGGGAGGGAAGGGAGGGAGTGAGGAGGGGGTAGAGAGTCGAGAGGGGAGCTGAAGGCACGTTGAAGAGAAAGGTCTTGAGACCGGCCTTGAAGGAGGAAAGGGAGGAAGCAAGGCGAAGGCACTGGGAGATAGAGTTCCAGAGCCTCGGGGCTGAGAGGCTGAAGGCCCGCCACCGATGGTAGGGCGGTTGGGGGGGGATGTGAGCAGAATGGAGCCAGAGAAATGGAGGGTACGGGCAGGTACGTGGGGGGATAGTAGGTCGGAGAGGTAGGAGGGTGCAAGGTCATGAATGGCCTTGTAGGTGAGGATGAGGATCTTGAATTCGATGCTCTGGGGGATGGGAAGCCAGTGGAGGCGAGCGAGGGTGGGAGTGATGTGGTCGCGGTGTCTGGTGCGGGACAGTACATGAGCTGCAGAGTTCTGAATGACCTGCAGCTTGTGGAGGGAGGTGGCGGGAAGGCCGGCGAGGAGAGAGTTCCCATAGTCCAGCCTTGAGGTGATAAAGGCGTGGACCAGAGTTTCAGCAGCGTGAGGGGTGAGGTAGTGCCGTCGTCTGGCGATGTTTCGGAGGTGATGGAAGGTGGTGCCAGTTGTGGCGCAGATATGAGGAAGAAAGGACAGCTCAGGGTCGAACAGAACGCCGAGGTTCCTGACTGGCTTTGAGAGGTGGAGAGTGCAGCCTTGGATGCTGATGCTGTCAGCGCCTGAGGTGCGGAGGCGCTGACGCGAACCAATCAGGAGGGCCTCAGTTTTGCGCACGTTGAGCTGAAGAAAGTTGTCTCTCGTCCAGGACTCGATGTCGGACAGGCAGCTGTCAGGACATCGGTGGTCGTGGAGTTGAGGGTAGAGGAGGAAAGGTAGAGTTGGGTGTCATCCGCATACATGTGGAAGTTAACCCCATGTCTGCGGATGAAGTCACCAAGGGGGAGCATATAGAGGGTGAAGAGGAAGGAGGGGACCGAGGACAGAGCCCTGAGGGACACCACACAAGACAGTGCGGGGGCTGGAGGAAAAGCCGTTTGCAGAGACAAAATGAAGACAGTGGGAGAGGTAGGACCTAAACCACTCAAGCACAGGGCCTTGAAGGTTGAGGTGGGAGGACAAGCGGTGGAGGAGGATAGAGTGGTCAACTTGTATAATGAGTCACTATCTTCAGGAAAAGAAAAGGTAGTGAGAAAGATCAGTCTGGCCAACCTCTGGTAGATAGTGTGGATTGGCCATTTTGGTTGTCATGTAGAACTGGAAGTGTTTGTCATAATCAACGTCTGAATCTCCCAGCCGGATTAGCATTCTGCCACCTGCTATAAATGTCTGTTTCAGAAGAATAGGCTCCAAGCAGGATCCAAGGTCTCTTTAAGCTGAAATTGAAAGAGGTAACAGGTGACATGTCAGCACATCAAATATGAGCTAAGAAATATTTATAGTGCATACTGTGGTTACAGCAAAGTTAATACTCTTAATATATGTAGATTAGGGATTAGTCAACTTCCAAATATGTATATGTAGGATGAACATGCTAGAATAATAGAAAGCACAGAAGAAGGTTAATCAACTAATTGTATGTATGCTGGCTCTTTAAAAGAGCAATCAATTGAGTCTCATTTATCTTCTTTTCCCTTATTAGATGTCTACACAGTTCCCTGTGTGAAATTCCTCCTAATCATCTACTGTTATTTATCTTCACCCACAACACATACAGACAATTCACTTTACGGTACACTCTGTGAAGCACCTGAGACATCTCAAATGCAAGGATTACTGTTATTATTATTATCTTAAATTGATGCCTTGTATTCACTGATGTACCAAACAGTGGAAATAATTTTTCCCCCATCAACTCTACCCAAACCCCTCATAATTTGAAAAATCTACTAGATATCCCTTCAATCTTCTCTGATCCATTGAAAACTATTCCAATGACCCTCTTCCTCCAGTTTTCTCTGTCAAACCACTCATCCTTGATATCATCCTTGTAAATCTCCACTGCATATTTTACATCCTTCCTAACATGGACTGAAACTGGATACTGTAGTCAGACTAACAAAGTATATAGGATCCAATGAACTTTCTTCACCCAATGAGCTTTTTTCAGTTTTGTCTAACTGGCTTCCTACCTTTAAAAATGTATGTGTTAACCCATTGTCTTTCTGCTCTTCTACTCATTTTAAAATGTTACCATTATTTTGTATCCTCAACTAAACCCTCACACTTTTCTACATTAAACTTTATCTGCTATCTCTCTGCCCAATTTACTTTTCTATGTATATCTGGCTGAAGTTGCTTATATTCTTCTCCATTGTTTGCTGCACTCTCTTTTTGTTGACTCATCTCCTTCTGAACAGATGTTTTACGTTAGCAACCCTACCAGTCTTCTGGTACAACTTTCCTATCCAAGGACATTTGAAAGATAGGAGACAGAATTTCTACTACTATCCTCTCTGACTTCTCTCAGCATTCTCAAATGAATGAAATAAGACCTGGTAATATGTTCCCTTTAATAATGCCACTTTTTTTTCTCTAGTTATTCCTTCTAATTGCTGCACACCCATCTCTTTTACTCTCTGTTTCTCACCACCACTCTCTTCTGGAAAAAAAATTGAGACACAACATTTGTTTAGTATTTCTGTTATACCTTCATTTTCCATATTGTGCAACTGTCATAGAAAAAACCCAACATTTAAGTGTGGGATGATTTTTTGTTAGAGCAACTAGTGTGGCAAGAACATTCAACATTTGTTCCACATATCTGATAATGTTGGTAACACTTAAATGAAGTTCTGAATCAGAAATTAGTTATCAACTCTTTCCTCACAAATATAATGAATCTTATATTTAAAAATTACATCGTTTCCCACCAAATATTTATTCTCATATGTATTCCCTTATCCCTTATTGCATGCATGAGAGAAGAGAATAGAGGGATATGGGAGAGGGGATTAAGAGGCTTTTATGTAGTGAAAATACCAGCATGGACTATTTGAGCCAAATGGCCTATTTCCATGCTGTGATGTTCTAAGTAATTCTATGTTTGAACATCGTTCTTTAAATAATGCCTGTGAACAATGGCTAAAATACTTACTTAAAACAGGATTAAAAAAATCACTGGAGCAGGATATACTTACCTCTTCTAACAACACTGGTGAGCCAAGCCGAATAGAATTTTCTAAAGTGCGTAAGAAATTGGAATCTGTCAGTTTAATTATCTTCAAACCATTTTTGTTTTCCTTGTTTCGTATCCAGCGATTTGCCTGCATAGAAAGATGCCATAACTATTAAATGCTTTGCAATAGCTCATTTTAATAAAAAAAATAAACTTAAAAAGCATACAGTCCCCTTGGATGGAACTATCTCTGAGAAACACAAAAGGCCATGCAAGTTTGCAGTAATCCAACACATTGTTGATGGCTGACCAGCTAGTCTGACTCATAATTGTGATTCACCCTTGCAACCTAAATTCCAGCAGGGATTGAATTTTATTAATATGTACAAAGTTATCATCTCATTTTCATTTATGGTAAATACAGTTGCAACTGACTACATAATTCTGATCAGATATACTGTAATATCTAGTTCACTAAGATGGCAAAACAATTGTTTAGAGTTGGTATATTTATGTTTAATTCTGAAGATGAGACAATACTTTCTCAATGCTATACATGTTTCTAGACTGAGAAGGTAAATATCAAATCTGTTTGCAGGCCTTTGACAATTTTGTAACCTCTCAAAGGATGATTTATCATAATAAAGTTTATTACTTGCTGAAAATTAGTTTGGAGCTAGCACTGTAGAAAAAGAAATGTATGTTTTTTTAATACAGCATACTTTACAGTGCTGCATTTTGTGGTTTGAGATCAAAGAAGAAATCTGAATAGATGGGATCTCAGTATGATATCCCATGCAAAGTCTAGCACTTCTGACATTGAAGGGTATTGGAATGTCAGCCAAGACTGTGAATTCAACATCTCAGCATGAGGATTGAACTCAAAGCTTTCTGACTCAGAAACAAAAGTGCTACTGAGTCTTGCTGACATAATGTGATTTACTGTGACAAGACAGCAAAAGAGGTTCAGAAAATCCTCTTCTCCCAGACAGAATGGAATGATTTGCAAGGGTCGGTTGTTAGAACAGTCGATTGGAGCATCAACTGAACTGACTTAGCACATGCAGACAAATGGTATTAGAGTCTACAGGAAAAGGGCAGGGAGTTGGAATTAGGATGAATAGCTTTTTGGAGAAGCAACCTCCTTTGAGGACTTGAAAAATAGGCCAAATGGTCTCCTATATCTATAGTTCTAAATACTTGCTGAAAATCCAAATTTTAGTTTCTAGACACCCTTCAATCACTAGATTAGTAACGTACTAACCATCCCAGTTGATTCATGAAGATTGACTTGTTGCTTTACACGCAAGTCAACTTCTCTTATTGTGTTTGTACACATTATTTGACTATTGGTTATACCCAGAATAACACTCTGGGTTACTGAAGTGATACGGAATAAAATGGTTAGCTTGTTTGATTGCATTATGCATTCATTTTAAATTATTTAGTTAGCCTGTTCTAACAACAAGACCAACAACAACAAGATTCCATTTATAGAGCGCCTTTCACGTCGGGGGGACGTCTCAAGGAGCTGTATAGTTGGGTCAGGACCCGAGCAGGGGGGAAATGGTCAGGGGGAGGGAAGGGAGGGAGCGAGGAGGGGGTAGAGAGTCGAGAGGGGAGCTGAAGGCTCGGTCAAAGAGAAAGGTCTTGAGACCGGCCTTGAAGGAGGAAAGGGAGGAGGCGGCGAAGGCACTGGGGTATAGAGTTCCAGAGCCTAGGGGCTGAGAGGCTGAAGGCCCGGCACCGATGGTGGGTGGTTTGGGTGGGGGATGTTGAGCAGACCGGAGCCAGAGGAACGGAGGGTACGGGCAGGTAAGTAGGGGGATAGTAGGTCAGAGAGGTAGGAGGGAGCAAGGCCGTGAATGGCCTTATAGGTGAGGATGAGGATCTTGAATTCGATCCTCTGGGGGATGGGGAGCCAGTGGAGGCGAGCGAGGGTGGGAGTGATGTGGTCCCGAAGCCTGGTGCGGGACAGTACACGAGCTGCAGAGTTCTGAATGACCTGCAGCTTGTGGAGGGAGGTGCCGGGAAGGCCGGCGAGGAGAGAGTTCCCATAGTCCAGCCTTGAGGTGATAAAGGCGTGGACCAGGTTTCAGCAGCGTGAGGGGTGAGGTAGTGCCGTAGTCTGGCGGTCTGAATGAAGAAAGCCTTTTGTCCCTTCCAATCTCATTCCTCTAGAACACCTACCTGCATCAAGCTGCTTTTTAAACAAGTCCAATTGTCCTGGTCTCTACTACCTTTCTTCTCAACCTGCTCCAGTCATTGATTACCCTCTATGTAAGAAAAACTTCATGGTTTTGCCCTTTACAACTCTAAACTCGTCTTGTTCTACTATCTTGATAACTCCTAAAGTACTGATCTGGATTTACTTTTTCAATCCCATCTAAGTGATCTTCTCCCAAAACTAAAAAGTCCCAACATGTGTAGTCGTAGCTCATACATAGTTCTAACACTGTGGTTTATCTTCATTGCTCTCCTCTGCACAACCTCTAGGGCCTAGGAGGCCACCTTATGTCCTGGAATTGTCTGCTATATTCATGTTATAGCCCGACAAGAGCAGCCTGAGAATGAAGTATGGGGATCTAAACTCAACTGATACAGCTATATAGCCCAGTATTCTGTTTGCCTTGTTTATTGTTGCATCACATTATTTTGATATAGTGAGCGACGAGTCAACAAATACCGCTAAATCTCCTGGCAAATTCAAGGCCATCCATTGAGTACCTTGATCCCAGTACTTGCAACTCTGGTCTTTGTCTGGGTAGCAATTGACCAGGCATGGCACACTCTGTGCCACCTTCTGTTAAGAAATATCTTGCATCACAAATACACAGTGCTTCCCTGTAATGATGCTATGAAATTAATACTTACACATACTAGTTTATTTCTAGGCAGTTGCATGCTATAGATTCACTCTCTTTGAACAACTGCTATAACAGTCACATAATTCAAGCAGGAAATGAAAAGCAGTTGGCCAATTCTCTTGATTGACATGGTGCTGTAGGGGATTGCACCTTGTTGTTTAGAGCAGGTTTATAAAGAGAAAAAGCTCTTGAAATTTCCTGGATACTATTTAAATTGTCTAACTCATTTTATGAGAGTACCAATTCCAAAATGATTTCCCAGTGCTCTTAAACAGAAAATGACTATCCAAATTTACACACAAAACATCTGTCAGAATTGATAAAGGCAACCATTATGTTTATCTGCATTGCATTTTTTGGTCTCTATGCAATATATCTTCAGCGGTCTGTTATATAACGTAACTGAGTAATGACATTAGCTATTAAAGCTTTCAACTGCATCCTTTATAAAACCTGAATGAAGGTGCTTTATCTTCTTGAGTAATCTTTGCAACACACAATATTTTAACAGTGTTAAGCACATGTCAAACTTTCCCACTATTCCTGAAGATGGACACTCACCTGATCTTGCGGATCTATCATCAATGGCCATCGACGTCCTCGTGTCACAAGAATACCATTTTCAGTTGAAACGTTATCACGGGGCAGACCATCAGTGTTCCAATTGCGAATCTCAAACAGGTCCCCTAAAATGTTGACAAGGCTGAAGTTTTGGCTGATGGGAATTTCCAGGTTCTGGCAACCAGTAATCCATTGATCTATTAACTATTAAAACATTTTTTTTCAAAGGTTTAAGAAAATTCATTGGTAATAGTAAAGCACAGTTCCTACTGATACGCTTTGCTTTAAATTGGACACCAGTAGATTTTAATTGTACAACAATTGTAATTTTTTACAATACAGAATAAATTCCCACATATCCCTTATCCTTCTCATGGGGTTTTGTCACAATTTCTCAAAATGTTCCAAAAAGTGTATGGTCATACTAATCTATTGGCAGTGGCCAGATAATCAAATACACGTGGAGTCCTGTAGCTCAGTGGTTAGAGCACTCACTTTGCAAGCGAGAGACCTGAGTTCAATTCCAGGCAGGGCGAAACCTTGGGCAAGTTTCCTTACTCCACACGCCTAATAATAATCCCTCTAAAAAAGCAAAACAATAATGAATTGGTCATTTTTAATCCATGACTGTTTGTGGGACATTGCTGTGCGCAATTGGCTGCCGAGTTCGCCCACAAATATACAGTCAATTCACTTTACAGTATATTCTGTGAAGCGCTTTGGGACGTCGAGAAGACGTGAAAAGTGCTATATCAAATGCAAGGATTATTATTATTATTATATCTAACTTGAGGTTTGTTTAGCAATTCAAAAATCAAAGACTGCAAAATTCAATTAAATCCAGGGTGGCTGGTGTATGAGCAAAGTAGCAGGGCGAAATGGAGGGACTGCGAGATGGAGTTCCAGGAGCTGGGTGCAGAGTAGCGGAAGACCCGCCTGCCAATAGTGGGATGAGCAAGGTGGGGACGTGAAGCAGGCCGGAGCCCGCTGAGCGGAGGGAGCGAACAGGGTGGTAGTGGATTAGGAGTCGGAGAAATAGGGGAGAGCAAGATGGTGGAGGGCTTTGAAAGTGAGGACCAGGATCGTGAGCTGTATCCTCTGTGTGATGGGAAGCCAGTGGAGTTGGGCGAGGATGGGGGTGATAGGGTCACGGAGCCTGGTGCGGGAGAGGATATGGGCTGCAGTTCTGCATGATCTGCAGCCTGTGGAGGGAGGAGTTGGGGAGGCTAACAAGCAGTGAGTTTGCATAGTCGAACCTCGATGTAATGAAGGCGTGTATAAGACAGCCTGCGGTGTGAGACAGTGTCGGAACCGGGCAACGTTGTGGAGGTGGGGGGAAGGCAGAGCAGGTCATGGCGCAGATGTGGGGTAGAAAGGATAGTTGAGGATCAAACAAAACCCCAAGGTTCCAGACTGGCTTATTAAGGTGGAGTGTGCAACCATGCATCACGTACCAATTGTCGATATACAGCTGTGAAAGCTCCATAATAGGCAACGCAGGCTGCTGCGATGAAGACATTTCCAATGACATTGGAGATCTCCTGTTCAAACAAAATTATGCTCTCTTTCCAGCGAACTTGCTCATCTCCAAGAGCAGCCGTCAGCTTCCCAGCATTTAATAACCGAGCCTGAGTAATTTCCATGGTTTTTGCTAGAAAGAAAATACGTGACAGTCAAAAGCAATATTCACAACCAATCAATCAAAATAAATAAAATGCTAAGTATTCAGAAATTATTGTTATTTACGAAAAAACACATTTCCGATGCAATAAGAAGTTTAAAATAACGATCAATTCTCTTGACACCAGAAATATTTAAGATAGGTGGAAAATTTGCAACATTTTATAATAGGCATCAAATCTATTACATATGATTTAACATTTTATTATGTGGCATTAAACCTATTGAATTTCAGTCAGCAATTATCAACTGAATTTTAGGTTTGGCCCCTGCAGCTCTGGCACGATGATTACATCCAATAGTAGCATTTGAATGTTTTGCCCACTATCTCTTTTTGCAGCAGAAGCTACATGTTTTATCAGCTCAGAATCAACATCTTGAATATCGTTTTACGCAATACAGGCTGAGTTAAGCTTTAGTGTCCTATTTTCAGATGATTAAATGCCCCATTCTCCATGATCAGGAGATCTTTGGGCCAATCATGAAAGCTAGAGGACCACAGATCTGTGCCTAGAGAATCGGTGTTGATAATCTAATAGAATATTGATTTAACTCAGCCTCTCTTGTGTAATCAAGTGCTGCCTCAAAGGGTCAAAGGGTCTTGCAGAGCAAACTATTACAGCAGAGCTGAAAGGACGTTCAAACCTGAAATCAGCTAATAATAATTACCTGAAATTCTATGTTGCATAGCAAATTCAATGATAATATCATATTGAAAATAGATACAATATGATAGCTATCAGAACAAATCTGTTGTGAAATTTGAACAAATATACCCCCAGAGCCTTATTTAATTCGATTTATTTCACAGGTAAAATTGTAGGAAAAGTATTCGTCATAAAATACAAAAGATTTCACCCAGATAAAATGGGCAAAAATTTCCGAAATAAAATTAATCATTCACTTCATAGCTGTTTGTGGATCATTGTTGCTGTGTGCAAATTGGCTGCTGCATTTGCCTACAAAATGCACAGTCACTCCACTTGTGAGACATCTCCCAACATGACATTAGCTACATCAAACCCAAGGATTATTACTTTTAAAAATAAGATTGGTATTATAAGTGCACATTGATCATATATACAGGAGAAAAAATGTTCATCTTAACACAATGAAGATGCTTTCCCAGATGGCACACTCCGTTTTTTACCTTTCAAAAGGGAACTAGGCAGATATCTAAAACAATGGTAAACTACTGGGAAAGAGCAGGTACAGAAAGGATTGCTCCTTTGCCTTCTCCTTCGCTGTAAATTTGTTTGGTCCTATGGCTCTATCCATTTAAACAATTGATTTTGAAGGCCGTTTAATAAAAAGACATGGTGCATTCTAAATCAATATTTTAATGTTGACCAAATGCTGAAGACATCAGATACCTTACAAATCATGGAATAAGGAAAGACTCTTTTGCACATTGAGCCCATTTCTTCTACAATTAATGTACAACTCATTGTATTGTGGAAACTATCCACATTTACCATTTATTTATCCAATTCATTTAGCTTGCGAAAAAAGTTTGTCCCTTGTCAAATAAAACTGCAGTATATTTTATTTTACATTTTTCATTATGCATCATAGATCTGGTATCTCCTTGGTCTCTGCTCTGATACCGAAATCTTCCATCTGGCATTCAATCATATCCATCTGCATCTATGTTGATGACCCTACATCTAATTACTAACTAAACAACAGATCATTAGCTAAAAGACTGTTCAGCATACCCACAACAGTGGAGAGAGAGGAAATTTTAATCTCGCCTGGCTCTTTACGTCTACAATTTACATCTGATAATTCGGCAGACAAGTTATTTCACCAAGTTTCCTTCTCCACTTTTCTTCTCTTCACTCACTCTTTCCCTCCTAGGTAACCTTACCTAAGTGGTTACTGATAGCTTAATAGTAAGTGTTAGAGACTATTTGACTATGATGGCAGCATCACAGCTAAGCCCAATGCTGGCCTCAACACAAACAAACAAGCATGTTTAAAGACAGTGATCAGGATGAGGAACTTTGGCTGATTTTTCTCAGTGGCACAATCCAATTGCAGAGTCCCATCTGCAGCATTGACCAAGAGCAGCTAACTCAGCAAAGGTTTGATATAAAACCTGGATAACATACAACAACAATAAAAATAACAGCAAATTTGCATTTACATAGTGCCTTTCACCTTGGGAGCTTATTTGCTCGCTGGACAGTGTTTTAAGTGCTCCGAGACACTACCCCACATGAACGGCACCATATAAAAGCAGCAAGTTCCAAAACACAGGTAACAGCAAAAGCAAACATAAAAGTTAAATCAAATGAGCAGATAGCAATGGGAAAATAGATGAGGTGGTACATCACCTTCTCCTATTCCTTAAAGAAAATCAATACTGCTTTGCTCAATTTGGTTGTACCTTCCGAACACAACTCTATCAGATATTGGTTTATACTCTTTTTTGTAATATAAACTATGGTTGAGCAAAACAAATCAAAAGATCATCTCCCTGAATCTCGCCTGCCAAGAATACTTTCGGATGTGATTGCAGAAGATCACACCCAAAATGCAGAACTAAATTTTGACCCAAGAACATTTAATGTATCATATTTTGGAGGTATTATTACCCCCGGAAAGCAGTCCGCCAATCGACTAACACTCAGGCTCCTACTTCCTATTGGTAAGCAGAGATCTGTGTGTGTGGAATAAGGAAACTTGCCTAAGGCTTCGCCCTGAATGGAATTGAACCCAGGTTCACTTGCTTATTTGATTATCAAAGATCCCATACATTAAATGGAATTGAACCCATTAAATCTATTTCTAAAAATAGAAAGTCAAAATCAAGCATCCTATTCAAAACAGTTACTGCTGGAAGTGATATCGTATCACTTGCTTCCTGTCAGTGCACAATACTTTTCAGGAGGTTTGTCACCTCAATACATTTGGCAGAATTTCTTCCAATTGAAAGCAAAAGTGAGAATTTGCCCAAACAATTCAAGCAGTAACCCTCCTTACCAAGAGTCTCTTTCTCATTCACATTGGTTTCATACTGTTCTTCAAGTTGTTCAATCTTCATCTCAACTTGTTTGAGTTTTTTTTGCTTTTCTTTAAGCATCAACAAAGTGGCATCTAGTTCAGCCTAGTGAAGAAATGTTTTATTTATAAGTAGTGTTGTATGTAAAAATGATTCAGTTGTTAATTCCAAAAACAAGTGACAGGTAGATACTGGCACTGTCTGAAATCTCACTGTAACTATGAGCTGTCTAATTTTCAGCTTCAACAATAGTGTAACAACCTTTGCTGTCACCAAGTCTACCTGAAACGTGACTTGTATCAAGACGTGCAAATCATCTTTTTTATTGCTGCAAACTTCGAAATGTAACATGCCAAATTTTACTCTATTTAATGCCAACGTGATATACATTCATAAATATATTACCTGAGCAGCAGCTAGCTTTACTCGCTTTGGTTGTACCTCCTTAATAACTCGCGAATACAGATCCATAGCTCTCACCCACATACACATGGATTTACAAGCTCTGGACACTTTCTCCACCTTTTCAGGCACAAAATCAGGATTAATAAGATATTTCTGAAGCTTCTGCAGAACCTGGGGTTTAATGTTGTCTTTGTCATATTCCACAAGTTTCTTCAGGAAGTTTGAATCACCCAGAACTTGTTTAGCTGAAGCCCAGTCAGTTCTATAAAGCAAAAACAAACAACATGTTTCTCCCCCTCCTTTAAAAAGAAACTTTTAATGATTTTTTTAAATGTTTTGTGATCTGTGAAATGTAGGTCTCTTATTCCAAAAAAGTTAATTCACCGGTTAATTTGTTTTAAATTAATTTCTGTCAGTAATACAAGGTTTGCTTTTATTTATACTAAATGTGGCATTGCTTTTATTTTTCAGCTTGGAAGGAGGGATCAGCCTAACTCGTTTGCACTCTTGCCTGAATCAGAAGGTTGTGGGTTCATGCCCACATGTCAGGACTTTCAACTTTATGCAAGGCTGACGCTCTACTGCTGTGTTGGGAGTTTGTGCTGCATTGTCAAAAGTGCAGACCTATGGGTGGGACATTAACCGAGGTCTCGTCTGCCTGTTCAGGTGGATGTAAAAGCTTCCATGGCATGATTCGAAAAGAGAAGAGATTCTCATGGTGCCTTCCAGATAAGTGTGGTCATTTACTTCATTGCTGTTTGTGGGACATTTGCTGTGTGCAAATTGGCTGCCACGTTTATCTACAAATACCGTCATTCTATTTTAAAGTAAATTCCTGTCAAGTGCTTTCAGATGTTTCAACAATAGAATAAGGCACTGTAGCAAATACAAGGATATTCTCAAATTTGTCGAGCACTTCACCCCTAAAAACTTCATTTCTGAGAGAACTTTGATGGTTGGTAATTGTATATAAACAAGTAGGTCTCAAAGCTTTCTTTGTAAAGCAAACAGATAAAATAGGGTTATAAGTGACATTAATCTCACAAGAAACAAAATTTGGTATATTTCTGAAAAATTTAAATTCTTTCTTGCTGAGATCATGAAAGATAATGGAAGCCAAGATTAACATTTACATTCCACTGCTTTGTGAAACAATTAAATACCCATGGGATTACATATGTAATAAAATATTTTATAGGCACAATCATCTGATACTTAAATGTTGTTGAGTTGGCATTTAGACTGCACTATTGAGATCACTTGTTTTACACAGCAAGAATAGTGCCATGATGATGCAGTTGGTAACTGCAAGGTTCAAATCTTCACAGGATTTTATTGTCAAGTGACTGTATATTTTACAGACAAACAGGGCAACCAATTTATGCATAGCAATATCAAACAAACAGCCATGATGTCAATTACCAATGTTATCTGGGGACTGATGACCAGAACACCCTCCTGTACAGTGCCCAAGTGGCCATTGGTCACATGTGAGCCTTGGCAGTGTATTGGAAAGTCTGTAAAGGGTCACATCACCCGCCTTCAGCAATCAAATACACACTATCAGTAGAATGTGCTGAAGATGGGTCAGTACCCGTCAGCCTGGCTAATTTTAAACTCAGAGGGGGAACCCCATGAAACGAGGGTTAACTTAGTCTCCTCATGCAACTGTAGATGAGTCAAGCAAACACCACACAGACCGGGATTCAAACCACCAAGCTCTCAGTTCATTAGTTTCAGCAAATCCACTATTGCCAGGAATCCTGTCCTGCTATCTCAAAGAATGGGTGTTTTTCTCTTGGTTAACTTGGCTTACATTCCTTCCTCATTTATATATTCATCTCCAATTCAAATCCAGTAGCCACTCTTCCACCTTTGTTTGTAGAATGTTACTGAGTGAAAATTATTTGCAAAGTGTGCCTACATTNAAAAAATTCACTAATTTCTCAATCATTTCATTCCATAAAGCAATTCAGGTCTTTTTTGTGTAAAAATTGTTATAAAAATGTGAGTTGTAGGACACTACACCAACTATGCGTTTTCGAATTCAAATATTCACATTCGAAAATATGCTTCTGCAACACTACAACAAAGGAGGTCATGTATACTTACTTTGCATTAAGCAGGATGCACATTGCTTCCATGACAGTCATAACAAGATCAGGAGGTTTAGTGAACACCCTAACTTCAGATATATCTGCTTTGTCCAAAGAGTCAAGAGCTTTGATAGCTGCATCCAATGCTGGCATAGCTTCATCAAGATCTTGTTGAGCATCATCAGCAATAGCTTGGGTAGTTTCAGCCTTTACTTTAGCAAGCGCTTCATCTTGCTGAACAACATGACGAACCTATCATATTCAACAAAAGACTATTTTGAAATTACTTTGCACATTTAATTTGAGTAGTATTGACTATAAATTTAAGGCTGTTATAATAATGGACGCATTTCATTATTTCCACAATTATAATGCAACTATCAAACCCAGCAAGTCATTTACACAGTGGATATCAAAGAAAACAAGAGAGCAATCTATTTGGAAATGTGAGAGACAATATCACACAGATGAACACAGAGTGTTCTCCATTCTCAGCAACCTTTGTACAACACTGGAAGTCCAATTTGGTGTTATCTAGATGTGTCAAGATCTCAACGGATGTTGCCCCTTTAAGAAAGCAGCAACATTGTTTGTGGGACCTTTATCATTATTTCCATTTAAAAACTGCAATATACTCAGGAGGCTTCAGTTCAGCAGAACAATGTTCTTCCCTACACTGCTTCAACCATTGTATCTATTTCTTAGTTTGCTGTTTTACAGTGTTTTCAGTAGTATTTAATTCTACCACTATTCTGAGATAGAAAAAAAGGTTTAAACTATGCAAAGATCTCTGTCCAAATACTGCTGAAAGCATAAGTCTGTGTTTACTACTGTCAATAATGTTGGTCCCTCTCTTTGATAATAATAATAATAAACCTTGCATTTGCTATAGCGCCTTATCACATCTTTGAGACGTCTCAAAGCACTTCACAGAATTTACTGTAAAGCGAATTGACTGTATATTTTGTGGACGAAATGCGGCAGCCAATTGCGCACAGCAGTGTCCCACAAACAGTTGTGGATTGAGCGACCAATTTTTTGTAAAAGTAACTAATACCCCCGGAAAAGCAATCCGCCAAATCACTAACAATCAGGTTCCTACTTACTGCTGGGTAAACAGAGGCGTGTGGAGTAAGGAAACTTGCCTCACATTTTGCCCTGCCGGGAATCAAACCCAGGTCTCTCGCTTGTGAGGGGAATGCTCTAACCACTGAGCTACAGGACTCCGCAAAGGGCTGTCATCCAAGGACAACACTGCAGGGTGCCAAATTCATCCAGGCATTTTGGTCTTCAAATCAAGCAATTGAGAATCTGGCATCAGACAACATGAAAAGGTCCACTCCCTCCTTTGCCAATCCAAACCACATGATTAATTTAACCACAAACTACAAGAGGATGCAATCAGCATGTAATGATATCCAGCCGGACAGATACAACTTTATAATTAAACAGGATACATATGTTCCAAAAACACACACAACACACAAAAACAAAAAAAAATCCTCTGTTCTGTGTAGGATGTGCCCTTTCCCCATACCACCTCCTTAATGTTTCCTGAACCCCCCCCCCCGGAAGTGGCAAGCGTCCCGAGTTAATACAGTGTTATCTCACAGCGTACAAGAAAATCTCTGCACATCTTGCCCTCTACTCTTCCTTATTCTTTTCAAAAAAAATAGTAGTTTTCCTGTGTTTTAAATGCCGGTTATCCAGATCCTATTTTAAACAACTACATTTACTTAGTGGGAGTATTCAGGTGAACACTCAGCCAGAATTTACCACAACAGTAACGACAAGTACCTTTGCTTTCAGCAGCTTAAATGACCATTTAAGAATACAATTTAGTATCACACTGGACAAATTAGAGCCATTGTATTCTACTTTTAACCCATATAGTAGCCTCAATTTATAATCGTTTTTGAACGAAGAACCTCCAGGATGGTATTAACCTATATTTATGGTTAGACTGCTATTTTCCATCTTTCTGCTGGCAATCACGATTCCCATTAACTTAACAAGTCGATACATTTTGATTTTCTAAAGCCAGATTGTCTACAAGTATATCCAATTGACCTTAATCTCTAAATTCATACTCCAGGAGAAAATTTAAAACAGGAAATTAAATGCCGACCACAATTCTTATATAACCTCTGTCCAGCCACATTTCTCTATTAGTCAAGCGAAGTGCTATCTGAGTAAAATGGAGAAGCGCTGTAATTAGGATTGTGTGCACATTCATAAGATTCTAATTTGAGGTGAGCAATATTCCTTCAGCAACTTTCTTTGCAGCAATCATGCATCTGTCCTTCGCTGGTGCTCCACTATCATTAGTAAATGAGTTAATCCTATTTTGAAAACCTATATTGTCAGTCCCCAAATGTCTGTTATAGATGGGATTTGTCTAAATGTGCAGCAGATTGCTTCATCATGCCTGACAAAATACTGATGGTTTTGGCTAACCTCTATTCTAAACTCCCATTGGTAAGTTAAATATTTTAATGGAATGCCATTTTCTTCATCATAATTATTTCAGCTTTTTGCTGAAAATCCATGCATTTCAAAAACAAATGTCCCCCTTAGGACTGTTCAGCTCTTTAATGGACTGAAATGACGAACAGCAGAAGTTATACCATCGTTGTATCACCTCCTCCCTCATAATATAAATTTAAAAATGGGTGATCTCCACTGCGGCACTTGTCTAGCTGAAAGTATCACATCCAATAAAACTCTGGCTTGTAGTTTTGTGGTCACGTTTATGTTTCGACATTTGCAGTGGAATATAGGTACTATAGATCTGGTTGGCTTTGCCAGGCATGACCCTCAAAGCCAGGTCAGCTCAGGCCCATTGTAATGAATGGAGTCAGATTAATTCCCACACCAGTATTTTGTGTATTTCACACGGGGAAACAACAGTTTATTCATGCAGAAAATAAAAGGAAAAAAAAACCTCTCCAATTCACAAAAATAAATAGACAACAACTTACTGAACATCACAACTCATGGAAACTCTGAAAAAAAATTGGAAAATAATCACCAACAATTAAACACAATATTAACTTTGGTGCGAAAGAAACAATATAGAATTACTGTGATATGTTTCCTCCTGAGCTAAAGAACTAAGATATAACATCAGAATGCAGTCAGGACTGAGCAGACAGTATGGTTCCTGTGTAACATCAAGCTCTTACTCAAACAGTGACTCTCAGCTTCTGCCTCCAGTTTGCCTGATCGCCTGCTTCTATGTGGAGTTTAAGTAAATTAATTATTATTTGATATTCAGTCAAAATTCATAAATAAAACTTCACAAGTTAAAATAGAAAGCTATACTTACCAAAGAATATTTAATCAGAATGAAAGTGCTACGTTGTGTTAAATATTCCACATTAAGATAAACATCCTGAATGTTGTTTTGAATTCTTATATTCTCAGATTGAAACTTTTATATTCTCAACTAATGTTTAAATTGAGTGGACTCAACAGTGTACATTTAATAATCAGCAGTTTTGTGATAGTTATTTCCTTATATTGCTTACCGTGTCTGCCTCAGCCTGATCCACAGTCAATTTCTGCATTAAAGCATTCACTTCAACTGATTTCTTTTGCAGTATAGGCTCCAGAGCTGAAAGTTCAATTTTCATTTTATCTACTAGATCATTAGTTTCCAACAATTTGGTAAGACCATTTTTAACACGATCCCGAGCCTGTTATTAGAAGAGAAAGTTTAAAATGTTATTATCAATTCTGACAATTCAGTTCTTTAAATATAGCAGGTCCATTTAGGGGACAACTATGCAATATTCCTAAATGCATTCAATTCCTTAATTATCACTCAACACTATTTAATGACAGGTTTGGGACTAAACACTCCATTGACGTTGGGCGAATACTTTCTCCCCGAAATGGCTTATAGTCAATTTATTTTAAAAAATAAAGAGACAAGATTTTGAATACTAGCCACGAAAATGACAGTTCACCTTTAAAATTGTATTTTTACAATTATTGGAGTTATTCAAGCTGAACAGAAAGTCTTTAAATGTCTTTAAAACCAAAAACAATAATAAATTGGTCATTTTCAATCCACGACTGTTTGTGGGACATTGCTGTGCGCCATTGGCTGCCGCGTTCGCCCACAAATATACAGTCAATTCACTTTACAGTATATTCTGTGAAGCGCTTTGGGACGTCCTCCCGACGTGAAAAGCGCTATATCAAATGCAAGGATTATTATTATTATTATTATTATTATTAAATGTATACTGGTCTAAAAATATTTTAACAGTAACATTTTCAAGTTTTACAAAATGGGCAGGATTCAAAGACCTCAAAAGGCTAGAAATAAAAAAAGGCTGTTAAATTGACTGTAAGATGTATGAGAGTGAAATAATTTTATCCAAATCATGTAGGCATTAGTCATTCCCAAGGTGGTCATTAAAGACAGGTTTTAAAATGACTATGCCTTTGCCATTCCTCAATTACAATAAATAAGAAGGCTTTTAGGTATGCTGCAACCATAACCCAATAATGGGAAATCGTATCAAATTATGTGCTACAATTAATGAATGAAGCAGAAAAATCCCTTGACGACTTCATAGCTGATCACATTCAACCAATGCATTAACCTTACATCTTCTTCGGAGTAGATGATAAATGGAAATTTTCAAATGCTAGAAAGGCACATGTTTTAAAATCAACAGTTTTATATTAAACAAATATGATTTGATGAGGAAAAAGATGGAACATTCTGAAAAATAAGTGAACGTATTACACAAATGAAAGAACATTTGAGCAGAGTATAAACATTACCATAATGCATTAAGCATGAAGCTGTAATAACAATTAAAATAGAATAAATTACTATGTGGTGCATAAATATGCTTCTCTAATTAAATCTCAAACATGTTCCATTTTTAATGCTGAAACCTGACTTGAAACGTGTCCTCTATACAAAGGTTTCAGAGACCCATATTATAGAAATATGTAACAGTGTCCAGAATTGGACCAGGCTCGGTCATTTATCCTCCAAAATTGGCATCCTAGAGGGAGCTGGATGAACTCTAATCACCCATCGAAGAATCACCAATATTTATATTGCTTCATAATCTCAGATCATATGATAATATGTAATGCTTCTAATCTTTGTGTTTTAAAATATTAAAATACCAATTTCAACAATGTAATGAAAATTCTTTTGTAGAGTGCTCCACTCACTCTTGTTTCTGGAGTTGTATCAGATCTGTCTGAAGTTAGGAGGCTGGCAAACACAACAATATTCGCTTCCAAATGCTTCCATATTGATCTGGTTACATTTACAAGTACTACAAGGATTATTATAATAATAATCCTTACATTTGATTTAGTGCCTTATCACGTCTTCGAAACGTCTCAAAGCGCAGGATATTCTGTAAAGTGAATTGACTGTATATTTTGTGGGCAAAACGCAGCAGTCAATTGCACACAGCAGTGTCTCACAAAGAGTCATGGATTTTAAGTGACCAATTTATTACTATAATTATTTTTGAAGGAATTATTACCTCCGGAAAAGTGATCTGCCAAATGACTAACAACCAGGTTTCTACTTACCTTTAGGTAAACAGTGGCATGCGAGTATGAAAACTTGCCTAACATTCGGAGTCCTGTAGCTCAGTGGTTAGAGCACTCGCCTCACAAGCGAGAGACCTGGGTTCGATTCCTGGCAGGGCAAAACCTTGGGCAAGTTTCCTTACTCCACATGCCTAATAATAATCCCTCAAGAAAAAAAAACAATAATAAAATTGGTCACTTCAATCCATGAATGGTTGTGGGACACTGCTGTGCGCAATTGGCTGCTACGTTTCACCCATAAATATACAGTCAATTCACTTTACAGTATATTCTGTGAAGCGCTTTGAAATGTCTAGAAGATGTGAAAACACTATATCAAATGCAAGATTATTATTATTTCACCCTGCCTGGGAATCAAACCCAGGTCCTCTTGTTTGCAGATATGGCATTGGATTAGCAAGTGAGATATCAACTTCAATCATTTTTTGTCATCAATGTTATCAGCCTGCCACACAATAATAGTAATTCAATGCTCTCTCTAATCCTTAAACTGGAATTCCAACTCAGCCAGTTACTTTAATGTGATCATAGTATGGGTGGCATGGAAGGGTCTGTCTCTATTAACTAGGGTAAGTGAATTTATAAATTATCATAAGGTGTTAATTTGTCCAGCTGTTCTTCCTTCACCACATCCGGTCCCTGACCAGGACCGCTTTCTTCCACGTCCGCCACATTGCCCATCTTTGACCGTACCTTACCCCAAATGCAGCCAAAACCCTCGGCTTTTGTTACCTATGGCTTGGATTACCCCAATGCACTCCTTGCCGGTCTCCCCAGCTCCACCATTCACAAGATCCAGCTCATTCAAAACTCTGCCGCCCACATACTGATCCGAACTAAACTCCATACCCACATCTCACCAGTTCTGGTCAGTCTCCACTGGCTCCTCATCACCGAACTGATCGACCTCTAGATCCTCACACTCGTGTTCAAATCTATTCACTCCTTGGCACTCCCTTCCTCTCTGAGGTTCTCACTCCCCAATCCACCACCCGACGCCACCACTCGACTGGCACTGGCCTCCTGCTCGTCCCTCGCACCATCGGAGGTTGCGCTTTCAGCCACTGCCCCCAAAACACTGGAACACTCTCCCTCAATCCCTCCAGCTTGCCCCCTCTCTTCCCTCTTTCAAGTCCTGCCTGAAAACTTTCCTCTTCGATCGTGCTTACGGCCACCTTCCCCCGGCTCGGAGTCAGGCTCCACCACTGTTAAGTGCTCTGAGACACTACCCTGCATGGAGGGCGCTATAGAAGTGTAAATTGTTGGTGTAATTTAGTCTACTATTTATGCCCCAATGCAGCTGAGACTCTCATCCACACTTTCGTCATCTCCCACCTCGATTATTCCACTGCCCTCCTCGCCGGTCTCCCCAGCTACAAAATCCAACTAATTCAGAACTCCACTGGCCCTATACTCAACAGCTCTAAAATCCGTACCCCAAGCACACCAGTCCTCGCCAGGCTCCACTGGCTTCTTATCACAGAACGGATCGACTTCAAGATCCTCACACTCGTCTACAAATCCCTTCATGCCCTGGCACCAGCCTACCTCTCCAACCTGTTTATTCCTCACTCTAAAATGTGGTGCCTCTGTTCGGCTAACTCAAACCTCCTGCGTGTAGCTTATCCCTTCCACTCCACCATCAGTGGCCAATCTTTCATCCACTACACCCCTAAATTTTGGAACTCTTTCCCTCAATCCCTCAGCCTTGCCCACTCCTTCCCCTTTTTCAGATCCCACCTAAAGACATTCCTCTTTAACCATGTTTACAGACACCTATTCCCTCGCCCGTCTCGGTATCGGGCTCTGCCTCTGTTAAGTGCTCCAATACCCTACCCCGCAAGAAGGTGCTATATAATAAATGCAAGTTGTTGTTGTTGCACAACGTAACTATTATGAATACAGAGGAATGACTTTTGCTGTAAACTGAAACAAATGAAAGCAATTTGTGGTGGAAATTCTTGCGGAACCTAACGTTTAGGAAGGGAGATCTATATTTTCTTCCATAGGGGACTGAAACTGTAGCAACATTTCATTGGTGCTAGAGATTGAAATGTTGTGCCTGGAGGAGATTGTCACAATTCATGCAATTCAAAAGCATATGACCTTTGGGTTCCCTTTATTACTTATGACGGTGTTTTTAGCATCTGCCATGTGAGAGGGCAAGGAAAAAATAACTATTTGAATTAGCAAGTTGTTGCAGATTTAAGCTTCTATTCACATCAGCCGAAGTGGAGATAACCAATTGCTACATCACAAAAATTTAAAATAGATATAAAATAAATTAATGGATTTTCAGAAGTCAGAGACTACTAGCTTACCGAAACTAATTCCTGCCGTTTCTGCTCCAGCATGGACAAGTACAGGTTTATCAGTTCGAGGTAGGATGTGGGTGTTGTATAATACCTACGCCGGAGTTCAGAGTAGTATTTCTCCGCCATATGATTTACACTTGTGTGGATTTCTACACACATTTCTGAAAATTTGCTCTTCATTTCTTCACTTCCCAGCTCAATATTTGTGAAAAAGGTCTTTGATACAGAGAGGAGAGCTTCTCGTGGCCACTGAAAGAAAATACAAATAGACATTTTTTGGGGGGAAAAGCGCCATTCATTCTTTCATACTTTTAAGATCCCATTTAAAAATCTGTCACGATTATATTTTTCAGTTTCTTCTTCAGTGACATTTAGTAGGTTACAAGGCTGGAATAATCCACAATTGTACAGAATCTTTACAGCATAAATGTTGATGCACCAACCACCCAAAGTTTTCTAAAAAAAAGCAGTTAAATCACATAATTATAAACAAGAAGATATCTATTTATTGTATGTTTTAGTTCTCTAAAGCTTGATTTGTTATCTTTACTTTACCCTCTACATCATGATCTATTCTAGATCAACAAATCCTTTATCTTTTATGACTACTAACAGTTTCAAATTAAGAGGATTAACATGTCAGAGCTCAAAAGCTATCGATATTTACATTTTTCTTTTTGAAGCCTATAAGCATTTTTGGAACCTGAAGTGGTTATGATGAACCTACTGTATCATTAAAACCGTTATCAATTTAAAAAAAATGGAGTTCCACTCCTGCTACAAGTGTAGCATTAAAGATGTGTGGGATGATAAATAATAATAAATATAATCCTTGCATTTGATATAGCGCCTTCTCACGTTATTGAGACAACTCAAAGCGCTTCACAGAATATACTGTAAGTGATTTGTGGGTGAAATAATTAAGGATTCCAGCTAAGAGACACTGCAAGTTAGACCTCAATTTGACTGGAAATGTCCTCCTGACATAAAATAAGTTGTATTTGTGAATGGTAACAGATGTGCTGAAACCTGGGTTCTTTAGAGAGTAGCAAGAGAGGAGGATTCATAATGGGCTGCTCTCATACACTTACCAACGGTACGTTTGGAGAGCAAGTGCTGAGGCCTGTATGCACGTCATCACCACCTTCTTGCGCCTTGAAGGTATGTGACTCACACAGGCCAATGGAAAGGATAAGGGAAAAGCAAATTGGTTAAAGAAGCTGCTTTATTTCTCAAGAAAATAATATTACAACTCCAAGCAATATTCAGTGACCAAATAAACTAATTATTGTATTCTTGGGCTCAGCGGATTTGCCTACACTTCACTGTAAAAATCTTGATGATGTGAAATGGTACTCTAAATAAATCTTGTAAGTAACAATGACTTAGATTTATTTATGTATCAAAAGGACACCTCAAAACACTTTACACACCTGACTGAGAGGCTAAGTGGGGGGTGGAGAAAGAATGGGGGAGAAATGAGGTGGGGTGGTAGAGGATGGGGAAAGGATAAGTGGCCGAAAGCAATACAATGACTACAATAACTACTTAAAAGTTATGATTTCCTGAAGTACTCTTCTCTGTGCTTCCTACCACATTGATTTGAAACAAACTGCATAAAATGAAGATCAAGATAATGATAGCACCCTTCAGGAGTTATTATTTTCACATACCTGCACAAACCAGTCGATGGTACAGCAGTTTACAAGAGATGGAAACATTCGACATCGAGCTCGAAATGCATCACCAACAGGACTCATGCACAACACAATATGCAACTTCTGCCGTACAATGTTTATAAATAATTGAAAGACCTGGAAAGGAAATATGGTGCATCAAATAAGTGCTTGCACATTGACTCATAGAACCATAGAAATTTACGACACAGATGAAGGTCATTTGGCCATTGTGTCAATGTCAGTTCCCTCAAGAGCAATCATTTCACTCCCATTTACCTGCTCTTTCCCCATACCCCTGTTGATCACTCTTTTTAATGTATTTAACTAGTTCCCTCTTGATGGCCTATGTGGATTCTGCCTCAACCATCATTGCCGGTAGGGCATTCCATAACCTGTGTCTGAATAAAATTCTGTTAACCTCCCCATTTGCTCATTTACAAACTATCTTAAATTGAAGCCTTCTACTTACTGACTCACCAACCAGGGGAAAATATGTCGCCCTATTGACTCTATCAAAACCCCTCATAATTTTAAAGACCTCTATCAGGTCACCATTCTATGTTCCAGCAGAAAAAATGTCCTAATTCCTTCAGTTTCCATAGGCCAAATCACCCATCCCTAGTAAAACAAATGAAATCTTCCCTCTGTCATCTTGATGTTTTTCCTAAAATGGGGTGACCAATACTGGATATAATATTGTAACTGCGGTTTAACTAATGATTTATACAAGTTCAGCGTTACCCATTTACTTGTATATTCTATTCCTCTGTTTAATGAATCCTACGATTTCATTAGCTTTTTTAACATCTTTGTCCACCTGCTTTCCCACCTGTAAGGTGACCTTTGCTCTTTCACTCCTTTTAATATTTTACTATTCAACATCTACTTGTTCTCCTTATTCTTTTCCCCAAATGTATAACTTTACATTTGTCTGCATTAAATCTCATTTCCCATTTCTCTGCCCACTCAACTAATCTGTCTATGTCACCCTGAAGTTGCTTACGGTCAGTGGTCTTCACTCCCTATACTCGCCTACAAAATTTCATCATAGCTTTTTTGACAACTGCATAATATTAAAAAGTGTTTCCAGAAGTCACATTTTGAAAGATTACTTAAGGGAACAAATAACTGAATTAGTGAGACTGTTAACTCAATTTTCCCGGTGGACTTTCGGAGCACCTGTGTAGCGTTGAGCATTACAGACCAGAAAGTTGCAGATTCAACCTTGTGTTGTTGAGCAGTACAATTAGCTGTTGACTTTGAGTAAGAGAGAGAAGAAAATGAGTCAGGGTTTCCTTTCTTAATCAGATATCCAGAGACACTTGCTGGAAAATGTAGGTTTGTAAATGTTGGGTGATGACCTTACTGAGCATTATTATGACTCAAATAATTCTGGGCTCAAATAACCTGTCAATAGCCATTGTCAAGGCATGTGTATTAATAATGGCCATTTGAGCAAGACATTGTTTGATGCCAGTCATTCAGGGAACTACACTGCAGTATGAAAAGTGAGTCATATATGATCAAAGGACAAGAAGATAAAAATCATAATTAAGAAAACAACATTACCTCTTGATCAAACCTTAAAAAGGTTAAATTGTTTTTAATAATAACAATCCTTGCATTTGATAAAGTGCCTTATCACATCTTCAAGACGTTTCAAAGCGCTTCACAGAATATACTGAAGAGTGAATTTATTGTACATTTTGTGGGTGAAATTCAGCAGCCAATTCAATTTACCTTAAGTCTAAAAAAAGTTGCTTTTGTCAGATTACAAAATCATAAGAGGTTAAATTGAAAAGGTCTTTTGATCCATTTGACCTCAAGCTTCCAGAATATCTACCCTCCAGTCCTCCCACTACAGTATTAAGTTATTACCTGAATGAGTCCAGTTTCCTGGCCTCGACCATTCTTTCAGCACTTCCCACCAACAATAATGATGATGGTGACCACACAGTAAGAAGCACTGATAAATTTCAAAGTACCTGTTCAGCATAGATAGTTCTTCCCATTAGTGCTCTAACAGGTTAGAATGATATGCCAGACATCCTGATCAACAATCAATTAGCCCTGGCAGTGCTGTGGATCTGTCTGCCACATAGATCATTTTAGAGCCAGTTCAACATGGAGTGCCTTCCCAGCTCAGCAGAATAATTTGATGACAAGGTACTAATTTTATTAGCTATAAAGAGCTGAATCCATTAAAATGCAAATCCATAAACTTTTGATACCATATCTGATGCTCAGCAACTGAGCTACCTGGAAGGCTAAGTGTGTGCCACAACTTCTTTCCATTAATATGGATTAATATATTCCATATGGTTTTTTGCACCTGTGATAGTGAAGAATTAATGCCCATAGGTACAGAATTAATCTCATGTCAGAGCCAGCCTGTGATTGCAATGATAAAATTAGAGATTATTACTATAAAATTAGCAAGTTTGAGTTTTGTAAGTAGATTCTCTCTCTCTCCCCCCCACCTCTACCAATATTAGATGGCTGATTAATTCCCACCAAATGGTAACACTTTAAAAAATGCTTCATAACCATCTGGTTCAAAATAAGGTAGATGTAAGGTTATAAATAATGACATTCTTTGCAGCATGTGATGATTCAAGTGCTGCTCAGACTGTGCACAAGTCAACTGTGGAATATAGTGGCCAAGGTTGAAAAGTGTGCGTTGTAAAACTGGATTAATATTCTGGAACTTCTTCAATTAATTTTAGAGATTCGGTCAATTTCACATATGGAGGTTTTGTTCGTTCCACATTGGGGAGACGAAACACAGATTGGGTGACCGATTTGCCAAACACCTCCATTCTGTTCGCAAGCACAACTCTGAGCTTCCGTTTTTTTGCCACTTCAACACTTCCTTCCACTCAGTCTCCTACGCTGTTCCAATGAGCCACAGCACAAGCTCGAGGAACAGCACCTCATTTATCTGCCAGGGACCTTACAGCCCTCAATATTGATTTCAATAATTTCAGACTATAACAGCTCACCTTCCCCCTCCCCTCTTCTGTGACCATTACATCATCTGGATATCAGAAACACCTTTTCTCTCGGGCCTGTATTTTGTTGCAATTTCCCCCCCCACCCTTTTGTTTTGCATTATTAACACCTACTTAACCCATCATCCCTGTCCTCTACCCCATTTTCTCCTTTGTCTTCCTTGTCCTGCCTCCTCCCTCTCTGTTAGCCCTTAAAAACCTCTCCCTCCCACAATGGACCCAAAACTCACTTTTCTTTCTCCATAGATGCTGCCTGACCTTCTGAGTGTTCCCAGCGACTTCTGTTTTTGTTTCAGATTTCCATCATCTGTAGTATTTTATGTTTCGTCTATCTCTCTGCCTCCACCCTCGACTCCAGGACCACTGCTGTCCTGACAGAATGTCTGTCAGACATCAAGTCCTGGATGAGAGCTAATTTTCTTCAGTTGAACGTCAACAAGACTGAGGCTCTCCTGATTGGCTCCCGTCAGCGCCTCCTCACCTCAGGCACTGACAGCATCACCGTCCATGGATACACACTCCACCTCACTGAGCCAGTCCAGAACCTTGGGGTCTTGTTTGACCCTCAACTATTCTTTCTACTCCTCATCCGTATCATGACCCGCTCTACCTTCCCCCACCTCCGCAATATTGCCCGGCTTCACCACTGGCTCACACCGAAGGCCTCCGAAACCCTCATACATGCATTCATAATATCCAGGCTCGACTACACAAACTCTCTGCTTGTCGGCCTCCCCCAACTCCTCCCTCCATAGGCTGTAGATCATCCAGAACTCTGCAACCCATGTCCTCTCCCCCACCAGGCTCCGTGACCCTATCACCCCATTCTCGCCCAACTCCACTGGCTTTACATCATACAGTTCAAGATCCTGGTCCTCACCTTCAAAGCCCTCCATAGTCTTGCTCCCCCCTACTTCTGTGACCTCCTAAATCCTCTACCAACCTGCCTGCTCACTCCGCTCAACGGGCTCCAGCCTGCTTCACGCCACCCGCCTCTCCCGCCTTCAGCCACTCTGCCCCCACATTCTGGAACTCCATCCTGCAGTCCCTCCGCCTCGCCTTTTCCCTTGACTACTTCAAGACCCGTCTCAAGACCCTTCTCTTCGATTGTTTTCAATCACCCTCCTTCCCTCCCTGCCCTCTATCCTCCCCGATCCCAACCCCCAGCCTGGGTCCGAAACACTGATTGTCCAGCGCCTTGGGACGTCCTCCCAATGTGAAAGGTGCTATACAAATGTAATTTTGCTGTTGTTATTTATAAAAAGGCAAAACAGAGCCTCAGGTCCACGGGTGGCATTACCATCTTAGATACAGTATATCAATAGCAGGTCAACACCAACTTGCTAAAAAAAAATACCCAAAGCTTATCTTCTTTTCTTGAAATTTCATAAGGAAGAACCCTTGAGTTTAAATGTTCTGCCCCAAGTGAGATAACTTTTTTTCAAACTGCACAGATGAAGCTTTGGATTTATACCATGTATGAATATTCATTTGGTGAATTCCACAGATGAACAGATTTTTCGTACCATCAGTGTAATGCAAGGTAAATGTTGCCCTAAAGCTTAAGTTTGTATATCATGGTGTTCAATTCCAATATTTTGCATGCAGAGATGTGTTGACTATTAACAGTAGCCATGGGAAAGATATATGGTACATTGAAGCTTGGGTTGTATAACATTAGGATACATTTGATTCCTAATCCTAAAGGATATTTTAATTATAGGGTCATCAAAACTGTCTTATAATACATTTATGAACATTCTAAGTAATTTTCTTCAAAATATTAGATGTGTTTAATTTGTTAGCATAAGCGGGGAGAAAGCATTTAACATTTAATAATAAAATGCTTTATTTGCTATAAAGAGGCTTTTTAAGCAGTAAAATTCTTTAATTTATAGATCATTTCAGTATATTTAAATAATAGGGTCTATTACTCTTCAATCTCAAAACTGGATACATTGTGCTCATTGTGACTTAATATAAAACAATCCAAAGAAATCTAACAAAAGGTTTAAAAAAAAACTTGCTTTTCTGGACATTCAGACTTTAGGGATTCAATGTCAATAGTTTTGGGGAGGTTTTGGTTCTGAAATCTTAAAATCATGAATGGCAAGCAGAAGTTGCAACAGGTAATGCTTAGACTTCACTTATAGCCTTCTCTTCAGCCGTGCCTTCAGCTCTCCTCTCTACCCCCTCCTAGCTCCCTCCCTTCCCTCCCCTCACCCTGACCATTTCCCCCCTCCTCGCTCCCTCCCTTCCCTCCCCTCACCCTGACCATTTCCCCCCTCCTCGCTCCCTCCCTTCCCTCCCCTCACCCTGACCATTTCCCCCCTCCTCGCTCCCTCCCTTCCCTCCCCTCACCCTGACCATTTCCCCACTGCTCGGGTCCCGACCCAACTGTCCAGCTCCTTGGGACGTCCTCCCGATGTGAAAGGCGCTCTATAAATGCAATCTTGTTGTTGTTGTTGTATAATAATAGTAATCCTTGCATTCTTCTAGACGTCTCAAAGTGCTTCACAGAATATACTGTAAAGTAAATTCACTGTATATTTGTTGGTGAAATGCGGCAGCCAATTGCGCAGTGTCCCACAAACATTCGTGAATTGAGTGACCAAATTATTATTGGGTTTTTTTTAAGGATTTTTATCCCCGGAACAGCGATTAGCCAAGCGACTAACAACCAGGTTCGTACTTATTGCTAGGTAAACAGACGTGTGGAGTAAGAAAGCGTGCCCAACATTTAGCCCAGCCAGGAAAAGAATCCAGGTCTCTCGCTTGCGAGGAAAGTGCTCTAACCACTGAGCTAAAGGAGTTACTGCCTCTTAATCACGACAAGCCTAAAACCAAGGGAAAACCATCGATCAAGCCTTCAGCATGCTGAGGACTACAGTGCCACCTACAGTATTACACTTATTACAGTAACTGCATCAACACTGGTACTTTTCTGAATCTTACTTCATCTCGGTTCCCTTCTGCAATTCCAGCATCTTTAGCCTTAGGGCGTGTAGCACCAAGAACTTTTTCAAGTTCGTCTTTCTCAAACAGATTCGGTACCTCTCCTGAGTTCAAGATGTTGTTGATGTCTTCTAGAAACTCTTCTACAACAATCTGTTAGAAAACAATAACTTTTTAATAAACTTTACATTGGTGAATTGATAATTATTTCATATGTACAATACTATTAATGGTATAATATTTAATATTATTTTAGTATAATATTTTATATTATTTTAGAAACTAGTTACAACCCACTCTAGGTTGCAACCCACTCCGTTATGCACATGTGTAAAGTAAATTGGATGAACCAATGAAAAGGATTAATTATGTTTAATATAGAATCAAACCTATCTTCAAGCACTGCTCTGGGGCCTGAGCCAAAAACAGCCTTTATATAAGAGTGGCCTTATATAAGTCGAGTCCTGAGCATACTGCTCCAAGTCTCTGCTCCTACATTTCAGCTGCAGGTTGCCTGGCAACACCACCCCAGGAAACTGATTATAAAACTGTCTTCCCGTTAAGGGTCAGGGGAATGCCTGTCGAACTTCATATAACAACTGTAAAAAAATTAGCAGAGCAATCCCAATGTTTTCCCTCATTATATGGAGCTTTCCCACAACACATGTAAGGAAAACAAGTGTACAAGTTCACTGTGTGCATCAGAGACTGGGAGTAGAGCATTGATTATTCTTATTCTGAACACAAGTTAAAATAAAACATGCAACTTTTTTAAAGACCAATACAAGAATAGTACAGCTGAGCTTCATCTTTGGGCATCTTAGTAATGAAGGCAACTCAACATACAGGCTCGCTATTAAAGCAATTCAATATAATAATAATCCTTGCATTTGATATAGCGCTTTTCACATCTTCTAGACATCCCAAAGCACTTCACAGAATATACTGTAAAGTGAATTGACTGTATATTTGTGGGCGAACGCGGCAGCCAATTGCACACAGCAATGTCCCACAAACAGTCGTAGATTGAAAATGACCAATTTATTATTGTTTTGGAGGGATTATTATTAGGCGTGTGGAGTAAGGAAACTTGCCCAAGGTTTCGCCCTGTGCCTGGAATTGAACTCAGGTCTCTCACTTGCAAAGCGAGTGCTCTAACTACTGAGCTGCAGGACTCCAATATACAGGCTCGCTATTAAAGCAACTCAATATACAGGCTCGCTATTCCAGCATCTTTTTGATTTGAAACGGATGTTGACCAAAGTCCCAAACTCAGTAATTTCATTCATTTTTATTCATACAGCACCATTCCTGTAAAATAAACATCCCAAAATGCTTTGAAATATATAATTGATTAAAAATTAAAATAAATGTTCTAGAGGCAAAACATGGCTGCCATTTTGCATCAGCAAAATACAAATATGAGATGAGTAAGTAGTCTATTAATTTAAATTTGGGATAAATTTGAATAGCCAGTATATCTGGAAGAAAGACTTCATGTCTCTTTGAAATAGCAATTGCACATAAATAATAAGGGAGAAATAGACTGTTTCTATGAATGCCTCTACAAAAATAACTTGCATTGTTATAGCGCCTTTTATGTAGTTTAGTGTGAGAGTGCTGCACATTGGTGGATTTGGATACCAAGCAAGGGAGAAAGGGATGGTGATCATAAGTGCAAAGAGGTAGATCTTAAGGTAGGATTTAAAGAGTGATAAAGAGGAGCAAGGCAGAGGGATTCAGGCAGAGTTCCATAGTGGCATTATGGGCATAATAGCTTAAGGCACAGCCACCTATAGTGGCACAGAGGTGTTGGGCATTGGATTTCAGGTCGGTGTTTTGCTGAGTGAAGGGAATGAGCAGAGAAGTGAGGTAATTGCTTTAATAGCAAGTTTCCAGTGTTCATAGCTTAGTGCCAAGGCTTCTCATTTAACATCAAACCCAAAAGGTGCAGTACTAGAATATCATCCAGTACAAACCATTTGGCACAGGACCTATTTCTGGCTGGGGGTGATGCCGATTCTGTGGAACTGGTCTGATGAGCTGCCAGGATCTTTACATATCTTTTTAAAGTATTTGCCCTGGTTCACTGGTGTTGAAATTACATCTAATAATTTAATCCAAAGCTTTCATTGCACACTCTAATTTCATGATGTGGTCTTTTATATCACATCCTAAATAATGTAAACAGTTGCATTGGACTACATTGGATGGGAAATAGTTGATCCATAATAAAAATAATAACAATAATAATAATCCTTGCATTTGATATTGAGCCGTATCACGTCTTCGAGATGTCTCAAAGTGATTTACAGAATATACTGTAAAGTGAATTGACTGTATATTTTGTGGGCGAAACACGCCAGGCAATTGCGCCCAGCAGTGTCCTGAAAACAGTTGCGGATTGAGTGACCAATTCATTATTTTTTTTAAGGAATTATTACCCCCAGAAAAGCGATCCACCAATCGACTAACAACCAGGTTCCTACTTACTGCAAGGTAAACAGAGGCATGTGGAGTAAGGAAACTTGCCCAACATTTTACCCTGCCGGGAATCAAACCCAGGTGAGGCAAGTGCTCTAACTACTGAGCTACATGACTCCAGAACACTAGGAGGTCATTTTGTGTTTCCAGCAACAACAACAAGATTACATTTGTATAGCACCTTTCATGTCGGGAGGACGTCCCAAGGCACTGGACAGTGTACAGCATTTCAGACCTGAGTTGGGGTCAGGGAGGGAGAAGGGAGGGGAGGGGAAGGGGGGTAGCATCAAGAATCTTACAAAGGTATTTTACTTAAACCAGTCCTTCTTGAAGTTTCACTAGCAAGTTCAACAAAAGCAAAATTAAAGGTGATAACTTCTTAACAGACACCAGATGATACACAGGGTTGTCTGAGGCCGACAACTGAGAACGGAGATAACATATCGGAAAGGTACACTTGATACATGGCATGGGAAATAAATGTAAAGTGAATAATTTCCTCATGTAAAGACCTTCCTAAAGGTATATTGCTATCCCATTTACCCCATTGACTTCTGGATTTGCTAATGGCTTGTAGATTGCGATATGATCATAGAGTACAGTTCGCACATTCCAAAATAAAAAAACAACTAAAATGACTTTTGATTTACAAGAATAACTTGACAAATCAGCACTTAGTGTAATCAGATTCCAATTTTGATAACCACCTGCAGGTATTTTCTTGTAGATTAACATAATGTTTGTTCGAAGGTTTCAGGAATTGATTACTATATTGCTTTAACGTTCTTTTTCAACTATGTTTGTGCCATTTTTCAAATGTTATTTTCTAGTTTTCATTTGGTTGTGCAGCACAGTACATGCTTCAGTGAATACTGATGTAAGTTTTGTATCACTACCTACTGCAGTATAAATAATTCAACATTCTTTATTACATGCTAATTTTTTTTGGCTGAGTCCAATATCTATACTTCGCTTTCTAACCCTTGTCTCACTTGAAATAATCATGAGGTTCTTTGAATATTCAAACCAAGCTGCTTCCCCACCAAGCTGTACTATAAACAACCAGTTTTATGTTTAATCTTGCACCCAGACAAACAAAATATAGGACTAATATCTAATGTTAACCCTGCCTTCTTATTCCCACAGACTAAAACCATAGCACCATAGAAATTTAGACCTACAAAATATAGTCACTATGCTTTGCAGTAAATCCTGTGAAGCACTTTGAAACATTCACCCAACGTGAAAGGCACTACATTCAATGCAAGGATTATTATTTAATTTAATAGAGGAAAAGAGAAGGAAATTGAGATTTGGATAGATGGCTTTATTTGCAGATCAAACATTAATTCAATGCATCAAATGACTTCCTGCTGTGTCAGTTATTTAAGGTTTTACAGTTCCATGGATTGATCAACCCTATCTGTTAAAAACAACAACAAGATTCCATTTATAGAGCGGCTTTCGCGTCGGGAGGACATCCCATATAACTATACTTAGTGACCAAAAGACACAGAAAGAATGATCTCACACTGGAGAACCCACTTGTAAAGATGAGTTTTAAGACATCTAGTGTGAACTTCTTAACTATCAGCTACACCATTGTAAAATCGCTATTGTACAGTGCTTGTTGACATGCTGCACCATATTATCAGGACCCATTTTGCTAAGACTAATTACGTATATTGTATCTTTCACCGATTTGCTGCAAACTCATTCTTTGAGAAATAATAGTATCAGTCACTGCTTGGTTGAAGCTCAAAACTCTTTATTTCCTCATGTCCAATGACAAGTGCGAAGCTGTCCTGAACTATTTCTTCTCAAAGATTGAAAACATCTGCTTGGCTGCATCCTCCTCTTCCCCCATGTCCCCTTCCACACTCCCACCCCCTAACGTTGACAGGTCTAGTGACTCTCCTGTCTCCATATTGTATAAATCATTAGCTCATGCAGTGGGACTTTGAAAAGATATCAATATTCCAGCAGCAAAGCTACTCAAGCATCAGGATAACTAAGATACTGCAATTTTGACATCTTACATTGGATAAAAAAAACATTAAAGGCTGAGACACTGAAGTTTGACAAGTCCACATCATAGATGTGAGCAGACAATCCCTGACATGAAATTAGACTTTGTCCATTATTTACTGTAACTTCCCAACAACAACAGTGCTATAAAATGTGCCAAAGCAGGACAATCAGAATCTTCTCTGACTTCCATGCATGCATCTTAATAGTAGGCCTATGCAGACAAATGTCTTGACTGGAGGAAGACTTTAAACTGGACTTTAATTCACAGTATATCAATACTTTTACTCACTGAAACAAAATTACTGATATTTCAATTCCGTACCTGTGTGTCAGTAAAGAGAAATACCATATCATTCCCTTCAACTCCAGCCATTTTAAAAAGGTTTCGCAAATCATCATGGAATGTTTCATAGTTATAACCACGGCTGAGTTCAATTTGAAAACACCTGTAAACACATATGTGAGCTGCCAATCGTGTGAGCGACTGTTTCCCTGTACCTCCAACACCAACAAGTAGTGCATTTCCTCTTTCTTGACGAATCATACGGGCGATTCTGTAAAGTGAGAGTACATTTATTTATATGGCATTCTTATTTTCAACCATAATTTCTTAAAAATATCAGGAAATGTATTTACTTTGTAATTTGCCTGCAATCACATCCAGATTGGTCTCAATTGCTTATTACAGTAGTTGATTTATTTATTCTTAATCCTTATGTTCTCTATTGGTTACAATGTTTTTCTTCCTTATGTTAACCCTAAAGAACCATCTGAAATGATGCTGTCAAGCATGTTATTTTCTGGACTTAACTTTTTAACAGTCTTTTGTTCCCAGTATGTGGTGCAACATCTCATGAATTATGTGAGAACAATGAGCCAAACAGAAATGTAAAGTTTTCATTACACATTTGGAAATAAAGCAAATAATTTTACATCTAGATTTTTTAAAATAAATATAAGCAACACATGCGTGTTAATAATTTTCTGATATGAAAATAAATCTACCCTTAACTAAACCAATTTTGACAGGACTGTATGGGATCAGGGGCAATATGATGACGGTCTTTAAGATTCTGAAGGGAATAGATAATCTAGACCATGACAAGCTATTTTATCTTGTACTGAACAGTAGAACCAGAGGACATGGCCTATGACTGAAGGAGGGTAAATTCAAAACAAACTGGCATAAAAACTACTTCAGTGAGAGAGCAGTAAACTTATGGTACAGGCTTCCCAGGGGGACAGTGGAAGCAGAAAATTTTATTTGTTTCAAAGACAAATTAGATAGATTTCTGCTCGAAAATAATATCTCGGGATACAATCTATAGTTTGGAACATGATATGTCAAATGACTGCAAGGATGGTGGAGGGCAAACAAGATGGACCTTGGTCTTCTTTTGCCTAGCAAATTCTTATGAAATTACTCTATTACTCGAATGACTATGTATACACTTAGGTTTTCCATGCACTTGTAATCTTTCCTCCCACTTTCTAAACATAAATCATCAATTATAATCTCCTGAATATAATGTTACACAAAGCATGAGCCATTCCTAAATCCATTTAAATCATGATGACGATATTTATAGAAGTTCTAACATAGAAAAAAAACTATTAATCAGAATGTTATTGCAACAGTGTGGTGTAAACTACAATATGGTTTATTTTATGGAAGTGATCTTTAAAATTATTATGTAAGCCACTAGGAACGTCCTTTTGGGTTACACATGTCAAATTTAATACATTTTAAAGAGTATTCTATTTTAGCATCTAAAATTACTCATTTTATATATAGCTTTGCTACAGTAACCATCCATGCAATCTTTTTTCAGTACATTGAGAAATAACTCAAGGCAATATTATTTTATTAATCACAATAACTAATATCTATATGTTAAGTTCATATAAACCTCTCAATTCATTGATTGGGTAGATTTTGTTTTCTATTTGTTAGTCCAGTTTAGAGTTCATGACATATCTATTTGTCCTAGGTTTAGCAGACTGCCATCTATTCAAGCATTCACTTCAGTAGTAAAACCATTTTGACACTGGTCATACTGCTCTGATCGAATGTGGTAAATTGCAATGTTGGCTTCTGATGTGATTTCTCATTTGAAAATTTGCTACACTCGGTGTTTGTTAACCTGAGCCTTAAAATAACTCCAATGCATCCACACTGTGAACTTTTTCTGCTTTCTGCACCCATCATCTTTGCAACCACTCAGATTATTTTGTACCAATTTGTTCTGAATTCTGCTGTGCACTTGCAACTAATGGGTGCTAGTTTGAGACTGTCCAATTCATTTCACTTAGGCTCCTCGCAGCAATCGAGGGAGACTATAATCCCATTAGTGTTAATTCAATTTTACAAGGAAAAATAGCGATATCAGTCTTCTGAGCTGCATCATTTTTTGTTCTTCCAAGAATGCGCAGGAAGCCGGCAGGTCCATATTAGAAGCCAAAAGTAACATCAATAATAATCTGATAACCAAGAAGCAAGACCAGTACACAGATTTTCTCATTACACAGTGTCTAATTGTTTTGCATGTCAACACACTACGTTATAATGGGGCCATGTATTTGTAGAAGTTTACGTCTCTAAAATCTGATGGTAAAATCTGATTCTTATCTTCTTCTATGGGAAAACTGTCCAATAGAAAAAAAGGAATTTGATAAATATGTGAAAAGGAGAAATATAAAAGGATATGGCATAAAAACAAGAGAATGGCAAACTCTTTCAGGAAGTGAATACAGGAATAATAGGTCAAACGATCTACTTCTGTGTTTCGAATTTCTGTGGTTCCATTCTCTTTGGTTCCAATGATTCACACCTTTGATTGCTTTAAAATTTAAATAAATCAGAACAGAGAAGCAACTCCTACATTGTCATAAAAAGTAAACAAAGAACTAATTGACTCTAAAAATATAGAACAGCACCTGGCGACATGTTCAACAGCATCTTGAAAGAAAACCAGCTTCATCTCCTTGGAATTTGTCATGTTGTAGTCATCTAAATAGTCCTGTAGTGTAGATCTAATTTTTTCAAAATTGAGAAGATCTTCATAATATCGTTCTGATTTCTCCGCTCCAATCTGAAAAACACAGATGACCTGATGACTCAAAAGCTGGCTATTTTCTCACACTTTGTAATGCGCGTACTGAGACATTAGAGCCAGTCAACCTTTCTATTAAAAGGTTTCTCTGCTTATGTTATAGTGTAATAAAATATCAATTAGAATGGAAATGTTCTTAATAATTCTTATATTTGATGCAGCACCAAAAACGTTGAAACGTCTTAAAGTGTGTCATGGGGAACTGCTGTTGAACGTGGAAGCCGATGTGCACAAAAAAGACCAAAATAACCAATCTACCTCAAGGGTTATAGGCAAGATCCTGAGAGAAATTCTCCTCTCAGAGAGGTAGAGTTGAGTGGCATCTGCATATGTGGAAGTTAACCCCATGTAGTGGATGACATCACCGAGCAGAATAATAACAATAATAAAGTGGAGAGGACTGAACATAGATCCCTGAGGAACTCCACACATGATGGTACAAGGGTGGGAGGAGAGATGTTACTAAATACACAATGAAGATTTGGGGATAAGTAAGGGTGAAACTAGGCAAGGACAGAATCCTGAAAATGAAGAAGAACAGAATGGTCGATAGTGTCGAAGGTGGCAGAGACATCAAAAAGGACAAAGAGGCAAAGAGAGCCCTGGTCACAGATGGAGAATGGCATTTGTGACTTTGATCAGGGCTGTCTCTGCACTGTGAGGAACACAGTACCGAGACAGAATAATATTTTTTTCAACAATATATGTTTGACATTAATAAAGCTTGATGAAAAATATCACCTTCTAGAAGTCTCCAAAATTACTGTGAGAAACAAATAAGTTGATTTGGGAGAACTTTACACCTGAATGTCATGTATATTGGAATACACTTAATTGTATAAGTATTATATAAGAATTGTCTGCTATGTCACTATTTTATCAATTATTTATGTAGAAATCAATTACTACTTCCATATAGAGGACAACATGTGACAGAATGAATGTTTTTTTCAACAATATATCTTTGATGTAATAAAGCTTGATGTGTTTATCACCTTCATGAAGTCTCCAAAAATAATGGGGGTTTTCATAAAATAATCCGATTCCAAGTGGACTCCGAAGTGTTTGTCTTTTCAAAAAGAAAAAAGGATATTAGCAACAATTTCACGATAAAACTTATACAATGTCCTTCATACACTTTATCCAGTTCACACTTTTAAAATGAATATCCTATAGGTAAATTTCTTCAAATAGACTACATCAATGCTGTGGATCATCAACAACAACTTGCACCTATATAGCGCCCTCTATGCCAGGTGGTGTTTCAGAGCATTTAACAATGGTGGAGCCCAAGGCCGAGCCAGGGGGAGGGGGTAGGTGACCAGAGGCACGGTCGAAAAGTAAGTTCTTCAGGCACGACCTGAAGATGGGGAATGAGGAGGCGAGGTGAAAGGGCTGAGGGAGGGAGTTCCAAAGTTTCGGGGTGTAGTGGCTGAAGGCACGGTCGCTAATGGTGGAGCGGAGGATTCGGGGGACATTGAGGAGACCAGACCCAGTAAAGCGGAGGCAGTGGGTACTGATGTGGGGAGAGAGGAAGTTAGAGAGATAGGGGGGGTGCCAAGGAATGGAGGGATTTAAACACTTGAGTGAGGATCTTGAAGTTGAATATATGTTGCTCTCAAAAATTAACTTTCACCAAGATCTATGAACTGAATCCTTAACTTTTCAACAACTAAAATATAAGATAATACATGTTCATAAGTTCCACACTATTTATAAGCTAAGGAATTGGTGATACTGTACTAGGAAATAGCTCACAATGCAATACAATTTTCCCTGAACCAATAATTAAATGTTATATTTCATTCAGTTACAACAAGAACTCTTAGTTAAGTATTCAAAACACAGTTTTAGACTTTGTTCTACAGAGTTCTACAGAGTAAGTAATGCAAAGGTAGAAGTCCATTTGGATGACAGTAATGGTAATATAATTAGACTCACTATCAAATAGAGTGGGAGTCTGAGATTAATAGTGCAAGAAGGTTACATATCCACCCAAAACTATAATGCAAATTAACAAAAGCATTTGGTCAAAATAAAACTTAAAAATCAGCCTATGTTGATTACAGGCATATACTGGATGATGGCACATATTAAGGACACATCAATAAATGCTAAAACAAATATATTTTATGATGCAAAGCAAGGATTGTTGCGTATCATTGTTACTGTTAGAACAATAAAGCAGTGAATATGTAGTAAGTCTTACTGGCCATTTCAGCTAACATGTTATTAAAATAATATTTGTCTTCATTGTTGATTAAACGATCATGGAAGACGCGTTGACATTCATGGCAGAAAAGTCTAAAAATTTGGTTTTCATCCCTCACTGTACCAGGGTTACACTGAAGAATTCCTGAAATCAAAAGCAAACATTCAATTCAATGAATGCAGTTTGGTCCTATATTTATTAGAACAAAATAAGATATACTGCATGTCAAAAAGCACCACAGTAAACATAAGATATCCAGTAAGATGCAGTGAAATAGTGAGTATGTGGAACCCATTGCTGAAAGCTGGGGTTGATGAAGAAAGCATAAATGTATTTAAGTGTAATATTGATGCATACAACAGCAACAAAATTACATTTGTATAGCGCTTTTCACATTGGGAGGACATCCCACGGCGCTGGACAGTCAGTGTTACAGACCTGAGCTGGGGGTCGGGGTGGGTGGAGGACAGGGGGAGGAGTATGATCGAAAGCACGGTCAAAAAGGAGGGTCTTGAGATGGGTCTTGAAGGAGGCAAGGGAGGGGGCAAGGCAGAGGGAATGCGGGATGGAGTTCCAGAGGGTACGGGTAGAGTGGCAGAAGGCCCGTCCGACAATGGTGGGGAGGGCGATGGGTGGGACGTGAAACAGCCCGGAGGGAGCGGGCAGGTTGGTAGGGGGTTTAGGAGGTCAAAAAGGAAGGGGCAGCGAGGCCATGGAGGGCTTTGAAGGTGAGGACCAGGATCTTGAACTGTATCCTCTATGTGACGGGAAGCCAGTGAGAAAGAAAGGAATAGAGGGGTATAAGAGCAGGGAAAAGGAGGGATGAAGGATAAACAAAGGTATAGACAAGGGGACCAAATGGTCTGTTTCCATTTTGTAATGTTCTGTTTAATTCTATGTGAGATCCGCCGTGAATGAGTGAGTGAGTGAGTGAGTGAGTGAGTGAGTGAGTGAGTGAGTGAGTGAGTGAGTGAGTGAGTGAGTGAGTGAGTGAGTGAGTGAGTGAGTGAGTGAGTGAGTGAGTGAGTGAGTGAGTGAGAAAGCCCCAAATTTTGTCTTGAGAAAATGGTAAGGTTGTTTTCTCAGATGAGATTCCATGAGTCTCCTTCTTCCAAATCGCTCATAACATTAAGCATAAGTTAAGAATAAGTAATAAAGATCTTTCCCAAAAGTACAAATATTGCATGGATATCTTTGTGGGTCTGTGCACCCAAGCAAAAAACATTTTCCCGCAATTATTTAATCCACTCTACGAAAAGCACAGGTTAATTTGTCTCAGTAACAATAAAAACAAGGACTTGCATTTATTTTGTGACCTTCACCCGGGATGGCGTCCTGAAGCTCTTGACAGTGGCAAAATCTGACGCCAAGCCAGGTGAAGAGGGAGGGGGGACATGACTATAAGCACGATCAAAAAGGAAGGTCTTTAGGCGGGATTTGAATGGAGGAGGGAAGCAGCAAGGCGGAAGAATCAAGGGAGAGAGTTCCAGAGATTTGGGGCATAGTGGTTGAAGGCACAGCCACTGATGGTGGAGCGGAGAGGACAAGGGACAAACAGGAGGCCAGAGGGGGTTGAGCGTAGGCAGCGGGTGGTGGAGTGGAGGGTAAGCAGATGGGATAGGTAAGGAAATGTGAGGGCATGAAGGGATTTAAAAAAGAGTGAAAGGATCTTGAAATCGATCCGTTCGGTAATTGGGAACCAATGAAGCCTGACAATGACTGGTGTGATGGCGGTATTGAGTTTTGTGCAGGTGAGAATCCAGGCAGCGGAGTTTTGAATTAGTTGAATTTTGTGAAAGGTGGCGTTGGGGAGACCAGCGAGGAGGGCATTGGAATAGTTTGGCTGGGAAGAGACGAACGTGTGGACGAGAGTTATGGCTGCGTTGGTTGTGAGGTCGATCGGAGGCAAGCAATGTGATAGAGGTGGCAAAAAGCGATCTTTTTGTGGAGTAGAAAGGAAAGCTGGGAATCAAAGGAAATTGCCGCAGATTACGGTGTTGTGCAGCAACAGCTAAACAATTGTATTTCATGTAAGTTTTTAACTTAAGTAACCTCCTCTTTTTTGCATGGTATAAGGCAAAAGTTGCTGGATCATTGTGATGCCTATTCGGAACTCCATATCTCAATGATTAGGGTGAAAATCACAGGAAAACAGTAGTACATTTATATGCCTGGAGTTCAAATGCCACTGCATAACCATCGCTAGTTCATAGATTCCTTTATCTTTAAAGAATTTATTTTTACTGTAACTTTCAAAAGGGAATTAGATAGTTACTTGAAAAGGAAAACTGCAGGAGTATGGGGAAAGAACGGGGAAGTGGGACTGATTGGGTAGCTCTTCCAAAGAACTGGAATAGGCACAATTGGCCAAATGGCTTCCTTCTGTGCTGTATGTTCCATGATTACTAAACACCACTACGAGAAATCATACAGTACTTTCATGTCAGGAAACAAAATAAACAAATTAAGCAGTAGAAATGTCGACTCAACAAAATAAAAAGTTTTAAGCCCTATTCGAAATCAGGAACAATTCAGAGAGACATTAGCATCTTTCCCCAATATTCCAAATGTCGAACAGAATTTTCCCCATTAAAAGGGAATCGAGTTCAATAAATGTACAACTCAACAGAAAAAAAACCTACCATCGTTGCATTTTTTTTTAATAATAACGGCTGTACATCTCCCTCAGAAATGGAGGTGGAAGATTATGTCCTTGACATGAATTATTCCACAAAATTTCTGGAGGAAGCACTTGAAAAGCTGTTTAAAGCTATTAATCAAAAAAAATCCAGATTTACAGACAAAGTAGTAAAGCAAATTAATTCTAGTTTATATTATCTGATCTTTGCTTTCATGTAACAGGAGGATACAAAACATCTTACCTTGTATACACTTTGACAAATCTCTCAGATTGAAAACATAGTGAGACTTGGCAGGTGTAGGCAATAAGTCAACACTCATTCGATGGTAAATCTCTACAGCAGCTTCCACAATATTTACAGAACACTGTTTCACTCCTATTGAAAATTCAGCTAGAAATCCATTTAGGATAGCCTGCATGACAGAAAAGTAATAATTTTTTTTTTAAATGTCCAGAACCATTATAGTATGTAGTATTTGGAATTATCTTGTCACCTTTTCTTCAGTGCACCAAGGAATTTCTAATTCTCATGTATTTCTTAAAAAATGGAAAGGTCAACTGAATGGTACATAAAAGTGATTTTGAGGATTATATAATATACACACACAAATACAAAATACAAAATTACATTTGTAAAGCACGTTTCACGTCGGGAGAACGTCCCAAGGTGCTGAACAGTCAGGGATTAGGACCCATGCAGGGGGGGTTAGGATCAGGGAGGGTGGAGGGCGGAAAGGGTGTGGGTAGGGGGGTGGGTGAAGGCATGGTCGAAGAGGAGGGTCTTGAGGCATGCCTTGAAGGAGGCAAGGGAGGAAGCGAGGCAAAGGGAACGTTGAATGGAGTTACAGAGGGTGGGGGCAGAGAGGCTGACGGAGGAGCCAGTTGGTAATGCAGAAGAGAAGCCTGGGGTTGTTCTTGGCCTCCAAGATTACCTTGGAATGGAAGGACCATTTAGCAGAGGCGAGGGTGGACCAGTAAGTTTTCATGTGATCCAGCCAGAACCATTAAATCAGATTTGAGCCAGGTGCGTTCAGTGGCACGAGCCTGACTCTTGAGTGAATGGAGGTGGCTGGTGTACCAGGGTGAGGAGGTGGTTCGGGGGGTGAGGGGCGTAAGTGCATCGAGAATGGTGGAGAGGGAGTTGTGGAGTAGAGTGACCAAGGAAGATAACGGTGCAGGAGGTAGGCCAGCGGGGGAGGAGTTCAGACAACTCCAGGGCAGTGGAACGGGAGTGGGGGGAGATTCTTTTCCAGGGACGGTAGGAGATGGAGGTGGATTGGGTGGCGGTGGGGAGAGGGATTGAGGAGTTAGGGAGATTATATGGTGATCTCCACCCTACCTCTGCGACTGCCTAAGCCCCTACCATCCTGCTCGCTCCTTCCACTCAATGGACTCCGACCTGCTTCATGTTCTCCACCTCGCTCACCCCACTATTGGCAGGGAGGCCTTCAGCCATTCTGCCCCCACCCTCGGGACTCCACCCAACAGTCCCTCCGCCTCGCCCCCTCCCTTGCCTCCTTCAAGACCCATCTCAAAACCCTTCTCTTTGACTGTGCTTTCGATCTCCCTCCTTTTCCCCCACCTGCCCTCCACCCTCTCCAATCCCAAACCCCAGCTCAGGTTCGAAACTCTGACTGTCCAGTGCCTTGGAATGTCCTCCAGACGTGAAAGGTGCTATACAAATGTAATTGTTTTGTTGTTGATCTGAGATGGCTTTATCAGTGATTGTGAGGTCCGAGAACACTGAGGCCCTGGGTAATCACTAGGTCAAGTGGGTGCCCATAAACATGGGTGGCAGAGTGGATGTGGAGGGAGAGGTTGGGAGAAGAGAGAGAAGTTGGTGGAGATGGAGAAAGAGGGTTGAAGTGCAGGTCGAAGGGTGAAGTGCAGGTTGAATATATATGTATATTTAAAAAGTCTATGTACTCCAGGATTATTTCTTTATGGGATTCTTTAATAAGAAATCCAAATTGCACAAACAGGGGCTTCTTCAGGTAACCAGAAGTGTGTCACACTCCGAAGCAATCTGTTTCTGGAGTGGAATTCACTCAGATCAGCACGATTTCTAGAACGATTCTTTAATATGAAATTCTGTAGCTAGACCCCATATATTTTCCTTTTGGTGTTTTCATGAGTATAGTAACACAGCTTATGAAATCTACATTATTATATCCAGGATAATGGGATACATTATCAGGGAGAATAATCCAATTTTAACTAAAATTAACCGCCATACGGATTTAATGATACCATATTCAAAGAATGATGTACGTTCAGTTTTTCTGACTGATGAACTTTGCAATGGTGCAATGTCAAATGTACTACACTAAGTATACAATCAATTCACTTTAAGGTGTATTCTGTGAAGTGCAATGAGACATCTCAATGACGTGACAAGGCGCTATATCAAATGCAAGGGATTATTATTATTATTACTCCCTGGAAATTTATCATGTATTGGACAGCTGATAAATCTAAATCATAACCAATCTGGCAATCTCTGACTTTTTTAAATATCTTAGTGCATTGAATTTTTGATTTTAGATTTGAATCAACATTAAAAAAACGGAAATAGCTTGATGGGGGAGGCGGACAAACAAAGGAATTGAGAGATGCAAGTAATGTCTTAAAAAACTAGGTACAGAAAGCAATAAAAAGGTTAACGGGATGCTGCTGCAGTTGTATAATACTCGAGTCAAAACTTATTTTGAATATTGGCCCAACACATCACAGGGTTTACTGTAAAGTATAATGTATTAGTAGGTAAAAGAGTCTGGGTAAGTCCCAGGTCAGAATTCTGATGTACTTATTTATCTGCCTTCTCCTTGTTTTTATATCAGTTTATTATATCAGTTTTATATAATTTTCCAGTGCTCCCAGTGTAGCTTTCTGGAAACAGTTCAGACTTTTCAACTCATTTTTCTATCTATCCTTGTGTACAAGAATTAATATTTGCTGGAGTAGTATTTTGATAGTTTTGAAGAGAAACAGCAAATGAATATATAAAGATAACAATCCTCGGATTTGCACCATATCACATTAAAGAATCATCTCAAAGAATTTTTTTAAATGATTTATTTTAAAGTGTAGTCACACAGGATCTGTAAGCAATTATGGCAGCCAATTTGCACACAAGCACGTCCCACAAACATGAAATGAATGATTATTTTTTCCAATTCAGGCCACAACCTTCTTACTCGGGAAAGAGTGCGACAAAGATATCAACTATCTCAAAAGAAATTGACATAAAAGTTGCAAGGCACACCCACTCTGAAACTTATTGAAGCATATCATTAGCCACTGTATAACAAATACCAAATGAACCAGACTCATGCAGGCGGTGCTTAATGATGTAGAAACTAATTAATTACATACATTTTAATATGGATGGATACTGACCTGGAAAATCTGTTTCAGGCTGTGCTCAGAGGGCGTTGGCAAACAGAACATGCTGAAGTGCCTCAAGAAACGAGGAGTTACTGGATTTCTTCCACCACCAGGAGGGGCACAAGCAGCAGCAATTGTGACATCCTGAAGGGTAGTGGTGAGCAAATTATTATATGACTTATATTGTGTGCATTTCTACTCTAACACAATGAGCCTTCACTTTCCTTCATCTGGATACAAGAGGGTCTAATTTGCCTCGATTCTCAATACAATGATTGGACAAGCTGTGATTTTTAGTCTTGAGAGAAAAGGCAACTCATTCAAGTGGATTTGTTTTCCGTATGGACTGGATTACTGAGACTGCTGCAGAGGTTTGGCTTGTTTCCTACATTCAGTTACCAAGCATTTCACTTTGGAGCCAGTTCAATTCCAAAGACGGCCCACAAACCTCCCCACCCAAGGAGATAGAGGTGTTTAACATTTTTAAATGGGTCAAAGAAAATAACCCCCGAACAATATTTTAGGATGCACCAAGAGGATATAGGCTTAGACCTGCAAAGAACAATTTCAGGACTGATACCAAAATGTTTTTACTCAGAGGACAATTCATGGCTGGAACAGATGGCCACAGTCCAGCTCTGTTTAATTGTCCATTGAATTATCAAAATCAAGGAGTTATTTTACACCACCTGTATTTCCTTCCAAAAAAGTTTTTCTCTATCATAGAATCCACCAAAGTCCTGGTACTGTCGAAGAAGCTCAATAGGTGGCTGCGATCCATAGCGATCCAACTTGGGCATGTTTAAATCATCCACAAAAATTATGACTCTTTTATTCCCCGGAGCACCTGTTTTAAAAATATTAAAATATGAATTAAACATTTTTTTTTAGAGGTCTGTTTAGATTTATTTTAGAGCAGAAAAATGTTCAAATAGCACACTCTAGTCCAATTTAAGTCATCTGGCATTTTTCTTTTCAATTTTGCCCATTAACTGCTTTCTGGGCAGCTTCGTAGGATACGTTTGTTTATTCACACATCCCAATTCCTGCTTTTAACACAACTTTGTGCCAAGAATTGACCTGATCCCAAAAGCCAACCTTCAATGGTTGAGCCTTTTCATTGACAGTAAAATAATCTTAAAATGGTTTTCAAACAATGAAAACTGTTAATAAAAATACTTGCTCCCATCTTCCAAATGGACAATGGGTCTGAAAGAAACAGAAATAAACTCATTTTAAATTTTAAATAATTAGTAAAAATCTAGAATGGAATAAAAACATAACAGCCAGTTTGCGCACAGCAAGGTCCCACAAACAGCCGTGGAGTGAGTAACCAATTTAATTTGGGGGATTGTCTACCAGAGCACCGGGAGAAACTCTTTTCGAATAGTGCCATGGGATCTTTAACATCCACCTGAACAGGCAGACAGGACCTCCAACAGTGCAATGTACCCACATAGCCCTAGCACTGCATTGGAGTATCAGCTTAAACTATGTGATTTCAAGTCCCCACGTGGGGCTTGAATCCACAACCTTCTGACTCAGAGGCATGAGTGCTACCACTATACCAGGCTGACACTGTAGTAACTAGTAAAGTTCAAATAAAAAAGAGGGAATAAGGAAGAGATTGTATGGTTAAAAAAGAAAGTAGAAAAGAACAACAGAAGAAGTAGTTACATTGTTTTATTTTATTTGAAAGGTCTTTTTAACATATATTTTAGTGGATTTATTGTTATACTAGTAAAGCCATTCTAATGTTTGAGTAGCTTTATTATTGTAATAATAGTAGTTTATTTCTGTAGCACACCGTACAAGCTAAAATATATCAACCAATAATGATAGTTGTTATTCAAACATAAACCAGCTTGTTATTTTTTCTTTTTTATATATTCCTCTTCCATTTAGAAATTAGTTTACTTCTGCTCCTTAAATGCAGTTTTTGAACTACATCTCATTGAGGTTGTCACATGAATTTCATTAAGTTTCACTTATTTTCAGTGACTTATTATTTCTTTGTGACCAAAACATAATTCTCCTCTGTATGAACAATCACGATGCTTAAGCGTACCCAAACCATGCATCCAACGAACACTTAATAGAAATCCCAGGGACATATTATTGGAATGGAATGCACACTCTCTCCCTGGAGGGAAGCATCCTGCTTACCTAATTCCGGAAAGTATTAGGTGCAGGTTGACAAGAGCCAAGGCTTGGAGACTCCAGAGTCTGCATTAGGGTACTGCTGAAGTCTAACCAGCTAAAGCCACATAGCTTGCCATTGATATCACTGTCCGGCAAGCTTTTCCGTTGCTTGCCCAGCTAGGACCATCCTACACATCAGGGCTTTCCCTTGCAGGGTTAACAGGAGCTGAGTGGGATGATTCCCTGCCCCCAGTGACTAGTCTGCCCTTCAAAGTCCTGCTGATGAGCCAAACTGGCTGTGCTGTTATCAGCAGTGCCCTGGAATACTGTGGACCCGAATGGCTCAGAAACCGGACTACCAAACCTGCCACAAAGGATTCCGACATTCCGCTGCCAAACCAATTCAGTTCCAAGGAGACCCCACTTACCTGCCCCCCAAGGAGCATATATGAATAAATAGGTGCACAAGCAGACAGGTAAACCTCTTTACTCATTTCAAATGGTTTGCAACTTTTGTTGTTTTGCTCAAAAACATCATGCATGTTCAAATGTTCCAACATTAGCATTACCCCCCAGGATTCCTAGAAGGTGAATTATGGGGTTTTGAGAGTAAATGCATCAGACTATTTATGTAGGGTGACGAAAAAGTCTTATTTTTCAGCTAACCTATTATCTAAAACAAATCATCATTTCTTTAAGACTTATTAGACATGTACTGATACCACAACTTTTGGTCAACTTGAACAACCAGAAGAGAATTTGAGTGATATTTTAGCATATCAACCTTCAGAAAGGTATCTATGCTGAATAGTGAGTTAAAAAAAAACTAAGATTTGTTTTCCATTATTTAACTGTATGACACATAGCTTGCCATTGAACAGGAGCTGAGTGCCGGACATCCATGCCAGCATTCATACAGGCATAAGTTATAATAATTATGCAATACGATGAAAATAATTTCATTTGCATGAAATTGTTTTCTTCTGGGAACCCCTATTATTAGATCCCAGAAGATAAACTGCAATAAAGCAATTGTTTTCCTAGCCATTATACACTTAAAATATGATTGTCTTGTTAGATGTTCTTCAAAAACTATTATATCAACTGAACAATATTTTACAATAATAATCCTTTCATTTGATATAGAGTCTTATCATGTTTTCAAGACGTCTCAAAGTATTTCACCGAATATACTGTGAAGTGAATTGACTGTATAGGTTGTGGGCGAAACACGACAGCCAATTGCGCACAGCACTGTCCCACAAACAGCCGTGAATTGAGTGACCAAATTACTATTATTTGTTTAAAAAAAATTATCATCTGTTGGTATTAATAAGACAAATGTTACTGGTATAATCGTAATAACTAAGATTTATCAAAAGTGAACATAATGCTATACAGGCTAACCTCATTATACAGAGGTTAGCCTGTATAGCATTATGTTCACTTTTGCCTGTGACATGTATGGATCATCAATTTGCACAAGCATAAAAAGGAAATCAAACAGCGTGCAACCAACTGCACATTCTATAAAAATATTATGGAAATACACATTGCAAACTCAACCAATTTCAATAAAACCTGATTGAAATAGTGTTATGAGGCAACAATCTTTAAACAAAATCATTTTTGCAATCGAAATACTTTTATTATTTTTGAGTTCACTGGCATTTGATAAAATATAGGGTATCATGTTAGAATTATTTAAGTAGTTGCATCTTACCAATTATATTTTTTCTTTTCTTTTCTAATTTAGACTCAATAATTTCTTGTGTCCTGATGGATGATGTTTGAGCTGAAAAATTGATGTAGACTGGAACATAACGAGCTTCACTTTGAATGGTATTTAGCAATCCTCGTGCAATGACAGACTGTAACAGAAATAAAGTAGAAATAATTTCTACAATTGCCTGAAATGAAACTTTCAAAACAGAGATTTATAAATGAGTTGTTAATGCAACCTAGCACAGGAGAGCTAGTGTACACACCACTATAAATGGGAAAATGATCATTTATTTGTAGAATAATGAATACAAAATGTGAATTAAAGGATGTAATCCAATTGAGTTGTTTAGATGCCACAAATTGAGACCAAACATTGAACAATTTATAATCGTCAACTAAGACCCAAGAATATTTTTTTTCTATTATAGCATTACCTAGTTGTTGATATATATTGCTGAAATGTATTGATCACTTTTAAGTATAATATATTTTGTTTTAATTTTACAAGCGATTTTTTTCCAATTGGATTTATCCCATATCTTTAAATCCTGATTACAACCAGCAGTGAACCTCCAAGATGTTGAAGTATGGTCACATTTATATTGCAGAATATGTAGCCAATGCTACAAATTTATTGAGAACAATACTACAATACTACAAGAGAAATACTCCAGCTATAATATTATAGCTGTACATAATTGATCGAGAACGACTGCTGCCTAAGGTACCATAAATAGACTTAGGACAATGGAAAGAAAAGGGAAAAAGTAAATCCAACTTCACAGAGCTAATTATTAACTATCTCTTAACACAAGGCGTCTTGTTTAAAAAGCAGCTTGATGTTATGCTGGGAGGATAGTAGGGTGGGTTTTCTTGGAGGATGAGATCAGATGGACCATTGGGTCTTCATCCAAACTAATGTTATGAATTTGTGAAGATAATAATTATGACCTTTGCATTTCATGGAGCGCCTTATCACGTCTTCGAGACGTCTCAAAGCGCTTCACAGATTATACTGTAAAGTGAATTGACTGTATATTTTGTGGACAAACGCAGCAGCCAATTGCGCACAGCAGCATCCCACAAACAGTCGTGGATTGCGTGACCAATTCTTTAATTTTTTAAAAAAGAAATTATCCAATCGACCTTACAACCGGGTTCCTAGTTACTGCTAGGTAAACTGAGGTGTGTCTTAACTGATCTTAACTGTGATAAGGTCAGATAACATCACCTGCTTTCTGACCAAGACATGCTCCCAGAAAGCTTCTTTATTCCATGACTCAATCCACGTTTCATATTATTATTATAGTAACAGAAAGCCTATTTTAATGTAACATTTGGTGTCATTTGTAAAGAGATGTAATCTGGGTTCTTCACACAGTTCCTGTAATGTTGTAACAATGTCACAGGATGTAATAACATAGTAAAAATGATCAGTATAGAATATATACTTATTGCAGTATGACTCCGGGTGTTATTTATCAGTAATTAATCATCAGTAAACTTAGAAAGATAATGTCACATTCATTAATCATCCAGTGTAAATGTCATTACAAACTAGAATTGTGAATTGCACTGGTTGATAAAAAAAAATTCAGTTCAAAATGGTAATTAAACCGTCTCTTTGGTATATCTTAAATAATAATAATCCTTGCATTTGATATAGCCCTTTTCACATCTTCTACACGTCTCAATGCACTTCACAGAATATACTGTAAAGTGAATCGACTGCATATTTGTGGGCAAAACACAGCAGCCAATTGCGCACAGCAGCGTCCCACAAACAGTCGTGGTTTTGGAGGGATTATTATTAGGAGTGTGGAGTAAGGAAACTTGCCCAAGGTTTCGCCCTGCCTGGAATTGAACCCAGGTGTCTCGCTTGCAAAGCGAGTGCTCTAACCACTGCTCTTACCACTCCTCTGAAATGAACCAGTGCTCACAACTCTCATAAAACCTATTCCTGCGCCCTCTCTCAGACAACACAAACTTTATTTTTAATAGTCCAATTTCTAACAGACATCTGTAAACTTATAAATATAAAACAGATTTTATAACATTCATCATCTTGATGTGAAACAACTTTTTTTAAAAAAGCACGTCAGAGTACCTTGCCCACTCCAGTTATTCCAGTGAATAGAATAGAGTGCTTAACAACCAGAAGTTTCTCCATTAGATAGCCAAAACGAACAGTATCTGTGGTTGGAACAAGCATCTCAAAAAATGGCAATTCACTTCTGTACTTGAAGCTGGGGATAATTCTGTCCCAAGGATCCAATCGACTGCTATCATAATCCATGTAAAAGTTCCACAGGTCACCAGATGTTGGTAGCTAAATAATTTGGATAGAATATGTCAAAAATATTATTAAAATAATACTTCAAGAAATATTCATGACCGTTTAGTTTGTAAACTTAAGTTAATTCATTGTTAGATTGTTTAGTATAAGTTGAATTTGTAATCACTGACATAAGAAGTTCATATCTGAGTTTTATTTCAGTTTTATTTGGCCAGCCAGGTGTCATGGTCAGCCTGAAATGAGTGAGAGATTGCCACCATCAACCTGATCACAGCTTGGACACACATTCTTACTCATTGAGCGAGGGTTTCACCAGCTGGAAGTGAAGAGCTTGAGCAGCTACTGTTTACCTCTCTGCAAACCAATCATAGTAGATTCAAAGCCCTGGATACATGAACAAACCCAGACTCCAGATAAAGACTTCCTTCAGCTGTCGTACCAAGCCTCATTGTTTCCTATCATCTATGTGACATGTGCCTTCAATGTGGTAGGAGGAAGAAGAATTGTTTCTCCATACACCTTGTATACTGTCACCTTAACCTGCATGGGACCTTACTATCTTTGAAGAGAGATGAGAACAAAGGGCCCTTTTGCCCCTTGAAAAGGACAGTTTCCAAACAAAAGTTTAGTTCGTCAGACTTAGTATAAAAATCATCCAGGGGCACAAACCATTTACCTAAAAAGAGGTGTCCACCTGCTGTTTTTCCCATAAAAAGTTCCTAAAAGAAATCAAGGAATGCTTTGAGAAATGCCACTAATTTAATCCTTATTTTGTAAAAATATTAGTGTATATGTAACGTACAGTTAAAGCTAATAAGAAATCACCTCTATTCAGCGACCACCTGCTTGTCAACAACCACCCTGGAATAATCCCGACCAATGTTCTATAATAAACCATCAATATTCATCAACCACCTGCCTGCAGCAACAGTGGCCTTTTTTTAGCCCTGTCGGTGTACAGACACCCTTTTTAGTGGCCAGTTCTAAGTGAATTTCAGTGTACTTACTGGTATGGTAATCCATTACCAATTTTCACGGGCCCGTATATAAACTTCTGCTAGACTCCTAGCGCATTTGTGAACAGATTTACTGTTATTAACGGGTTAGTTATGTCTGCTGAGCAGTCCACAAGATGCTCACAGATTTCCACCTCACCAGTGAGGTAGCATTATTAAATGTGTTAGGGGTCGAGCAGGAGTCGACACAGGGGACCACTGAATGTTTTTTGAATGTTTTGGAAATACTCATTATTGAGGGGATGCCCTTACAAGTGGGCAGTGTCGTTTCTAGGTTTAGTAAAAGAATGGGGAAGGGGTCATTATTTCACGCAGTTTTCTTTCTTTTTAGCAGTTTCTCTTTGAGGTCTAATTGTGGTGCATCTTACAAATTATGAAGAATGCAATCTTGACAGACATTAATTTTAGTTTGGTTAGTTCATGGATACCTTAGCTTCCGGATGGTCTTCAAATTGTTGTCTGAGGAAAGAGTCAAAGCTATCCCAGCAGTCCTCAGTCAAATTTCCTCCAACAGACCACAGGTAACAGAAGACAAATGTCTGAGAAATAATACTGCTCATTTGAGAAATTTCCTTTAAAAAAAATTGTAACTATATAAGTGAAACAAGTCCACAACGTTTATTCAGATTACTGTATAATTGGAACTATGAACTCTTCAGTAATTTCAAGTTATTCATTTAGCTTGTAACCAATTATATTTATTTTTAATACATACATCCACAAATAAATACTGCTGTTGTCTAACACATTATTTTACAGAAATCATTTAGAGAACTAACAAAAATATTCTCTGGTCATTTGCAATTATTGATAAAAGGNAAACTGGAATGATAGCAATCCATATTGTTAAATGAAGCATAATGCTGTATATACTGCTGCAAGCTAAGAGACTGCTTATCACAGTAAAATGTTACTAGTGGGAAGTTTGATTCATACATGCAGCTCCACATTACATCAGGGGCTGCGAAAAACTAATACCCAATCTTAGAAGGTTTTTTAATACTATCAAAGAGCCAGTCATACAACTAACTTGGCAATAACATTAAAATCGTCTATTGAAAATTCTTCGATCATCCAAAACATTTAAAGATTGCCTGCGGGGAGTGGAGACACGATTTCTCCTAAAACTACTGCTTCCAGTAAGCGTGCTTTTTTGTACTGTGCCCCTACTCCAGTAATTGATATTTTATGCACTCAAACCATCACTACAGTACACTACATTCAAATTCAGGTTCCAGAAATGCACAAGCATCTCAAACCATTTTTAAAAACAACAAAACTACATTTGTAAACCGCCTTTCACGTCGGGAGAACGTCCCAAGGCGCAGGACAGACAGCGTTATGGACCTGAGCTGGGGGTCGGGGTGGGGGAAGGTGGAGGGCAGGTGGGGGGAAGCAGGGAGATCAAAAGCATAGTCGAAGAGGAGGGTCTTGAGATCGGTCTTGAAGATGGCGAGGCGGAGGGACTGCGGGATGGAGTTCCAGAGAGTTGGGGTAGAGGGGTGGAAGCCCGCCCACCAAAGAGTCCTGTAGCTCAGTGGTTAGAGCATTCGCCTTGCAAGTGAGAGACCTGAGTTCAATTCCAGGCAGAGCGGAACCTTGGGCAAGTTTCCTTACTCCACACAGAGCCTAATAATAATCCCTCCAAAACCAAAAACAATAATAAATTGGTCATTTTCAATCCATGACTGTTTGTGGGACACTGCTGAGCTCAATTGGCTGCCGCGTTCGCCCACAAATATAGTCAATTCACTTTACAGTATATTCTGTGAAGCGCTTTGGGACGTCTAGAAGGAGTGAAAAGCGCTATATCAAATGCAAGGATTATTATTATTGTTATTATTATTATTATATTGGGGCGAGCGAGGTGGGGGATGTGAAGCAGGCTGGTGCCTGGTGAGCAGAGGGAGCAAACAGGATGTTAGGGGGTTAGGAGGTTGCAGAGTTAGGGGGGAGCAAGACCGTGGAGGGCTTTGAAGGTGAGGATCAGGATCTTGAACTGTATTTTCTGTGTGATGGGAAGCCAATGGAGTTGGGCAAGAATGGGTGTGATAGGGTTGCGCAGCCTAGTGCGGGAGAGGACACAGGCTGCAGAGTTCTGGATGATATGCAGCCTGTGGAGGGAGGAGTTGGGGAGGCTAACAAGCAGTGAGTTTGCATAGGCGAGCCTTGATGTAATGAAAGCATGTATGAGGGTTTTGGCGGACTGCGGTATGAAACAGTGGCGGAGCCAGGGGACGTTGCAGAGGTGGGGGAAGGCAAAGCAGGTCATGATGCAGATGTGGGGTAGAAAGGATAGTTGAGGTTCAAACAACACCCAAAGGGTCCAGGGAAGGTTTTTTAAGGATAGGAGTGGTTTTTAATGGGATGGAAACAGTACCAGAGGACAGGGAGAGATTTATGATGTCAGTGAGTAGAGGGGCAAGGAGGTGGAGCTGGGAGGTAAGGAGAGGGGTAGGGTTGGGGTCGAGGGAGCAAGTGATAGGTTTTATACGGGTTAAGGTGGTGATGAGAGAGGCGGGGGAGACAGGTTCAAAGGTGTGGAGAGAGGGTTGGGTAGGGGCCGGGGTGAGAGGAGGAGATGTGGAGGGGGTAGAAGGTAGGATTTAATATGGTCCAGCCAGATCTGGCGATGGACAGTTAGGTTTGATTTAAGCCAGGTGCGCTCAGCGGAATACGCCTGAGCTTTAAGGTGGTTGGTGTACCGAGGTGATTTACGTGAATAGGAGATGATTTGGGAAGAGAGGGGAGTGAGGGAATCGAGAATGGAGGAGAGGGAGCTGCGGAGAAGAGTGACCGAGGAGGATAGGTCATTGCGGGAGGACACCCAAAGGGGAAGGATTTCAGATGACTCAAGGGCAGCCGAGAGGGAGGGGGGAAGGGAGATTTCTTTCCAGGGTGGTATGAGATGGAGGTTGGTTGGTTGGCGGTGGGGAGAGAGATTGAGGAGTTAAGGGAGATGATCTGCCAATCCACTGTTAAGTTGGATTTGAGCCAGGTGCATTCAGCAGCACGGACCTGTGCCTTGAGGGAGCAGAAGTGGCTGGTGTACCAGGGTGACCTCCGTGAGAGGGAGACGGTTCGGGAAGTGAGGTGGACAAGGGGATTGAGAGGGAGTACAGCGTTTTCATGTCAGGAAAATATCTCAAAACTCTTCCCAGGATTTACTGTAAAGTGTAGTGATTGTGTATTTTGTTAGCAAACATACTTGAGAATCAAATGTCCAGTGTAATGGAGAAAATTTAGCACGTTTGCCAAAAATCATGTTGTAGTTTTGTATATGATATGGATTTTAGAATGCCAGAACAACTGAACCAATGTGGACCCATTATTTACAATAATAACAGGTCCACATTGGTTACTTTATTTCAAGTATTCAAGTACTTTGAATTCCATTGGACATGTAAAGTCTGATTGCTGAAGTATAAATAGTGATTATACCTTTCAGTCAAGCTACACAGGTTATCATTACATCTAATACGATTCTCTAACTTACCCACAATTGGAAAATAAGAGGCAACAATGAAACCGGTGTGAATACACAGTGAGGATATAACAACATAAATTGTTCTGGCATTCTAAAATCCATATCATACACCAAACTGCAATATGATTTTTGTCAAATGTGCTAAATTTCTCCATTACATTGGATTCCCAAATATGCTTGCCTATAAAATACACAATCGCTACACTTTACAGTAAATCCTGGGAAGAGTTTTGAGATATCTTCCTGACATGAAAGCGCTGTACTCCCTCTCTATCTAGGCGTGTGGAGTCCTGTAGCTCAGTGGTTAGAGCACTCGCTTTGCAAGTGAGAGACCTGAGTTCAATTCCAGGCAGAGGGCGAAACCTTGGGCAAGTTTCCTTACTCTACACGCCTAATAATAATCCCTCCAAAACAAAACAATAATAAATTGGTCATTTTCAATCCATGACTGTTTGTGGGACATTGCTGTGCGCAATTGGCTGCTGCGTTTGCCCACAAATATACAGTCAATTCACTTTACAGTATATTCTGTGAAGCGCTTTGGGACGTCTGGAAGATGTGAAAAGCGCTATATCAAATGCAAGGATTATTATTATTATTATTATTATTCCCTTGCCCACCTCACTTCCCCCCAAACCATCTCCTACTCACGGAAGTCACCTTGGTACACCAGCCACCTCTGCTCCCTCAAGGCACAGGTGCGTGCTGCTGAACGCATCTGGCTCAAATCCCACTTAACAGTTGATCGGCAGATCCGGATAGACCTTATCAAATCTTACCGCTCTGCCCTCGCCTCCGCTAAATCGTTCTTCTACTCCAAGACAATCTAGGAGGCCAAGGACAACCCCAGGCAAATCTTCTCCCTCATCAATAGGCTCCTCCACCCACCCTCTCACACCTCACCCATCCTCTCCTCCAACGCCAACTGCGAGGAGATGCTGGACTTCCTCGAAACCAAAATCAAGGGGATCCGCTCAGCTGCCTCTGCCCTTCCGACCACTACCTCCTCCCCATCTCCCACTCACACTCTGGCTCCTACCCATCCCCTCATTCCACACCTTCGAACCTATCTCCCCTTTCTCTCTCATCACCACTATTAACCACATGAAACTGACCGTCTACTCCCTCGACCCCATCCCTACCCCTCTCCTTACCTCCCAGCCCCTCTACTCAGAGACATCATAAACCTCTCCCTGTCCACTGGCATTATTCCCACCCTTTAAAAACAGCCGTCATCACTCCTATCCTTCAAAACCCCTCCCTGGACCCATCCCTGCTCTCAAACTACCGCCCCATCTCCAACCTCCCTTTTCTTTCCAAGGTCCTAATACATGCATCCATAACATCCAGGATCAACTATCCAAACTCCCTTCTTGTCGGCATCCCCAACGCCTCTCTCCACAGGCTGCAGATCATTCAGAACTTTGCAGCCCGTGTCCTCTCCTGCACCAGGCTCTGTGACCCTACCAATCCCATCCTTGCCCAACTATACTGGCTTCCCATCAGAGGATACAGTTCAAGATCTTGATCCTCACCTTCAAAGCCCTCCATGGCCTTGCTCCCCTCTACATCTGCGACCTCCTAACCACCTACCAATCTTCCCGTTCTCTCCGCTCAGTGGGCTCCGGCCTGCTTCATATCCTCCACCTCGACTGCCCCACCAATGGCAGGCGAACCTTCTGCCACTCTGCCCTCACCCTCTGGAACTCCATCTCAAAGTCCCGCCGCTTCGCCCCCTCCCTTGCCTCCTTCAATACCTGTCTCAAGAACCTCCTTTTCGACCATGCCTTCAGTCACCCTCCTCCCCCCACCGGTCTCCACCCTCCCTGATCCTGCCCCGCAGCTCAGGGCCGAAACACTGATTGTCCAGGGCCTTGGGACGTCCTCCTGACATGTAATTTTGTTGTTATTATTGTATTAAATACATGGATTATTTTGATTTTAGGTATAAGCAATCGAAACCCCAGATCATTAGAGGTGCATATAACTATTTGTTAGTCCATATACTATATCTTATATACCTAACAATGTAGTAAGTACCTACAACTTCAAATTGAAGAGAAGGTAGTTCATAGAGCACAATGAAGCCATCATGTAACATACCGGTTTGAGAACTGGGCCTCCTTTTCCAAGCAGTAAAGACTCGAGGAGATAGCAGAGTGTGGTGACTTTACTGATGTCCACCTGTGAGATGGCCTGTATGCATTTTTTATTGACAAACTTTAATCCATTTTCAACATAATTCTGGAAAAGATCCATTATGTACTGCTGCAATTCCAAAGGTATCTACATAAAAGTTAAATAATTATTTGCAAAACCATAGATTTACTGTAATTTTAAAAATATAAATGTTCTTGTGCACCAGAGACTATTACTATACTCATTTCATGTTATTCTACATTAAATTTGGTACTTTTTGGAAATGTTACACACAAAAGTGAACAAAACATTATATCTATATGGACCTCTTTGACTGCGCTTTTGGGAATCTTTCCGCAACCCACTCCCTCAGCTCCCACTCCCAGCTCAGGTGCCCATCCAGCACTGTGACTGTGCCTTGGGACGCCATCACAGCATGAAAGATGCTATATAAAAGTAGATTGTATAAATCGATACTGTATTATTGTCAGAAGATCAATGCTGAAATAAGTGACTTATTGACCAATTTCCGACATTCTAGTTGTAAACCAAAATTACCTTTAGCACTGATTATATTACTAACACTGTTAGTATTATGATCAGCATAATCAGAGTGGTCAGCAGAACACTCAATGGGAGCAGTGATTTTTCTCAGTCAGCTCCTGCTAACACTGTAAACTAAAGCCTTAACGCTTAGGGTGGTCCTCCCTGGATAAGCAATGGGAAGGTTGCCAACAGTTCTCTCAATATCAAGCTGTTCGGTTTCAGCTGTTTAGACTCTAGCACATACGCTGGGAACCCCCAAGCCTTCTACTAACAAAAGAAGAACAAATGAGGAAGAAATTCAAACCCATGCTTTACACAGCATAGAAATGGGACTATCTTGTGCCTTAAATGACACCACAAGAGAAAAGCTTTAAAAGGAACAATATCTCACAATTTCTTCCATTTGGATATTTCTTCATAAAATAAATAATAAAAGGGAGTATTGTAATTTGGTTAAAAATAATGTTACTATTTTTAAACATTCAAAATATTATTGCTTACTTTTTCTGAATGAGTAGCCATCCAGGTCTGTACATATGGCAGCCATTTGAGTTCTTCTGGATCAAGGTAAACCATTCCACATCGACTAACAGTGGCAGGAGAAGCTACCCGAAGGTCTTGCACCTGCAATATATCAAAAGTGTTTGGTAAAAATTCTACTGTTTTCATCTGCTGTATGAATGCTTATATTGAGATTTACAGAATTATTTGAATTCATCAGCAATGCCTCTTTTGGAATCACAGAGAAGGTTTTAGGAATTTGCTGGACTTAATATCTAATATCCATGTAATAGATTTAAGGAACAAACACTGTTGAGATAGATTTTAAACATTCATATGTACATACTGGTAATAATTATAATAGATATTTTAATAGTTACTTGGCATGAGGAAGCTGATCGTAAATATGAAGAAAATAAGGTGCTCTGATTAAAGGTCCAGCACATTTACTGGAACATTCGAATAGCTAAAAGTGTAGGGATGCTTTTTTCCTGACACGATATTATGTTTCAAGCATTAAAGAAAAAGGATTAAGACATATAGTTTGTGTTAGAAAGTAGTTTTAAAATTAAACATTTATTTTAAAAACACTTTTGTAGTTGACTTCTCTATTTCAAATATAGTAGAAACATGAAAGTTTCAGTTGTTTTTATTTCTTTATCTATCAGCAATATGTGAAGGATGCAAATGAGGAAGGAGATTTATTTTCACATGGCTTTAAAAAAAAGTTAGTAGTTGACTTCTTTGTTGAAAATATAGGTAGAAACATAAAAGCTACTTGAAATTAAACTTCAAAACAAAGCTCAGTTACAAGGGTCTTCTATCTTCAGCACGTCTGGTTTATCAACAGGGAAGGGGATAATATGTAACCTGAGATTGGGATTCTTTCCATTCAACTCCTGATAACCCTGAAAGTCAACAATCTAAATGGGAGGGTGGTTCTCATCGCCAATAAGTGTGTAGTTTTAGCTAGTTAAGTTTCAGTAGAACAGCAGTACTCCAACTCACATACTGAAGTCTTGAATGTCTTGGCTGTCACCAACTTTATTCCATCCCCTGTACTGATAATTTCTTCCACATTTTATCACCCTTTATTTTCCTGCACTTCCTTTTTTTGTCGTACCTACTTTAAAGCTATGATCCATTCCTCCCCATCCTTGTTCACCCTACACTGTGGAAAAATTGATCTTGGGTAGCAATTTCTCCATCCCACTCAATTACCCTTTTCTATCTAGATGACACAGGTGATGTCGTTATCAATTTGAAATGTTTTATTTGGCACAAGCCAAGTTCAAATCAATGCAATGATCAAACAACCCACACAAAAACTTTAGGTATGAATTTCATTGTATGGTACACCAAAGTACAAATAATAATAATTCTTGTATTTAATATAGCATTTTTCACATCTTCTAGACGTCTCAAAACACTTCACAGAATATCCTGTAAAGTGAATTGACTATATATTTGTGGGCGAAACGCGGCAGCCAATTGCGCACAGCAGTGGCCCACAACAGTCATGGATTGAGTGACCAAATTATTATTGTTTTCTTGAGGAATTATTATCCCCGGAAGTGATCCGCCAATCGACTAACAACCAGGTTCCTGCTTACTGCTAGGTAAACAGAAGCGGGTGGAGTAAGGAAACTTTCCCAACATTTCGGGCTGCCGGGAACAGAACCCAGGTCTCTCGCTTGCGAGGCGAGCACTCTAACCACTGAACTACAGGACTCCACAGATATGTGTGACTTAGATTTTCAGTGACTAACCTCAAAGACCATATGAATATAAGGTGTGAGTTTGATCCGTTCACTATTTGCCAGGCAAAGCATCTTGTTGTCATCAAGAACTGTGTTCAAATTCTCAATCCACAATGCATCAACAGGACCATCACATACAACCCATTTGTGTTCCATGGTTGTATCGTTCACAGCTGCACGGACACTAAGTGCCATTAACCCATCCTTCCACTCGAGTGTCAAGTTGTTCACTTCACCATATAGCTCGCCCATCGTGATCGATTTTGGGTTCAGAACATACAACTTCACAATCTGGTAGAAGGGATCATCCTCTCCAGCATTATGCAATGTGCCAAGGGTCTCTGCTAAAATGCGATAAACTGTAGTTTTGCCACTTCCACTGGGTCCAACCAGCATGACACCATGGCGCACAATCATGGTTTCATACAACTGTATGACCTTACTAATCATACAACTGACAACCTGCAGGCCACGCTTACTCATGACTTCAACAACAGTTTCCTGGAATAAACCATAATCATGATCTGGAATCTCAACTCCCGGAAACAAGTCCGAAAGAATACCTCTGAAAAAGAAAAAGAGAATATTTATTATAGCTTAGATTCAAAATATTCTGTCCGACGTTTCACTCAATAATTTAATATACCTTACATGTTACTAATATACTTGTATTTGGAATGGGCAAGCCTCTGCACACAGGGTGAACTTCGTTAAATCTTTTGGAAAATACATTAAACCACATTAAATTAATTAGATACATTAAAATTATTTCCTAATTTTACATAATATGAGAATAGCATACCAAAATGATACATTATTTAAATGATAATTGTTTTAAGAGAAAGTATCCAATGTTACCCAAAAAGCACTGAATCATCCACAAGGAATTTTGGAAGATTAGAGTCTCTTAAAGCTCTAATCAACACAACGTCTTCATTCAATTCAGGATTTGCCCTCTTCAGTGACCTAAGTGAAGAATGCAGTGGAATTAGTACTTATCCCCAAAATGTGTAAATATTATAAATTGTATAACAAGAAAAATAATTATTTCCCCCAAAACATGACTAATAAATCAATTATATGAGGAGGATTGTTCCTCTGAAGATTAATATTTCCTCTTGCATGGAAGTTTTTGCAATCTGCAAATCTACATATTTCTAAAATATTGCCAACATGTTAGTGTTTTTCAGTTTCTTTTAGCAAAATATAACTATTAAAGATCTTAGCTTGAATTTGTTAAAAAAATCACATTTTAAGAGGCAATATTAATCTTCAGAAGAGCAATCATCACTACACTATAATCACATCAATTATCATCTGTAACTTTCTGAATGTTAGTTTATTACTGACGTCTCTGAGCGAATGTTGGTTTAGCTGTGAGAGCTCTGAAAGTTTGGCTGGTGGCTTTTAAGTATGAAGTTGATTAGCTAAAGTGGAGGTAAGGTCAAGGAAGGCCAAGAGCAACGGGGCCTGGAGTTGAGAAGACTCGAGCGCAGTAGAGAAGGAGTAGGGGATAATTTTCTTCCTTGGGTGGAAGGAGATGGTGGTGGGTTTCATGGTTGGGAGGGAAATGAAGGAGTTTCGGGAAATGAAGAAGTGGCTTTATCGATGATGGCCGTAATATGGGTGGTGAAGTTAAATAGGGTGGGAGAGGATAAAAGTGAGAAGCAGGTACGGGTGAAATGAAGATTGAGTTCTCTTACCCGGCCATGACAAGCACAGACTTGACTGCTCGCATACCAAAGTCATAATGGTCCTGCTGAGATAGCTGCTCACTGCATAATTTATACATTTGGGTCATTTTTCTAGCCAAAACCTTACTGGATTCAAAACCCTCAGAATAAAGAATGACCTGCATAAACAATAGGCAAAACAACTAAGAAAGATCATGCATTTTATAGCATCAAAATATTTCAAATCACTTTGCAGCATTTTTTGTTTAAATGTAGCAACTGATGTTGTTGGCAAAAATAACAGTCATGTGGTGCAAGCAGATATTAGATAAATGATCAATTTGTCTCGGGGATGGACACCTGGAGAAACTTCTTTCTCATTTCATATATTGTCCCTAGGGTATTTAACAATAAGCAGTTGGGACCTCAAATTACATTAACAAAAGTTGCTCTTCTGACATTGCAAACATGCAGCACTCAACCAAGTACTGCAGTATCAGCCTAGCCTGAGCTCAAGACCTGCTGTGGGATCTGAGTCCACAAACTTCAGAACAAGAGAGAAATTGCTATCAACTAACATTTTAGAAGGCAAGAAAAAAGTTAATATAAGACTTAATAAAGTAATGCAACATTAATATATATTTATATATGCATGATTATTATACACTTCAGATTAAGATAATTGAATATCCTATGAACAAAATATAGCGCTTTGCAAACTTATTTTATAACTATTGATTTAAGCTTGCACTCCATGCATTTTTTCTTTGGTCAGTCAGATGTCTGACATATGTGGAAAGCCATTACCATGTTTAAGAGCAGTACCGAAGCCAGTGGGGAGTGGGGGGGCATCATGACCCTCCCAATAATCACGCTGAGGTTGGCCAAAAGTCAGCCCAAACTGACTCACTTCTCTGTACTTTGTTGGGATCGCTATGCCATTTTCAACCACCCACAGCCTTTCCACTGAATGTTTGGCAGCCTCATATTCCAATCACAGCCTCTCATCACACCCCCAACCATGACTGACATCCAACTGCCAATCAAAGGCCAGACATTGACCACAGGCTGCCCACTGATTGACAGGCAATCCAGTCCAACAACCAGAGCCATGTTGGGAGGAGGTAGAAGGTGGAGCCAAGTCAGCCAAATCCTGACCTCTAGCCCCAATCAAATCAAAATACTTTTTAAACTTTGTTCCTTTAAAAAGAAACTTAATGTGTTTTGGAAAATACCAAATGTGATCCCATATTACAAATTACATAAACAATGAATCAAAATGAAATAATGGATGGTCAGCGCTTCAGTTGTAATCATTTCCAAACATGTCAAAAATCTAACACAACTTCTGGGTTGGGTGTCAAATGCTTGAGTTACTCTTTCTGTAACTTGTACCGGTATAGTAGTTTTACTCTAATTTCAATTACCGTGAGTAAATTATCTTTAAAGTATAATTTGTAGTTATTTGTTGTTTGATAGTTCAGTTACCTCAGCAATCAGAGCATAATTAGGAACCATCATTGCTATAGGTCTAAAAAGGGCCTTCAGGTTGTCAGGCAGTTCAGTTCTTCCAGCGTAACCAGGGTTCATTGTGATGAATGCTGCACAAGACATAACCAATTTGATCTCTCTACCTTCAAACATGAAACGAGAGACCTGTACAAAAGGGGCAGAAAAATACATTATAATTCAAAAGTATATAATTTGAAAAACTTTAATATATATATATAAATATTATATATAGTTCCCTCCAATATTCCTCCAATTTTCTTCCTTTATTACTCCTCTTCTGAAATTGGCAAACCAAGTTGGTGCAATTCTACAAGTACTGCATCAGCAATCCTTAATATATTATCCAAATGATCATTCTTCATTCATACCTCTGATAAATGAGCTCCAGCAGTTGATAATTGGAAAAGAACTTGACCATTTACTCACCCAATGTTCATATATGTGCAGCATTATTAGTGATCACTTATTAGCTAGCAGGAATGGGAATCAAGGTCACATTTGTCTCTCCCCTTTACCTTGATATTTTCACATCAAATTGATACTTAATGATCAATATCAATATGGCATTAGGCATACACTGTCTCAGTCTGAGAGATTTATAAAATCAGCTGCACAGGTATGAAATGCCAGAAAAAAAATCCTGTAACTAATAATAATCTTAGCATTTGATATAGCGTCTTATCATATCGCTGTGACGTCTCAAAGCGCTTCCAGAATATATTGTAATAAAGTGGATTTTGTGGGCGAAATGCACACAGCAGTGTCCCGTAAACAATCGTGGATTGAGTGACCAAATTATTACTTATTGTATTGCAGGGATTATTACTCCAGAACACAATAATACACCTAGCTCTGCTTTCATCTGTAAACTGGTGGTTTTACGGCCACTTGGACTAAAATTGACATGGAGACACATATGATCTCCAGTATACAGCATGAGATGTGAGTCATAAGTAAACACAGGTGTTACCTTGGCAGCTTTAGCATTTCTAATGGTGATGAGCTGTTGTGCAATAACAGAAAGCACTTCAATATCAATTCTGTTGAACTCATCAAAACAGCACCAGGCTCCAGACTGAGCCAAACCACTGAAGAAACGGCCCATCATCTAAGAAGAAAAAAAAAGTATGTTATAAACTTTGTACATTAAGAATACAGAAAATACTACATAACAACAACAACTTGCACCTATATAGCACCCTCCATACAGGATAGCGTCTCAGAATGCTTAACAGTGACTCTGAGCCGGGGGGGGAGGAGGGAGGTTTTCAGGCAGGACTTGAAAAAGGGTAGGGAGGGAGCAAGGTGGAGGGATTGAGGGAGAGTTTTCCAGTTTTGGGGTGTAGTAGCTGAATGCGTAACCTCCAATGGTGGAGCAGAGGGTACAAGGGACAAACAGGAGGCCGGTGTCAGTCGAGCAGAGGCGCCGGGTTGTGCACTGAGGTGTGAGGTCAGAGAGGTAGAGAAGTGCCAGGGAGTGAATGGATTTGAACACGAATGTGAGGATCCATTTGGTGATGGGAAGCCAGTGGAGCCTGGCCAGAACTGGTGAGACGGGGGTACAGAGTTTAGTCCCGGTCAGTATGAGGTCGGCAGAGTTCTGAATGAGCTGGATTCTTTGAATAGTGGAGCTGGGGAAACTGGAGAGGAGTGGGTTTAATAATCCATGCAGAAGGTGACAAACGCATGCACGAGGGTTTCAGCTGCATTTGGGGTAAGGTAAGGTCAGAGGCGGGCAATGTAGCAGAGATGGAGGAAGGCGCTGTTGGTCAGGGACCGGATGTGTGGAAGGAAGGACAGCTGGGGGTCGAACTGGATGCCAACATTACACACTGATTCGGTAAGTCTGAGGGAGAGGCTGGGGAGGTTTAGGAGTTCAGCTCTGCAGCAGTGAAGATGTTGACGGGAGCCAAGAAGTATGGCTTCTGTTTTATCCACATTCAGCCGCAGGAGGTTTGCACTCATCCAGGTGCTGTTGTCTGCCAGACAAGTTGAACATCGGTGGACCTAGAGTTGCAACTGGAGAAGCCAAAGTAGGTTCAAGTTTACCCCGTGTCTGCGGATGACATCGCCAAGAGGGAGCATGTAGATGAGGAAAAGAGAGCGAAGGATGGAGCCCTGGGGTATCCCGCAAGTTGCCGGGCGGGGGCGCGTGGAGGAACCATTTGCCAAGATGAAATGGAGGCGGTTGGTTGAGTAGGTCTCAAACCATGAGAGTGCGGTCCCACTAAAGTAGATGCGGGAGAAGAGACGGTGGAGGAGGATTGCATGGTCGACTGTCGAACGCAGCAGAGAATTCCTGGAGGACGAGGACGCAGAGGGAGTCTTGGTCACAGACAGAGAGGACATTGTTTGTGACTTTGACAAGTGGTGTCTCTGTGCTGTGGGCAGCGTGAAAACTAGACTGCAGGGGCTCGAGGAGGGAGTGGAGGAGGAGGTGTTGTAAGGAGGGGGGAGGGAGAAGGTAGCGTGAATGGTCTGGGTGGGGTAGAAGGGGACGTGGGGGAGAGTGGATGTTTTCAATCTTTGAAGCAAAGAAGTCTAGGACGCACTTGGCGTTTGATGTGAGGATAGAGTGGGCTTGAGAGGGTGCACGGAGGAGGTGATGGACGGTGGAGAAGTGTCGTTGGATTGCTGTTTGCCTCCAGGATCACTTTGGAGTAAAACAACAACAACAACTTGGATTTATATAGTACCTCCACGCCGGACGGCTTCTCAGAGCGCTTCACAGTAACGGATCCCGGGGCCGAATCAAGGGGAAGGGGGAGGAAGGTGACCAAAAGTCAGTTTTGGCCTGTGAAAGTGAAAGGCAGTAGGTGCAGAGGTGCTCAAGCCACAGCTGGCAGTGAATCTTGAGACTGGACTTCTGCCATCTGCACTCAAGCGTCCGAGTTTGTGTTTTGAGTGAGCGGAGATGACTGTTGTACCAGGGGCAGCTGGTTGATTTGGAAACAGACCCAGATTTCAGAGAAGCCAGGGAATTAAAGGTTGTGGAGAGACGGTCATTCAGCAGCTTGAAGGCTACTTCAGGAACATGGAGGTCCAAGGAAAAGGGACTCAGGTGGAAGTTTTTTCCAGGAGTGGAAAAAGATAGTGGGAGACTTGGAAGAGGGAGGGGGATGCGGGAGGAGAGGGAGACAAGAAAGTGGTCCGAGATGCCTTGTTCCTGATAAGACAGGTCGGAAATGTAGAGGCCGTGTGTGATGATGAGGTTGAGGTAGTGGCCTTGGCAAGTTGATGTGAAGGGTGAGATTTAGAGATGAGGGCAGTGAAATCCGAAGAGATGGGAAAAGAGGAGTTAAAGTGGAGGTTGAAATCACTTATTATCAGCAGGTGTTTAGGTCAGAGGGACAGGGATGAGAGGAGAGAGGAGATATCAGTGAAGAAGGAGTCAGGAGATTTGGGAGGGGAGTAAACTAGGAGGATTTTGAGGGAGAGAGAGGAGGGATGATAGAGGGTAAGGTGCTCAAAAGAAGAGAAATAGCCAGAGGAATAGGGGGATAGATCAAGGGAAGCTTGGAAAATGAGGGCCACCCCGCTGCCATGGGTGGGGGGGGGGTGAAAAGTGTAGCCAGGAGGGGAGGCTTCAACAAGGGGGATGGGGTCACTGGGGGAGAGCCAGGTTTCTGTAAGCCCAAGAATATCAATGTGCTCATCCAGGATGAGGTCGGGGACAGTAAGGGCTTTATTGGAGAGAGAGCGGACATTTTGGAGGGAAATGCGGATAGGTTTGCTGGTGGGGGACAGAGATGAAGGAGGGAGTAGTATAGGGAGGATTTGGAGTTGTGGGGGAGAAAGGACTGTGGAGTTTGAGGAGGGGTGAGAGTTGGAGAAGGTATGGATGAGGGAGGGGTGTTTGCCTTTCGGAGGCGGTTGGTGCAGAAAGTGTGCGATGGGACAGTTGGGGTGGCTGCTCTGGGACAACCAACGTCAGGAGCCACGATGGGCCTGGCAGAGGATGGAGGAGAGGGAGGTAATGATGGGGTCCAGGAGAGAGAGAAGGCAAGGAGGGCGGTGTGAAAGAAGGACAGAATGGGAGTAGCGGAGTTGAGGGGGTAGGAGCAGGACCATTTTCAGCGGGATCGGCTCGGGGTAGCAGCCAAAACGCGAACGCAGAGACCGGGACAAAACAATGTCTTTATCTAAAAAAAATTATGGAAAGCTTTTCGCTTGCTTATATCTAAATATATTGTCCTTGTATATAATTTTGTATAGTGATGTATCATTAAATTACTCGGATACTCCATGTTAAATAAAGTAATTTAGATTTGTTCTATGCATTAATTTGTATTTTAATAGTTTCATTAAATGTTTGTATATATTATTTGAATTCCAAACAAGATGTAATGCCTGGTTAATACGGCATTTCAAATCATGACTGTCAGATTTACATTAATTTCTGTAACCTTTCATTAATTTGTATATCTACAGAAACATTAAGCAGTTTTAAATCAATTAAGATAGTCCTATTTACAACAACAAAATTCCATTTATAGAGCGCCTTTCACGTCGGGAGGACGTCCCAAGGCACTGTACAGTTGGGTCGGGACCCGAGCAAGGGGGGAATACGCTATAGGCGCTATACACAAGTAATTTTGTTGTTATTGTTGATCCAAATGACCATTGTTAAAGAACTGCATTTACAATACATTTTGTGCTCCCAATTACTGTCCCTACTATCAACAGAATATTTTCTTACATTTACTCACCTTATAATCTAAGCCATCAGAACAATTAAAGACCACACACTGGATAGCGAGGGACTTGGCAAGGTCTTTTGTCGTTTCTGTCTTACCAGTACCTGCAGGACCAGCTGGTGCTCCTCCAAGGTCAAGCTGCAGCGCTCCCATGAGGCAAAGGTAACATCGGTCCTAGGGCAACCAAGACATCTTAAATTAGCTACAGTATTGAACACACAAACTGCACAAACAATGCATATATAAACAATGGCTTCTTTGTTAAAAAAAAGTCTGAACTTTCTTCCTAGAGGGGTTTCCACAACGGAATTGGAAGACAACTCCTTTTCCCAAATTTTGCATAACAGTAATTTACCTCATTCTCATAATAGTAGGATAAGCAATCAATTTAAATAAGTGAATTAATGTTGGCTTATTTTCTCAGCCATCAGAATGAGAAGGATGGAAAATTTGCTCAATATGGTAAGCGAGTCCATTTTGCCATTAAATAAATAAACTCTGAAAGCAACCATAAGTTTACCTAGCAATAAGTAGGAATCCGGTTGTTAGTCAATTGGCAGATCACTTTTCTGAGAGTAATAATCCCTTCAGTAAAATATAATAATAATAATTTGGGTCACTCAATCCACGACTGTTTGTGGGACACTGCTGTGCACAACTGGCTGCCGAGTATCGCCTACAAAATATAAGTCACCATACTTTACAGTATATTCTGTGAAGCGCTTTGAAACAACTCAAAGGCGTGATAAGGCATTATATCAAATGCAATCAATGTCTTTTTTTGCTGGGAATACCGAAAATAGAGTTTCACATAATTTTTAAAAAAGTGCATAGTGACAGAAAGATATCCACGATAAGTGTGACCTCTGTAGGAAGGTTAAAGTTAAATGATGGAACTATTATATAGCCTCAAGCTTCAAATGTATTATTCTGTTAGAAGAGAGGTAGAAGGAGAGTGAGAGGTAGAAAGGGAACGTTCAAAATTCTTGGAGGAAAAACTCCACCTGGATCTAGATTTACTCTATTTTCTTGGCATTTCATAGCATCCAGTATTTGGTAAATTATTAAATACAGTTTTAATTGTGAAGTCACTTTTTCTGAAAGTCTATTTTAAGAACTATAGAAAATGGTTTCAAAGTTGTGAAAGAATTTGCAAATGCTAAGAGTAAATCAATTCCAGTGCAGAATTTCTACATCCTGTTGTTCGATCATTTTTAAACATTACAAAACCACAATTAACACTGTTCCTAGTTACAGACAGCCAGAATGTAAAACTCTATAATGCATTTTATTCTTTGCATTTAAACTTTGAATATTTTTAAACTAAATGGACCAAATGGAATAAACTTACAGTAAGTGGTGTAATGACCAGCCGAGGAGATGCTCCTAGGTATTCATAACCGTAGGTGTAATTGGATAGGGCCATCATAGCTATACAATTATCCACATCAAGATTCCAGTAATAGCGCAGCTGTCTCTGCCACTCAAAATTAGTCACTGCATCCACCTTAACATTGAGAAATATTGAGTAATTCCAACAGAAAAAAAATAGTATTTTGAGCAACTTTTAGATTTCCTTCTCACCTGGTTAGCTTTTTGGCATTCCATTTGGAGTAACAGATTATTAAAAAATGGTATGCCAAATTAAAACTCAATCTTGAGAATGCATTAATCAACACTAACATATCGTTTTTATAATTACACAAATAGCATTTTTTTTTAAAAATGTAACTCCCAGACTGTTGAGTTCGCTGATCTCAACTAAGCTAGCAGTAAAGGTAGTGTAGCAGACTACACTTTTTGCTGGAAGAGGTTCTATTACTATCCATTGGATTTTAAGACCAATGTTAGCACTGGTTTAAGTCTGATTTTTTTTGTTGAATTAAGTTAGTATCAAGCTGAACCAGGTGTGATTTTAATTGATTACAATTGGATACACATTTAATTGTTGACTGTGCCACAATTTGTTCAGCAAGACTCGTTCTGTCCTATGAATTCCACCGGCCTTCATTACAGTTCTCATCGTGTTGGCTATCCAACAGTTTAGCCTGTGCCAGGATGTGCAGCCGCAATCAATATCTATGTGGGTGAGGCCTGTTGCCTCTCAGCGCATAGTGTTCCTTGGACCATAGTAGAAAATCCTCAGTAGAAATTCAGTCCACCCAAACCAGTTGTTCTATTGGAGATCTATTAGGAAACCACTGTTGAAGAAAGTTCAACTGTAATGAACTTCATACACTGTCTTGCATTGGGGACCATTACGATAACTGCTGCCATGAAATAAGGAATACAAAGTTAGTATCAGCTGTCAGTTATCTCAAGGATGGTGACAAATTCAACCATGGCCAAGGAAACATTGGCCAAAAGTGGCTGAAGCCATGCACTTTTATCTCTTGCTGCAGCTTCATAAACATAGGTGGAGATAGTCATAGAGAAAAAGACAGAACGTTAAAGCAAAATAGCAGTGGAGGCTAGCCTCAAAGGGGGTTAGAATTCTGTCACATTTGCCAAGAGTGCAACAGCAACAGAGTCTCTTTTTATTGGCTTTGGCTAAGGAATCTCAAACCCTTATGAGGCTCATCACAAAAGAGTATGTATGGGACATTATGCAAGATTTTGTCTTATAGCCTCTTTCAATGACACAAAATTACACGAAATGTATGCATCGTTGAGTTTCACAACATTGTGCTCCAAGCGCAAATTAATGATCCAACATACATGCTTCCTTCCAAAATATCTATGAGTTATGCAAACATTCTGTGATTATATGCTGTTCTTAATTGACACTGTGCAAGAACAGTATAATTGTATCTCTAGTATAAATGGGCTTTAAATAATTAACTTAAACTCATTACAGTTATCCTATTTGATGGTGATAAATACCTTTTCTTTAACAAGATCAGTAACAATGTCTCTTGCATGAACATCAATGGTTATAAGTGCAGTTATGATACTTCGGTGTAAAAAGTGTAGCTGGCCTCGAACCAAAGCAGCGAGCTCATTCAGTCTCTAAAAAGAGAAAACACAGTGTTACTCAGTTTTTCTAACAGAAAGCAATTTTCACTGAGTACCTGGTACAGAATTGTTGAGATTTTTTCAGCGTTCCAAGTGTTCATTAAAATGCAGGTGATAATGATGATAATCACCACTAGATGGCAGCCTTATATAAGTGGACACTCTAAGATATGATCATTGGCATCTTGGTTTCATTGAAGCAATGCAGGTTTTGTACATATTAGCTACTAAAACAGCTTGCAACTATATATTTTAATATTATTTTCTGGGGCTAATCCCAAATATATGATCTTTCAAGTCAAAAATTAATAATTTCCAGACAGTGTGTGACCAGGGCCTACACAATTAACTTCCTTGATTTCTTGACACATACAATTTTGACAAATGCCAACAAATTCTATCCTAATGCTGTGGTGTAAAACCAATCACAAATTCGCTTATGAGTTACTTACCTCAAAATTAGCTATCTCAAATTGAGCCATAGCTTCAATATGATTATGGTCGCCCTCCAAACGTTCATGTAAGTCACGACACCACATCAGTTGAGAAATGGTCAAAATAACCTACATTCACAGAAAAAAGGTAAATGAAAATGACCAACTCTAAAAATAACACTTTTGGTAGAATACGCTTTTCGGTTTATATAAAAAAATACATAAGTAATATATTTAAAACACTGTACCTACCATCCCTGAAACAGAAAATGGTTTGCCTCAAGTTTGCAAAGATCAACTAATACTCTCTGGAATTAGGTAAGCAATGTGCATGCCTCCAAGGAGAAAGTCTACATTGCATTCCAGAGATGGCAACATTTCCATGTGTAGCATATATATTATATATACACACACACACACACATGGAACTCTCATTCTGGTTTGGATATTCTTAAGCATGGTAATAGATTTCCTCATGTGTCGGATAACCGGCTGATCAAATACAAAAAAATCAGTATATGATTGGGTTCAAACCCAAGGGATAAAACTGCATCACATGGAGGTAACGTGGAAGATTCACCAAGACAATGTTATAGTTATTCGTGGCACTTAGAAACTTGAAAATGTTTACAATGGATCAGAGAGTTGTTAAGAGGGATCCATTCAAAGTTTTTAAAAATATGGATGGTTTTGATAGGATGAATAGATAAACTATTTCCACTGAACGACAAGAGTAACAAGAGGGCACAAATTGAGGATAACTGAAGATTTTTTTTAAACACACACAGGGGATTCTTAGAACGTGAAATGCTAAAGCTGAGTAATTACATTTGAAAGGGAATTGGATAACCACTTGAAGAAAAATAATTACGGATGAAGAGCATTGGAATGGGTAGAGAGCGCCAGTAGAAGAACTAGCACCAGCTCAGATATAATGGCCCAAATGGCTTTCCACTTTCTTGTAAACATTCCATGATACTGTGTAAATGGACATTTCACAAAACATACCAGCTACAAGGATGTATTGTACTTTTTCCAGTTGGGTATCTGATAGTACAGAAATCCATCACCAAGACGCAAGCATGCCATCAACACACAGCAATTTCCGTGTCTGCAACGGAATGAGCATTTTCTCTATGGAGGGACATACGCTGCTTCCCTAATTCTGGAGAGTATTAGGCACAGGTTGGCAAGTGTCAAGGCTTAAGGATCTCTGAATGTGCAATAGAGTACTGCTGAAGTATAACCAACTAAAACTTGCCATTGAGAGTACTGTCTGGCAAGCTTTCCCACTTCTTGTTGAGCAAAGTCCACCCTATTCGCTAGGGCTTTAGCTTGCAGTTAACAGGAGCTGACTATGCCCAGTGATTGGTCTACGCCTCCAAGTCCTGCCAATGATCTAAAATGACTAAACTATTATCAGTAGTGCCCTGAAAAAATGTGGACCCACCTGTCTTAGGAACCAAACTATTGAGACCCCCACAGAGGCTTGACTCAATTCTGAACATTTGTTGCCAATCATGTCAACTTGGAGGCAGCTCGATTCTAAAGAGTTCCCCACTTACCTCTCCCAAAAGGAGGATGAGTCTCTTACCTGAGAAGGAAACCCAGATTTCACCCATTCTGCTCTGGCTTTGGTTTGATGATCAGCAATGGCAGCTTTGCACATACGGCGGAGAGATGAGAACATAGCTTCTTCCACTTTACCAAGCCAATCTTCGACATTTCCTCTTGCTTTAAGCCCCTTTCCTAAACTGACCTGCAATACATTTTTTTAATAGTACAGATTCTTTAACTATGCCACAAGTTTAATTAACAGCACATCTATCAGTATTAAAAACCCATACATGGTGGATCATGGGACCAACTATATTTTATTATTAAAAAGCTTTTATACAAAGCTTTCATGTAAATATATACCACTGAATTATATAGAACATTATAGTATGGAAACAGCAGAAATAGTCCATTTGGCCCAAATAGTCTGTGTTAGTCCACATGAGCCTCCAGCCCTCTCTCATATCGAACTATTCCCTTCTCCCTCATATATGAATCAAATTTACTCTTAAAACATTGAAGCTTCAGCTTGAACTACAGCATCTGGCAGTGAGTTTCATTTTCTCACCACTTTTTTTAGATCTGCTACTAGCTATCTCAAAAAACCCACCCTCAATCCCTCTAATCTCTCACACTACCTTCCCACTGTGGAGTCCTGTAGGTGACTGGTTAGAGCACTCGCCTCACAAGCGAGAGATCTGGGTTCTATTCCCGGCAGGGTGAAATGTTGAGCAAGTTTCTTTACTCTACACCACTCTGTTTACCTAGTAGTAAGTAGGAACCCGGTTGTTAGTCAATTGGTGGAATGCTTTCCCAGGGATATTAATCCCTCAAGAAAACAAAACAATAATAATTTCAATCCACGACTGTTTTGTAGGATACTGCTGTACGCAATTGGCTACTGCATTTTGCCCACAAACATACATCAATTCACTTTATAGTATATTTTGTGAAGTGCTTTGAGATGTCCAGAAGACATGAAAAGTGCTATATCAAATGCAAGGATTATTATTTCTTAATTTAGGCCCTTTGTTTTGGATTCAACAACGAGTGGAAAAGGCCTATTAAAGTCCACCTTATCAGAAATATTTCATATTTTTAAATACCTTTATCAAGTGCCCTCTCAATCATCTCATCACCAAAGACCATAAACTTTATCTTAATATTAAAACCCACATGGTGGAATAGATTTAGTTTTGGATCCAGAGAACAAAATAAAAATTCAAGCAAATTACACAATGGACTACAAATTGCTTTTTATGGTTAGCAAATTTTCATTTCATACTTAAGATGGGTTTTCCCATTATTACTTTATGGCAGAATCTGTCACCTGTCCCACACAGTAGACAGGTTGAAATGATCAATAAATAATCATTCCTTATTGTGAGGAACATTGGGATATAAGCATGGTGATCAAGGCAGGAAATTTTTTTTTAATCTTTGAGCAGCTTTTTATCAGGCTAAAATGACAAACTCAAATTGGAAATGTTCAATTGTCTCTTTCATTTCTCTCTTCAATTCAAATCTAAGATACATCAAAGGTACAAAAGTCTTTCGATTATGATATTCAGCAAATTTTAAAAGTGCAATGAATCACTTTTTCATGCAACTTTTCGATTTTACCCATTTAACAGTATTCAGGTCACAAATGTGTTTCTGCACAATGCATTTGTAAGGAGAAATCAAATAACAAGTGGAAAAGGTGTAACACTCAAGGCATTGGCAAACATGCTGATTCTTTAATCGTGAAAGGTGAATGGTATTTTGTCGCCTGAAGTAGCTGTGTGTTTTTGTTAAATTCTAAAATCTAATTATAGCACGTTTGATAATAAAATTATATGTTTGAAAATTGTATTTCTAAAAAGCAAATTAAGTCAGAGTTGTGTGAAATATTTACGCATTGACAAATGGAGAATTGATAAAATGCACACCACAAGCACGTAGATTTACACTACGTGGAGTCCTGTAGTTCAGTGGTTAGAGCACTCGCTTTGCAAGTGAGAGACATGGGGTCAATTCCCGGCAGGGTGAAACCTTGGGCAAGTTTCCTTACTCCACACCCCTAATAATAATCCCTCAAGAAAAAAAGAACAATAATAAATTGGTCATTTCAATCCACAACTGTTTGTGCACAACTGGCTGCCACATTTCACCCACAAATATAATAATCCTTGCATTTAATATAGCGCTTTTCATGTCTTCGAGACGTCTCAAAGCGCTTCACAGAATATACTGTAAAGTGAATTGACTGTATATTTGTGGGCGAACGCAGCAGCCAATTGCGCACAGCAGTGTCCCACAAACAGTCGTAGATTGAAAATGACCAATTTTTTTTTTTTTGGAGGGATTATTATTAGGCGTGTGGAGCAAAAAACTTGCTCAAGGTTTCGCCCTGCCTGGAATTGAACTCAGGTCACTGTATACAAATATACAGTGAATTTACTGTGAAGCGCTTTGAGATGTCTAGAAGACGTGAAAAGTGCTAAATCAAATGCAAGGATTATTATTATTACTGAATTTTTGTGTGTGATGATATACCTTCAGACAGTGAATGCACCGTGCAATTGCAATCACTAGATGGAGTGCATGTACTACTTATTGTATATTCCATTTTAAAACGCAAAAGTTAAACTGTGATAAGGGGTATATAAAAAAAATTCAAATAACAGATCAGCCAGCTCACTTACATCTGCTATGCTCAAAAAATATTCATGGAGAAAAATATATGTTATGATATCACAAGGACAGAAAATACTGTCAACTTGCTTCCTAGCCTTCATGACAAGTTAGGAACTAAATCTCCTGCCCCCTGACCCATGTCTGGAGATTGATGTTGTGGCATTTTCAGAACTGAATCAACAATATCTTTGCTTTAATTTATCAAAGGAGTTACATTTTCGAATACTGATCACTTTAATTTATTTTAACTTGTTTTATGGCCACTATCCGACGAAAAAGCATAAAATTCATTGGTCCAGAGCTATAATCGCAGTTATTTGATTAAATGGACCTCTGGTTGAATCAAGTCAGTAGAAATAGATGGAAACATTTTGGAGATTGTTACCATGGCATAATGAATCACCAAGGAACAGTAGAATCCAAGTTCATAGCCTCAGTCTTCCACTTACCAAACCCACTCACGGTTGTAAATTAATATTGAGTAGTGCCTAAGCACCTTCCTGCAGAAACTAGGGCCAATCAAAGGTAAAGAGAACCCACATTACTCTTGCACACCTCCTAGTAGCCATTACAGCAGCCATTGTGGGGCCCAAGGAACAGATTGCCCTCTTCCTCGGGTGTTCTCAACTGGAGAAAGCAACTTGAAAAGAAAGAGGAAATCTTAAACTTAAAAATAAATAAAAAGTAGACAAAGTTGCTCAGGAGTATTTCTGCTGGTTTTAAATGGAACATATGTAATGAACAGTAAAATAATTTTTACTTGTAAAATTTATTTTGGTACCTTACTGAAGTCTAAAACAAATATCTGCTGCAACATTATCTATTACCATTACCTTTTCTCCTTCAGGAGATATCATGGCCAAAATATCATTGGTGTATAACTTCTCAGGTTCTGTCTCGCCCTTTTCCTCCACTTGAGAAGCAAGTGCAAACTCCAGCTTGGAAATTGCATCAAAGCACTTGCGCAGATGTGGTTGTACAGCTTGTGGGTTGCGTGTCTGGGCCAGAATCTCCAGCAGCTCATCATTAGACAAGAAGTAGAATCTAGGGACGAAATTGGGCACAGGTTACAGATGACCTTTTCCAGAATTCGACATAGAAAGTGCAAAAGAGCTACTGTTGGAGTGGAAAGAGAAAAGACAATTCAAATATCAGAGAGCAACGTTCATCAACAGAGTTCCATAAACATGTTTAACCTGCAATGTTTTTAAGGGTCTTAAATTCATAATCACCAATATGAAGGGTCTAATAAAAGGGGAAATAAAGTCATACAACACTACTGCTATCTACCGCTCAATTAAATAAAGTGAAGTGGGAAATTTTAAATAAAATCAAGTATTTTCTATAAAAAAAAGCCCCTACTTCAATTCTTGCAAAAGTAGTTATTATATGGTAGTATATTAAGAACACAAACCTGGGGAAGATAACTCGCTTGGATTCAAGATAGGCCTCTAGACATTTCTGTATCTGGTCAAGTAATTCATTGTTATTCTGGAAAGCTTCTAATAATCCTGTATAAAGATAGGTAGAACTGATTAGCCAAGGTCAAACGTGAATGCACATAAATTAAATATATGAAATAACTCCCCCAAACCAAAAAAAACACAAACTGTAAAAAAGATAAACTGCAAATAATGAAACTGAAACATAAAACCCATAAAATTCTGGAAATATAAAGCAGTTCAACTCACATCTGAAAGAATAAGACACGGGGCCAAAATTACAGCATTCCTAGCTCCACTCTATTCTCCATGTAAGGAATACAAGAATAAAATTTCCTGTTTCCCAAATGCTGAATAATGTTTAAACATCTCTAAAATTAAAATCTAAAAACATTAGAGCCATGGTTTGTTATAACTTTCTTCTGAAAATATACTTGCTTGTCTGAATATTACATAACAAATGTAATTTATTACAAATCAATTGACAGTTAATATTATAACTTTTAGCTCAGTGGAGTCCTGTAGCTCAGTGGTTAGAGCACTTGCAAGCGAGACACCTGGGTTCAGTTCCAGACAGGGCAAAACCTTGGGCATGTTTCCTTACTCCACACCCCCTAACAATAACCCCTCCAAAACAAAAACAATAATAAATTGGTCATTTTCAATCCACGACTGTTTGTGGGACATTGCTGTGCACAATTGGCTGCCGGGTTTCGCCCACAAATATACAGTCAATTCACTTTACAGTCTATTCTGTGAAGCCTTTGAGATATCGAGAAGACGTGAAAAGCGCTGTATCAAGTGGAAGGATTATATTATTAACTTTTATACAATTCTACCCTATTTACTTTTTTTGAAAATTCTTGTTTTCCAAATTTCAGATCCCAAATATTTTTTGTCTTTGATTTCTTTAAATGTATTTCCAATGTTGGATTTTTTTCAATAATATTATTAATAATTATGTTTGTCAAGAATTTATAAACTTTGAGAGTCTACCATTGGCCATCGAAGACCTAGCCAGTATAACAAGTCTTATTGCTGGTAATGAAGATACAGTTGTCAAGCCCAAACTAGGATAGTTGTCGTAACTGTGCAAATGGTTTAACGTTTCTATAGTATAGGATGAATTTAACAGAAAAGATTACAGGAGATTAAAATACAGGTGAACCCCATTGTTGCAGGGTCCCACAGTGCACTGCTTCTCTTGTACTATGGACCCACACACACCAGTACATTCAGCTTCCATGTAAACCTATTACTGACAGCACTTGCTGCATGATTCATCGGAGTCCTGTAGCTCAGTGGTTAGAGCACTTGCTTTGCAAGTGAGAGACATGGGTTCGATTCCTGGCAGAGTGAAACCTTGGGCAAGTTTCCTTACTCCACACGCCTTATAAATTGACTGTATATTTTGTGGGTGAAAAAAGGCAACAAAAAGTGCGCAGCAGTGTTCCATAAACAGTCATGGATTGAGTGACCACATTATTATTTTTTAGAGACATTATTATTCACGGTTAGCAATCTGCCAATCGACTAACAACCGGGTTCCTATTTACTGCTAGATAAACAGAGGCGTGTGGAGAAAGGAAACTTGCCTAAAGTTCTGCCCTGCCCGGGATCCCAACCCGGGTCCTCTCGCTTGCGAGGCGAGTGCTCTAACCAATACGCTACAGTAAATTCACTTTAAAGCATATTCTTTCAATGCTTTCAATGACTTGATAAGGTGCTATATCAAATGGAAAGGTTATTATTGTTAGTAATATTAGTTAGGTTCTTACTTCTCTGCACTTTCCTTCACATAAGAACGTTTCAGAGCACTGTAGAGCAGTGGGGTTAGACCCCAAGCAAGGACGAAGAGAGGAGAGGTGACCATAGGCATGTTCAAAATCAGTTTTCAGATGGTATTTAACGATAGATAAAGAGGTGGTGAGACAGAGGGAGAGAAGCAAGGAGTTCCAGTAGTTAGGGATGCAATGGCTAAAGTATGTATTCTCTTTATCCTCCTTGCATTTAGATTGCAATCAAACTTCTCAAGGATCTCAAAACTGCAGAACCGCTCCTCCCGCTTAGTTTTCTTTTCTTTTACAATTTCCACACTTTTAATGCTCAAAATCACCCTCTCAATTTATTGTGCTTTCTCTGTTTCATTTCTCAAACAGTAGTGAAATGAGCCTTGACAAGCAACAGTTAGTGAAATTAGTTCAAGTAGAAGTTGCTCAACTGTCATCAATTACATCTGTTTGCAAACACATTCTTCATAGCATACTTAAACCAAAGAGACAGATTTAATGATCCACATAGTTTTTGTACCAGGTTGAGTGGCTGCCCTCAGAGCAATAGGTAGGCGATTTACTCTTCTCATGATTTCCTTCCAGGATTTATCCACCTGGGTGAACATCCTTGCCTCTGCTGGCAGCTGTCGTTGAATGTCTGGAGCACTGAATATACTCTCTAGGTACAACCAGTTGCGTTGACATGTCAACCATTCATCCTAACATAAAATTTAGAAAAGTACGTGATTATACAGTATTTGTTTTTCTCCTCTACTCAACATATTCATTTCACAACAGTTTGGGTACCAGGTTACCTGGTTTTAGGCTTTTGTTTTATCTCTAGGAAGTGCAAACAAAAATGCTCAAGATGATCTGAAATGAAAAATCCCACACTATAATTCGCTTTTTACATTTTAATCAGAACAGGGATCCATCGTTAAAAGCTTACCTTTGAATTCAAAAGTAAAACATGTGGCCTAATGAGTGGTATTTCTTAACAAGATCCCACAATAAGAAATTTTATACAGTATAAGTGATTCCTTAATAAGGAATCTAAGTCTCACAAATGGGGACTCCTTACTGTAACCAAAGGTACATTATTCCAATTCCATTACAAGGGCTAGAATACTCACCAAAGTTTGACTGAAAAGTGAGAGAAGTCTTTGCCAATCATCAACACGAGGTTTGATAGGTCCAACATAGCGTGAGGAGGCTATAGTTGATACATTGATAATGCTATCATCCAACAAGGCCTATTATAAAGAAATGTTTTTTTAACAACATATTGAATTTAAATCTTTGAAATTGAGTCATAAACCCTTGTATTTGTTACACAGGACTACGTCTCTTAGTTTACAAACTTTGATTTCCATTTTTATGGAACTTATATTTCCTTCAGTCATCTTCACATTTTTCCAGAAATTTCAGTAAAAGTCAGCAATATTATTTTTTAAGTTTTGCATTTTCGATTGTTGATGCATAGATGTATTTCCTGTTTAGAGCATTTGTAATAAAGTCCAAAAGAACAGTTGACGATAATTCAGGCTAATTTCTAATATAGGTGTTCTAGGCACAACCAACAGTGTCCTTTTAGCAAGCTTTTAACTGTGCCATTTCGAGCCAACTTAAAATATTTTGGCAATACTGTGGAGCATTTAAGTTTACTTAAAAAACTTGCAGAATTAAGTTTACATCTGCAATTTGTCCTCAAAGGTTTCAACTTCTGCCATGTCATTTGAGCTCAAGTAAGGGAAGGAGGAAAAATCTGTAACCAAATGATGTAACTACCTCAAGAGCACTTTTGTCAGAATTCTTAAGAGAAAGTGTTGTCCTGCCTTTCTTATTGAGAACTGGTGCATGGCATGGGGAGATAAGAAAAAAGTAAACTGCAGAGCGATGGTGAACCCAAATGCATATGCACTCTACCATGGTAGATATTGGTTAATACTGACTAGAAAGGTCACTATTCCTTTTACAAGTCTGCAGTGGAATGGAAGTGTTGTAATTGGCTTTATTGTCCTTGGTTGGAGGGGTTCGAAAAATGGTTAGAGTATCTATCCTTTCCTGATCACAGTCCAGCCATGTTTGAACATTTGGTAGGAACAAGATCCTGCTTACCTGTGATGCCTCGCACCAATAGGTGCTGGCTTTGTTCTGAAGGATGTATTACATCATTTGCCAAATAATATTTGTTACCTGAATTTCTTCAGTGCCACCAAGAATAAAAACATCTTTGGAATCACGATGAAGAAGCACAGGAAACTCAGTAATTTTCCATGCATCTTCTACCTAAAATAGATATTTTCATAAAACAATGTTAAAGATAAGATGTCATCAAAGCCAATAAAAGTTTTCAAGTGAGAATATGCATATTTATTAATAATGTATTTATATATCCAGGGTGATTTGATTAATTGGCAGCTCAAAATATTGCTTTATAGTATCAAATAAATATTCATTCCGACATTTCCCATACACGATCAGGAAGAAATAACTTATTGTGCCACAGAACAAATAATATCTAAGAGCTAAGATGATGTATGTGGTTCAGTAGTGGCTGCATCAGAAATCCCCTGTATTCTCGATAGAATAGTGTTTGGTGGCACTTGTGCTCTCTATTATATTAATATTGTTTCTACCACATTGTCTTTAGGTGCATTCGATCCACCAGTTCTTGAGAAGAATTAGAACAGGCCTATCTGGTTTGCAAAAGTAAAGCAGAACCCCCAAAATTTTCAGTCACAAAAATAGCAAGAATGCTGAAAATGCACAATCAGCATCTATAAACAATAACAACAACAAGGTGGTGGCAGATCTATTGAAGCCAAAATTGGAAGTGCAACCCAGAACACATTCTACTAATAAAATTGGTCACTCCCTACACAGCTGTTTGTGGGACATTGCTGTGCACAAACTGATTACCCCCGGTTTCACCCACAAAACATACACTTTGCAGTGTGTTCTATGAAGTGCTTTGAGATGTCTCAACGACGGGACAAGGCACTATATCAAATGCAAAAATTATTATAAAATGTAAGGATTATTATTATAGTAATAACTCTTGTGATATCAAAGAAACATCTGAGTTTTGGATTACTAGCTTGGATTACCAGCTTGTAATGCACATTCTGCTAGTGGCATCACAAATTAATTGTAATTTAGCATTTTAATTGAAAATTCTCTCACCTTTTTCAATATAGTCTCCAAAGCAGTTTCACCAGAGGCCTGGCCTGATATCTCCTGAATTGCTTCAGAATAATTAAAAACATTAAGCTCTATAAATTGAGCCAGAGTTAGAGGTTCCATCATGTCAATGAGTTTAGCACCAACAGCATGTTCCACCAATTCCCAGTGACGGTGTTTCAGGCATGGGTTTCTTAAATCCATGATTACAGGAAGCTGCAAAAGTCACAATAAATTAAACAGTAACAACAATAAATTACATTTGTACAGCGCCTTTCACGTCAGGAGGACATCCCAAGACATTGGGTAATTTCATTACCAAGATTAAAAATTAAAGTCCTTAATACATTCACATTAGAATATAATCCTTCATTTCAGAATTCATTCACCTGCAGGAGGGGAAGGAAAATAGCACCATTTTCCTACTAGCCATATAGCTCTTATAACTAAATACTCAAAACCCACACATCCCAATTCTCAAAGATAGTTCCAAGTTCCATCTCAGCTATTCATTTGGACATGTATCGTAAATATAACTTTGTACCAATATTGCAACCCTTAAGCGGGAAGATTACTAAATATAAAGATAAACATGATGCTAAACCAGAGTAATTCTATTACCAAAATTCATAGTTTTTTTAGTAATATATTTTAAATATTTAGTTACAATGGGTCATGGAGTTCAATAGTTAAATAGCTCCATGAGAAACGAATAAACTATTATTTAAGCTTTCTTTTGCATCAGTCCCATTTGGAATGTATCCAATATGAAGATATTATGGCAAGGTGGAAGATTCCATAAGCATTAAAATATGGCTCCACTGTAAATTGAATCTGCACCCCACTGAGGCTGTGTGCAAATTTCTTTGACAATAAAAAAATGCAAACGGCTAAACATAAGGATTTCTATTGCAAACTTACAGTGAAAAAATATCTGCATATTTAGGCACAAAAATAATTTGCAGTATGCTAGAAGCACCAATAAATTCTTGCTTTGCAACTACAGATTCAGGAAAAGGTAATACCTTTTGTTTCATCTTATCCACATTTTCTTTTAGTTTCACTGCCACAGTATTTGGTGGAAGACCTTTTTCGAGCTGATTTACGAACTTGCTGTACTTTCCCACTTGAGCACTCAATTCTTCCGCATCCAGTGTTTCAAATTTAAGCTGTGTAAAACAAAAACAACAATTAATTTTGTAAAACTTAAGACGGTGGCTTTATTCCTATGTCCAGAAATCAACAGGGAAAAGGCAATGTGGACAATTATTCACCAACTAGGGTATTTATCCAATACCAGCAAATGAAAGCTGACATTTTAGGAAAATCCAACCTTTTTCTTCTACTTAGATATGTTGAAGTTTATAATTAAATTGAATTAAACATTTTGGACTCATCATAAAAATGGAGTCTGAAGATGTTCAAATCATGATATTGAATCATGATGTTGAAGTCTCTGAAAAAATTCCCCATCAAAAACTGCATAATTTAAGGAAATTTGAACAAATAGCTATCCTTACTATGCAAATTATGTATTTAATTGATACCTGTTATGTCGGAGATTTTAGGCATATGAAAGTCCCTCGCCTGATCTGACCCATTACGAGCAGATGAGCTTTCAGTCACTCTATCCCACTCTCTGGAACTCCATCGCAGAGTCTGTTAGCCTCACGTAGTCCGTCTCCACTCTCAAAGCCTGCCTTAAGACTTATCTTTTGACCACACTTCCAGTCTCATTTCACCCCACTCCACCCACAGTTCAGTCTCCCAGTTAGTTAGGTGAAGTATGTTGAACAATTGTATATATTACAATATAACAATAATAGAATACCTGCATCCATTCCTCCACAAGAAGATCCCATTCATCCAGCGAATTCCAAAGAAGCTGCTTTAGTTTCAGCTCAGCATGCACTTCTTCTAACATTTCAAATTTAGTTACTTCAACCTAGATATGTAAAAATGTTAAAAGTCAATAAAACAGACATATTGTAAAACATTGACAAAGACACTTCACTTAAACAAATTCGGGATTCCAGATACTGTGTTGCACTTTTGTAAAAGTTTATAGAACTGTCTCCAAACTAAGTAAGCATACAGGGGTACTGGCTTTCCTTCAAACTTCCATTGTATAATAAACATAGCTCTAGTGCAATGAAACATCGACTGCAACTTTGGGATTAGAAAATTATTGCTCTCAGATACTGTAGCACATTAATTGACAATTAGATGCAGGTACCTCTATATCAAATTTTGGGAGGAAACTGTAAATAATAGATAAATAAAGGAATATCAGTAGTAACCAGAGATAGTTACCTTGAAGTTCTTCTGATACAATTTATACTCAAATGCACGTTTCTGTAGCTCATCCATTGTAGTCTGCATGGTTTGGAGCACATCCTTCACCCTCATCTTGTCAGATGAAATTTCTAAAATCTGAGGATCCTATCAAGCATAAACAACAAGAGCAGAATAAATCGATAGAATAAAAAAGCAGGAAGTACGATACAGAAATAACCATTAAAAAGAGCTTCAATTGCTAAACCAAATTAATGGATAGACTATCTGGATTTTTCCCTTCATTTTGTTTACGTTCTCCTCCTTTAAGCCTCCTTGTACTACACATCTAGTGATCTAGACCTGGCCTCTGCCCCTGCACAACTACTAGGATTCAGTACTTTTCAAACTGATATCAGGAATTAGCTGCATCAGGAAATGTAAGAGAAAACTTGTGTTTTACCCCTTAAAGCACAAGTATTTTTTCACAAGATCACAAGACAGTTTCAGATGAAGAAAGCTTTCTGGCCTATTTGTTATCATTCTTCCTGAAATACCCACCCTACACCATTCTATCACGGTTTTGTTTTAAAACAGTGAGTTGATGGTCTTGGCGATTTTAATGCATGGAAGCGTTATCTGTTAGTTAAGGGAAAGACACTCATATCAGCACCAGTTCAATTTGAATAACTCAGTAATTCTCAGTTGATATGACTTTGGTAACCAACTGTTCACTTACCAGTAGTAAAGTATCTGCCGAAAAGGAATTTATGTGGACTAACAAAACATTGGGTTATAGAGGTGAGGGGCTCCTGAGGGGTGCCACATTACACCACAGATACGATTCAGTTTTAATTTGAAAAAAAACTCCAAGCTTAGGTTTTTATGACACAACAATCTAATAATAATAATCAATGCATTTGATATATCGCCCTATCATGTCTTCGAGACGTCTCAAAAGCGTTTCACAGATTATATTGTAAAGTGAATTGACTGTATATTTGTGGTTGAAACTCAACAGCCAATTGAGCACAGCAGTGTCCCACAAACAGTCGTGGATTGAAGTGACCAAATTATTATTTTTTTATTATTAACCCCAGAAAAGCGATCCGCCAATCGACTAACAACCAGGTTCCTACTTGCTGCTGGTAAACAGAGGCGTTGGAATAAGGAAACTTGCCTAAGGTTTTACTCTGCCCGGGAATCGAACCTGGGTCCTCTCGCTTGAGAGGTGAGTGATCTACCAATATGCTACAGGACTCCTCCTAAAATTTACACTGATACATAAAAACAAAGTGATAAAAAAAGGAATTAAAAGCAATATTAAATACAGAATTAGAGCTAAGGATTAAAACAGAGAAAGTATATCAAGGTACCTGTGCTTGTAGTTTCACTGTTTTGACTTCTTCATTCAAAAGGGCTATGTCTTTATCTAGATGCTGACAGAATTTCCCAATATTCTTGTCTCTTTCACTCACAGCTCTATCAATAATGCTGCGAACTGCTACTAATGAAGGTTTCAGAGTCGCAAATACAGCCAGGTCTTCAGGAGGTGTAGGAACACGAAACTCATCAATGAGTTCATACATCTGTACTATAATGTTGGCTTCTTCGTCTAAAACTTCAATCTAAATAAGAAAATTTTGAGTCTTTGTGTTATTAAACTAATTATTTTTCTATAAGCCTTACTGAACGTTTTAGTATGTTATATCATATTGCTTCATAATGTTAGGTCACAGACCCATTGTACAAGTATGTGATATATTCAAATAACTAATAGATGCATCTAAACAAAAGATATTTGCAACCTCTATTGTGACATTGATTCTACTTAGTCATTTAAACACCAAATCACAAGATACACATAGTAGCTTGCATTTAAATTATAATGTTTCAAACAAACTCAAAAATATCATCACCATAAGAGCAATTAAGGGAAGTCATGCTTAACTAATCTTTTAGAATATTTTGAAGATGTATCTAGCAGGTTAGATAGGGGGGAATCAGTAGATGTAGTATATTTAGATTTTAAAAAGGCATTTGACAAAGTGCCACACAAAAGGCTATTGCACAAGGTTAAGGCCACGTGATTAATGGGAACATATTAGCTTGGATTGAAGAGTGGCTAACGGGTAGAAAACAGAGAGTAGGGATAAACGGGTCATTCTCGAATTGGCAGGATGTGACTAGTGGAGTGCCACAAGGATCAGTGCTTGGGCCTCAGCTATTTACAATTTACATCAATGATCCAGACGAGGACATTGAATGTAACGTTTCTAAATTCGCGGTTGATACTAAACTAGGTGGGAGAATAAGCTCTGAGGATGATGCAAAAAGATTGCAACAGGATATCGATAGGCGAGGGGAGTGGGCGAGTAGGTGGCAGATGCAATTTAATGTAGGCAAGTCTGAAGTTATTCACCTAGGTAGAAAAAATAGAAAAACAGATTATTTTCTAGAGGGGGAGATTAGATAGTGTTAGTGTTTCAGAGGGATTTGGGTGTCCTTGTACACCAGTCTCAAAAAGTTAGTCTGCAGGTGCAGCAAGCAACTAAGAAGGCGAACAGCATGGTAGCGTTCATTGCAAAAGGTTTAGAGTACAAGAATAGGGAAGTCTTGCTGCAACTGTATAGGGCCTTGGGGAGACCGCACCTAGAGTATTGTGTGCAGTTTTGGTCTCCTTATTTAAAAAAGGACATACTTGCCCTCGAGGGGGTGCAGCGTAGATTCACTCGGTTAGTTCCTGGGATGAGGGGACTGACCTATGAGGATAGGCTGAATAAACTAGGGCTGTATTCTCTAGAGTACAGAAGAATTAGGGGAGATCTTATTGAAACATATAAGATTCTTAAAGGGCTGATAAAGTAGACACTGAGGGTCTGTTTCCCCTGGTAGGAGAATCTATAACCAGGGGTCACAGTCTTAAAGTTAAGGGTCAGCCTTTTAGAACAGAGTTGAGGAAACATTTCTTCACTCAGAGGGTAGTGAATTTATGGAATTCACTACCCCAGAAGGCTGTAGATGCTCAGTCCTTGACCATCTTCAAGGCTGAGACGGATAGATATTTTAAAAATAGAGGGATTAGGGGATATGGGGATAGGGCAGGTAATTAGAGTTAGGTCTGAAGATCAGCCATGATCGTATCAAATGGTGGGGCACACTCGAGGGGTCGAAGGGCCTACTCCTGCTCCTAATTCTTATGTTCTTAAACAGTGACAGCATGTAGGTTTTATAAATTGTGCAAAGTGTTTGGAATAAAGCTAAATTAAATCTCTTGTGTAATTAATCTGAGAACAATCATCAATCATAATGTTTTAGAACTATTTTTGAATAGCCATTAATTCTGAAAAGGATAATTTATTCAAATAATGTTATTCATTTACAATAACTGAAAGACCTAAGATTATTCAATCTCAAATCTTGGACTACGCATTACTGTGAATTTTAACAGTTCTCAGACAGATTGTCAGGTGACATGCAAAGCAGGTTGTTGAACCTTCTGAAACAATATTATGGAATAACAAAGATAGTACTAATACTAATCCTTGCATTTGATATAGTGCTTTATCATGTCTTCGAAACATCTCAAAGCACTTCACAGAATATACTGTAAAGTGAATTGACTTTATATTTTGTGGGCGAATCATGGCAACCAATTATGCACAGCAGTGTCCCACAAACAGTCTTAGATTGAAGTGACCAATTTATTATTAGTTTTCATTTTTTGAAGGAATTATTATCCCCAGAAAAGTGATCCTCCAATCGACTAACAACCAGATTCCTACTTACTGCTAGGTAAACAGAGGCAATGTAGAGTAAGGAAACTTGCCCAACGTTTCACCCTGCCGGGAATCGAACCCAAGTCTCTCGCTTGTGAGGCGAGCTACAGTACTTGTGGAGAACTCTGCAGCTCATACCATTCCCTACTCTGTAGGTCACAATGATGTGTGATGGTAAACATCATGCCAAGGGCAGAAAATGGTTCAGACTTCAATAGTATTCATTTTACATCAGATTATCCAAGTTTTCCAAGCATACCCTCTCTTGTATCTCATCCAGAAATAGCAAACTGTTCACAAATTCCATGGTATTAGTTGGGATAATTTCAAGTTTAAACTGTGCATCCTGTGACTCAGCTATCATAGCATCTGTCTTCTTTTTCGCGAGAACTGGAAGCAGGTCATTAATAGCCTACAAAAAATAATTCATGTAAGAGATCAGAATCATGAGACAGTCATCAAACTGTTAAATGAAATCACACATCATCTAATTTTAGACAAAACAAATTAGACATCATTCCCCTATACATGTTTCATGTTCCTACTTTACCAATTTGGATCAGCATACGTGCAATCCTATGAAAGTAGCTTTGTTATGTCATCAAATAAACCAAATATAATATAATACAGATAATGATAAACAAATTATTCAACTGAATTCGAATTGTTTCCGATAACCATTTTTAATAGTTCTAGTCATTTTTAACAAGTTGGAAAAACTAATAGCAGACGTTGAAATACAGTGGATGCTTGTTAAGCCAGACACATCGGGGATGACCATTTTGGTTTTAAGAGGAATTTGAGGTTAGCCAAAGTTCTCTTACCTCTTCCCACCAAGCAGTGGAGAGGCAGAGCTTCTTTCCTCCCATTTCCATTGGATGAAAACCATTTAGCAGCAGCGCTGAGGTGATTGATAGCCTTGGAGCCGCTTGTAAATGTTTGGGCTCCAGCCATTCACAAGCTGTTCAGCTGGTAATCAATCACGATTTGACTCCTCCCATTCCCTACCTTGTTCTTCTCTGTTTCTCCGCCCTCACCCCCTCACTGATTGACAGAACAACTTCAGCTGCTTTTGAATGGTTGGAGTCCACTGTCAATCAATCTTAGACACCTTCCATCTCCATCCTGAAGCCACTCGACACAGAGAATTCAAGTGAGTAAATTCAGCGGTGACCAGCACAGTATTTGGACCAGATTAACCAGATTTTTAGCCGAATCAACCGTTATATTTAAAACAGATAAAAATACAAATGAATCGGGGCCAGGCCTTTTGTTCGATTTTCAGTGTCTAGGATTAACCGCCGTTCCCCTAAAGCGGATTCCACTGTATACTTGTTTGCCAAATGTGATCACATCAAGAAATAATAGTAAGTAATTTAAATAATGCTCGATAATGTTATTAATAGATTGGTTAACCATGGAAAATTCAGCAGTTAAAACCAAATGCTGAGTTTAAAAATCTAACCCACTCAATTACTGCATTGAAATTTAAGTTGCAATAATGATGTCAATAAGATCTTTAGTTTTAAATTATTCACTCACAGTAAAGTCAAAGGGCCAAGTTTATCACTTAATTATCTTCTGTTTATGTTGTTTCATTGTTACTAACGATCTAAAAATATGAGACAGCATTTATGAAGTTTATACTTGAAATAGGAAGTATTGGAAAACCCTGTAGTATAGAATGGCACTGCTTTATATCTGTTCCCCACATAATCAGATCCAAATCTCATTCAGTCATCATGAGGAAGTGCCGAGCAATCCCAAGGTTCTCTCCTCAATAAAAAAGACAAATAGAAAAGCCAAAGTGAAACTGTTTTGTTCAGTGCAAGTTGTCCCAAACAAATCTGCTAATCTTTTTTAACATAAAACTTTCTCTAATGTATGTGTGTTATGAAGCAAATACACCTTAATAAAAGGTGTAGGGTATTGTAAAAATATTTTTGATCAGTTTTATGCAAGGATAATGAAGGAATTTAGTGTTGGAAAATATAACACTTACTAATTTGGAACACTCCGTGTCAGGGATGAAGCATGATTGGATGTAATGTAATGCTCTGCTCTTTCCTATTGCATTGCAGCCCCATTATACCACGCTCAAATTCAGTTATAACACGGTAGCACTATGGACCCCATTCATCATGCACTGGGTGCTTTCTGCATAACAGCCTCCAATTCACACTCTCTCAGTGAAACAACCAATACTTGCTAAATTTATGGGAGGGTTCGCGTTGTGAGTCCACATCCATTGAGAATCATGTAGATAAATCCCCAAACATTTCACAATAGAGCTTTTAAAGCCTTTAATATCTATGATCAGCGTTCAAAAAAAACCAAAAGGAATTTTGACTCTGCAGAGAAATCATATTTACCTCAATGCAACGTAGAGGAGAAGGGATTACTTTGTTCTTGAGTTTGGTGTTATCTATCAGCAACAATCCTAAGTTTTTCTTCTGCTTAATGCTCACTGCATCATGGTGCTGCTGATGGTACTTTTCCAATGACTCCGCAAAATAACTAACATCTGAATAACAGGAAAGAGCAGACTTTGGTTTTAGAATCTGATAGTGCACTTCACAACTGAATTACATCTTTCATAATAATATTCTGTGCCATAAAAAATGTAAGGAAACCTTTTCTGATACAAAAAAACAATCTATTGAAACTTGAAACCATGGAACCCATTCATTTAAAATTAATCAGACTTGACAGTTCCCAATTGTAAAATCAGTTATCAATGCTTTTTCAATTTTCTCCAAATCAAGGAAAATAAATTCCCATCATCAAACATTTTTAATATATTTGCTATTCTTTTCAACTAAAAAATGGCCAATTTCCAGATCATAAGGGTCACAACATCAACAACAAAATTGATTTGTATAGGGCCTTTCACGTCGGGAGGACATCCCAAGGCGCTGGACTGACAGAGTCACAGACCCGAGCTGGAGGTCGGGTGGGGGAGGGTGGAGGGCATTGGGGGGAAGCAGGGAGATCAAAAGCACGGTTGAAGAGGAGGGTCTTGAGGTGGATTTTGAAGGTGGCGAGGGAGGGGGCGACAAAGAGGGACTGCAGGATGGAGTTCCAAAGGGTGGGTGAAGAGTGGCAGAAGGACCACCCGCCAATAGTGGGGCGAGCAAGGTAGGGGACGTGAAGCAAGCCGGAGCCCGCTGAGCGGAGGGAGCGAACAGGGAGGTAGGGGTTTAGGAGGTCAGAGAGTTTGGGGGGAGCAAGATCCTGGAGGGAATTGAAGCTGAGGACCAGGATCTTGAACTGGATCTTCTGTGTGATGGGAAGCCAGTGGAGTTGGGCAAGGATGGGGAGCCTAGTGTGGGAGAGGATACAGGCTGCAGAGTTATGGATGATCTGCAGCCTGTGGACGGAGAAATTGGGGAGGCCGACAAGCAATGAGTTTGCATAGTCGAGCCTTGATGTAATGAAGGCACGTATGAGGGTTTCGGTGGACTGCGGTGTGAGACGGTATCAGAGCCAGGCGACGTTGCGGAAGTGGGGGAAGGCAGAGCGGGTCATGGCACAGATGTGGGGTAGAAAGGACAGTTGAGACTCAATCAAGGCCCCGGGTTCTGGACTGGCTAAGCAAGGTGGAGTGTGCAACCATGGATGGTGATGCTGTCAGCGCCTGAGGTGATGTCTGACAGACATTCTGTCAGGACAACAGTGGTCCTGGAGTCAAGGGTGGAGGCAGAGAGGTACAGTTGGGTGTCATCCACGTACATGTGGAAGTTGACCCCATGTCTGCGGATGATGTCACCAGGAGGGAGCATATAGATATTGAAGAGGGGACCAAGGACAGAGCCCTGAGGAATGCCACAGGAGACAGTCTAGGGGTTAGAGGAGAAGTCATTTGAGGAGCTGAAGTGCAGGCGGTGTGAGAGGTACGATCGGAACCAGTCAAGGACAGCGCCGTGGAGGTTAAGGTGAGAGGAGAGGCGGTGGATGAGGATAGAGTGGTCAACAGTGTCGAAAGCAGCAGAGAGGTCAAGGAGGACGAGGAGGCAGAGGGAGCCCTGGTCGCAGATGAACAGAATGTCATTTGTCACTTTAACCAGGGCTGCTTCTGTGCTGTGGGCGGCATGACAGCCCGATTGGAGGGGTTCGAGAAGGGAGTGGCGGAAACTAACGTCACGTCCTGTACAGCACTATATGTAGTTCGTATTCACAGCCTACAACCATGGTGATTTTACAATCTGGAAGTTGGTCAATTTTGTTTTCAAAAAGATCCCTAAAAATGTAAATATTGTAACAAAAGGTAAAATAAACATCGATATTATCAAATATCTAATATTATCAAATTTAAAAGCAAAACAAAAAGTAGATATGTTGAAAGTGGAAGTGAATTAAAAGAGTACAGAAATATGAAAAATAAAGGAATAAGAGAATTTAAGAATAAGGAAGAACATTCATAATATCCAACAGAAAATGAAGGTCAGACCTGAAAAAAAACAATAGAACCACAGAAATTTACAGCGCGGAAAGAAGCCATTCAGCCCATCATACCATCATGAGTCAGATATTTTATCTCTATATTCCCACTATTCAAACCAAACCTTCTCCCCTCTGCAGTCATTCTAATGACCTGCAGCACATAAATCATTGCATCCAGTGTGGAAGCAACTGTATCAGGTTATAGTATACTGAAAGCATGTGCTGTCGACACTCAAATTTTGTGTCTACATTTCACAAACGTACCATGTTCATCGCTTTTGAAAATTTCTAAATCAAGACTTTCATTTTCATTATAGAAAATCCGAAAAACTTCAAATATTTCTCCAAACATATTTGCCGCTTCAAATCCTATGTTAATACATTCCTGAAAAACAAAAACAAAACCTGTGTATTACATGTGAAGATATAAAAAAAAGGTTTCTCGCCTTCAGAATAAAGGCATGTAAACTCTTTTTTAGGGTTTGTTTATGTCTTATCTTGTGAAAAAAAAATGCCTTCAGTTCAACACAAAACAAGTCCATCACTGCAGTCACCACACTTTATTATTAAATAGGTATTATTCTTTTTAAATAGTATTGAATAGGTCATTAATAATAATAAAAAAAGGAAATTAACTGCAACAACATCAAGACTCAGACAGGATCCCAGGCACTTGACTCCTGTTGAAAGAAAGCACTCGGGTGAGGAAAGTCTGATAAAATAGCATATTGGGCTCACTGTGAAGCCTGATATTTGAATTGTGGCCATTTGGGCAAGGTACATGTAAACAGGCACCTGTGGAACCATATTCCAAAAAAATAGTCAAATGCCTTCAGAAACAGGGAGAATTTGGCAAAAAAATCAAACCAATGTTAGTAATAGTTAACCTTATGGTGTCATAGACAAGTCTGCCCAACTCAGTAAGTGGTATTTCATCCTGAATCAGAAGGTTGTGGGTTTGAACCCCATGTTGGTATTTTTAGGCTGAAACTTCAATACAGTAGTCAGAGAGAGCTGCATTGTTGAAGATTCCATCTGTCAGATGATATGTTAAACTTATCTGCTGGTTCAGGGACACTTTAAATATCCCTTAACACTATTCAAAAGGAGAAGGGTGTTTCTCCCAGTATTCCAGCACAATCTCCCAGATAAAGTTTGTCATTCACTTAATGGTTACTTGTGCAACATTGCTGAGAGTTGACAGACTACCACTTTCACCTATAAATTACACAGTCACCATCCTTTAAATTAAAAATGCCGAGAAGTGCTTTGAGATGTCCAAAAACATGAAAGACAGACACCATTGCAAATGCAAGAATTATTATTTTTTTCTCACCTGGCTGGCGGTTTTACAAACTAGAAAACTACAACAACAACAAATTATATTTGTATAGCGTGTTTCACGTCAGGAGGATGTCCCAAGCCGATGATGTTAATCTTTACATTTCTGGCACTTAACTGGCCTCAAAGGGCTGTTGACGCTCAGTCCTTGAACATTTTCAAGACTGAGATAGATTTCTTATTGCAAAAGGGATTAAGGGATATGGGGATAAGGCAGGGTTAGGTTATTAGCTGGAGTTAGATTAGAAGATCAGCCATGATTGAATGGCGGGACAGGCTCGAAGGGCCGAATGGTCTACTCCTGCTCCTACATGTTGTTAGGAGCTGGTTAACTGGAAGTCAATTTTCATGATCAAAAAGGTAAGAAGGGTAGAACTGCATAGTTATTGAGACCAACTGAAAAGGAAACCAAAAGCACAAAGTATTTCATGCATCTTGAAATAAAAATATAAACTTTAATGTTTAAACTTCCGGTAAATATCGCTCCTTCCACTTGATTTTACTGAGCATGCACGAGACGACACCAAACAGCAAATACTCTCAAATCCCTGCATTATGTTCTAACTGTAAACTAAAAAATATTGTGGTAGCCAATCATATTGGGAGAATAATCCTAAATATTTGGTTTACAAAGATAAGACCTTGATGCCTTCACGGATGGATTTTGTTATTGCAATTGAATAACTAATGGATAACTTCCAGTGTTTACAACAGGATTTGTAAAAGATAAACCATACCATTATCTTTTGGATGATTTTCTGCAAATGCGTGTCATCTTCTAGAATAAAAACTAGCTTCGGTCCCTCACCATACATCTTTTCTTCAATCTTGTGGTTGATAACTGGACGAGTGTAGGGATTAAAATGTCCATCCGAAACTAGATTAGCCACAGAGAGCACAACATCCTGCAGTTGCTGAACAGCTTCAGTAATCCCATACTAGCAGAAAAGACATCACATAAATCACTTTATTTCATTTACCATGGATTCATATTATACTGGCATTACTGTGACAAAATCAAAATCCTACAACTAGCCATTCTTTTTTCTCCCTGACCAACACAATTCCTTGCCAAATCAGGGCCAAATTCAGGGCATTCAGGCCAAATTCAAGCCCTAGAATTTTTATTGCATTCATTAAGATTTGTAAGTAAATATTTTCATCAGTTTAATTAAATTATAAACTGTAATAAGTTTATATCATAGCAATAAATTCTATCAAATATCTTACTTGTATGAAACACTGTTAAGTTTCACAATACCTGATCTGAATATCTGAACAGGTATTGTGAAAGGTTCATGACCTAACCAGTAACATTTCCAAATGTCCAACCCCAGGATTCCTCATTTATTTGATCAACTTTGAAATGGTTAAAGTTTGAGTAGACCTATTGGACTTCAACCCTAGAACATACTAGTCCCAAGTCTAGTGCTCAACCAATTCAGCAACCCACAATATTTCTGATAGGAAATCAAAGGTTCATGGTTTAAATTCCTTTTCGTGGTAAATCTACTACTTAATGCCAAGCCATACAGAAGAAAATTCAATTCCTGATTTATTATGAATAAACTGATTTTAGCTAAATGAACAACAATAGGACATGAGTACCTTTTGTTTTGGCTAAGGAAAATAAATCACCAAGTTCCTGATCGTTATTCAGTGACAACAATAACAAATTGCATTCATATATCGTATTTCACATCAGGAGGATGTCCCAAGGTGCTTGACAGTCTAGAGTTTGGGAGTGGTGGAGCCAAGGATGTGGGGGAGGAATGACTGATGGCACAGTCAAAGAATAAAATTGAAAAAGGCAAGGAAAGGGGTGAGGCAAAGAGATTCCGGGTTGGAGTTCCAGAGAGTGGGAGCAGATAGGCTGAAAGCCTGACCACCAATGGAGGGACAGGCAGGGTAGGGCACTGAAGTTGGCGAATACCTGCCAAGGGTAGGAAATGGGCTGGTTGGTAGGGTATTCCCATGTCCCCACATTGCCCTTGGATGTCTGTCAAGCACAGGACAGAGCACTATTGTGATGTCCTCACAGGCAAAAAGCCTGCAAATACTAACTTTAGGATCAAATATTAAAAAAAAGCTATTTGGATAAGGTAGAAGAGTCACTGGTGACCTCAGAAAAAACATTTTTTGTTCAATCTGACACACGTGGAAACCTATCCCCACGCTTAAAAGTCTCTAAACCAAACTACTTCCACATATGTTGTTTGACCATGTTTGATATGTTGTTTAAACGCCCACAGCTTGTAATGAGAGAACGCAAGTAAGGGTTTGGCTATTTGCTCAGATGTAAAAATCCTACCCATTAGGGCTTTGGCTTGCAGTGTTATCTGAAACTGAATGGAAAGAATCACAAATCCCCGTGATTGATCTGCTCCTTCTTATTAATTAGAAAGACTAGCTGAAAATGCCTTGAGTACTGCAGACCTGCCTAACTTAGGTATCCTGGGAATACTGAGACTGCCATAGAGAATCTCATTATTTCTAATCCTCCATTGCCAGCACATTACTGAGAAACTGAGGTAAGGTGCTGCAAAGTTGATTTACCAAAATTAAAAAATGATTAACAAAATTAAAAATTGAGTGTTAGTGACCAACCTCAAAGTCGTCCAATGAAGGATGAAACAGCAATGATTGAGGATTTAAGATAAGCTCTGTAACAAATATTGGCACAGAAATGTCTTCTTCATCCCCCTTAAGTAATAGGGTTTGTGTAGTTGTCTAAGAAAATCAAAAAACAACACAAAAACATTAACATTAAAATAGTTGTAGTCATTTTGCAGGATACACTCACATAAAACAATCAATATTGAAAAGTTCTTAAATAATTGGGTCCGAAATAATGACAGCTTTGATGATAACTTGTTCTCCCCCATCTGTGCTGATATACCTGCACAACTAACAATTCATCAGATAAAATTGGCCATTCAGTACGTGGCTTTTGATGGGACACTGCTGTTTGCATTTACAAATACTGTCACTACAGTAATTCGTATGAAGTGCTTGGAGATGTTTCAACAATGTAATAAGGCACTATATTAACTGCAAGGATTATTATATTATTTCATCTGAAAGGTGGTCAGAATACTAAAATTTATGTCAATTTAAAAAAAATTAACCATGTTTGCTATTAAGTACCCTGTTCTATGTGAAGCATGGACTTTCGGCTAGACCAGAAAGGGGGTTCAACTGTATTGCTCCCATAATAGGTTCATGATATGTTCATGAAAAGTTAAAATGAAAACGCAATCTATAGTACTCTGTGGAGGATATTTTAAAATGAGTGACCTCTGACAGATGTTTGCATTGTATTTACCAATTTCAGTTTCTATAAATATACATAGACCCTTCCTGAATTGGGATTACCTGTTGCCTCGAGCAGAGAGTGCAGAGCAGAGAATAGTAATAATAAACGCCTTATTACATCATTGAGACATTTCAAACGCTTCACAGAATATATTGTAAAGTGAATTGACTGTATATTTGGGGGCAAAACGGGGCAGCCAATTGCACACAGCAGTGTCCCACAAACAGTTGTGGATTGAACGACCAAATTATTATTATTATTTTGAAAGGATTATTAACCCCAGAAAAGTAATCCACCAATCAACTAACAAGTGGGTTCCTACTTACTGCTAGGTAAACAGAGGCGTGTGGAGTAAGGAAACTTGTCCAACATTCACCCTGCCCGGGAACAAACCCTGGTCCTCTCGCTTGCGAGGCGAGTGCTCTAACCACTAAGCTACAGACTCCACAAGGCAGAGAGACTTAGAGAGCAAGATAGCAGGAACGGTGGCTGAAAATTCGCCCATCAATAGTGAGGCAGAGGGGATGGTGGACATGAAGCAATTTCAAGTTTGCAGAGTCACCATATCACGGTCAGCAGAGTATGGTATTCATGAGAAGCATGCTATACAACTGAAATGACATTGAAACCCAGATTAATTAATTGGATAGAATTTCGATGACAAATGCTGGGGGTAATTTAATCACTATTACAAAGGATTTTTTTTTCTTTTAAAGAAAATTGCTTCCCTAATTTCTCTAAGATGTTGCAATTATCAGTATTGACCTTTAGTTCCAACTCAATCTCCTTTTCCTCCTGGGTGCGCCATGTTCTAATGGTAAAGGTATCTGGAATGTGCTTCAGGTGATCCTCCATATAAGTGACCAAAAGTGTGATAGAATTCACTGTAAGGTAGTGCATTATGTTCACCATGAGGTAATCAGCAAGACGGATGAAGCTGAAAAAATAGGAATGAATTTTAGCCTCATTGGTTATGGACATCAAAAAGAGTATTTGTGGAGTATTTATAAAATTATTACTAACCAGGTTAATCTCCTGCAATGAGATCTCTTGTTGGCTTGTCCTGTATAGTTCAATTGATCGGGCAATTCTCCAAATGCCTCAATATTAATATTAGAATATGAAAGACTAATATCTGTAAGACAAAATAGTCACAGAATCAGTTTAATATTTTGACTGGTTCTGTTTTCAAAGTTAAAGACAACAGATGTTTATCCCAATCTCAATGTTACAAGGTTTTTACCAAAATACTATATGTAACAAAATGCAAAATACTATATTTATGAAACATATCCAGAATATTCTTTAAAGAAAACTAAAGAAAATAAACAAAGTTGCAACTGGCAAAATGTGTTTATTTTCAGTATACAGCTGAACCCTATTATAATGCACCCAGTATAGATCAGTTTTTAGTGTAGTCGCATTGTAATCCATGGTATATTGGAAGCATAGAACACTGACTGGCCAATTCTTACTGCACATAGCACCTAACTTCATTGCACAGCATGCAGGAAGCAACATCAACAGCACTTCCAGTTCAAAACACACGTGCGCAAAACACAGGAAGTGATATCAACAACAAGTTGCATTTATATAGGGCCCTCTATGCCGGGAGGCGTCTCAGGGAGCTTAACAATGGCGGAGCCCGAGGCCGAGCCAAGGGGAGGGGGAAGGTGACCGTATGCGTGACATCAACAGCATCCATTCAATAATAAGCCTTGTTATACTACAGGATATGATTTTATGAACTCAAAGCACCATGGGATTAAAGTTTATTTGTTTCTAATGAAGGGAAAACACAAGGTTCAAACTTAGATAATTATGCAGACATTTTCCTTTACTTTCCAGGCAATGATTTAAGTACCTGATTCCTTCAGTTCATCACGGAGCTGATCAGGTGTAAATCCAGCTTCTGTTAAGGCCGTCTTACATGCCTCACTTACAATCCCTTTTGTAATTTCTCTGAAGTTAGTCAGATCACTAGAGGCCTGCAGAAACAAAACAATATACACTTTTTGGGGGATTCTACAGTGAATTTCATCAGATATTAAGCATCATCTATTCTACAGCAAAAACTGCTTCATAGCTATATTTCAAACTTTCAAGACTAATTGGTAGTGAACAAAATTCTTCACCTTAAATAAACAATTAAAAAAAAATAACATTTCCTTCCTCAAAAGTGAAGATATTTATTTTTAGGTGGAGTCCTGTAGCTCAGTGGTTAGAGCACTCGCCTCTCAAGCGAGAAACCTGAGTTGGGCAAGTTTCCTTACTCGGCACACCTCTGCTTACCTAGCAGTAAGTAGGAACCTGGTGGTTAGTCGATCGGCAGATCACTTTTCCAAGGGTAATAATTCCTTAAAAAAATTGGTCACTCAATCCACTAGTTTGTGGGACACTGCCGTGCTCAATTGGCTGCCACATTTCGCCCACAAATTGTATAATCAATTCACTTTATAGTATATTCTTTGAAGCTCTTTGAGATGTCTCAAAGACGTGATAACTCGCTATAACAAATGCGAGGATTATTATTATTATTATTTTATTCACAGATTTAACACTTCAAGTTAATGCCTGAGGATTCAATGCAGATATCTCAGCAAATGCCCCTATTGCAATATTTTAACTGGTTTCTCAGGGGTTGGGAAATGAATGTCTCAACTTGATTCAATATTACTTTGTATGGAACTGGAGAGCTTGTTGTAGCTACACAACACACAGACCTCTAAATTGCACGATGAATGACCCATAAAGAATGGAACGCAATCTGGTCAATATTCCTAAAATTTCAATCAGCAATTGTTCGTGAGAAAGACCCCTAAAACTATTACATTTGTTGGGGAGGTGTCAGCAAATATAAGATAAAAGCAAGAAATAAATACAGAGAGACAAAGGGCAGGTCTGTATTTTGAGACAAACACAAATTGAGAGAAAACATAGTGTTTAAAAAGACTTGAGCTCATGTTATTTGAGCTTACTCTGCAAATAGTTCAGCAATTTACCTCTAGTATTGAAAAAAACATCTAACTTGGACAAATGTCTAATATTTCAATTAGTCAAAATATCAGCAATCTCTCAAATGATAAACATTATCATTTGGAAGATTGCTGATATTTTGACAAATTGACTTTGATATCAGGGTCTATTATTTGCACCAGTGAAAGCTCACTGGAAGCCAATATTTCAGCATAATTAAATGAATTAGTTGTCTCTGAAGTGGCTAAGGCCATTTGAAATAGCAAAATAAGGAAATGAATTTGTGCCACTCCCCCGCCTCCACCAAACCACCACATTTGGGTGTTGGTTTAACACTTTAGTATTATAATTGGAAAATGAACAACAGCCAAAGAATAGTATTTCAAAAAAAGCATTTCAAATGAAATTTACATTACCTCTTCAAGCTTTTCATATTGCACTCTCTTAAACTCGTGTAAGGTGTAGGTGTGTCCTTTTTCAATTTTACACAGTGACAAATCACCAATGTGATAACACACATTTTGAATTTGTAGAAGAGCAGGACGCAATGACTTTATGGTAAAACAAAATCAAGATAGTTCACTTTAAGTAACATCACCTAAAACATTTACATTGATATTTATTTCATACAATTTAAACATTATGGTTTGAAAAAGTGTGATTTTCCTAGCAATAATTAATATATTGAATCAGTTAAGAAATAGCAGAATCTTAGTCAACAATGATCTAGTTTTGTGTCCGAACACATTCCCCCACCCCACCAAACAAGCAGCAGAAAGTTTGCCAGACAGCAATTTCAATAGCAAGCAATGCAGTTTTAGCTGGTTAAATTCTAGCATACCCCAAAGTAGTCTCTGGGGTCCCGAAGCCTTGGCTCTTGCTAATCTGCACCTAATACTTTCCAGAATTAGGTAAGCAAGATGCTTCCCTCCAGGGAGAGTGTGCATTCCATTCCACCAATATATCTACAAGGTTTAGGAACTCCAGAATGTGAGTTGGGATTTAACCAGCTAAATACTCACTTGCCCAGTGAGGACTAATCTACCTATTAGGGCTTTGCTTTGTAGGGTTAACAGAGCTGAGTGGGAAGAATCCCTGCTTCTAGTGACCAGTCTGCCCTTCCAGCTCCTGCTGATGCGTTAAACTGCAGGTCTGTCATCAACAATGTCAATGCAGACCCACCTGGCTCAGGAACTGGACTTCCAAGAACATCATGAGGATTGAATTGATTCTGACATTCTGTTGCCAGTTCAACTCCAAGTAGACCCCCGGTTACCTCTCCCCCAATGGTCCCCATTTGGTCATTTAACATCCAACAAACACAGGTTTGAGCCCTCACTAACGAGTGATAGCAAGTTCCAGGAACTCCCTGCAACCTTCCTGACGGGCAGGAGGGGGTGAAATTGTGTGCCATATTTAACACATGACTGAATAGTGAAGCAGTTAATCCCTAAGTTCATTTTTCAAGTGGATTTTGCAAAAGGATGTGTAATCTTGGCTAAGTTACAATCTTTCAGAATTCAGCCTGAGAATATATCAATAAATCCCCTTTAAATTACAACTTGCCAACTCCAGCATAAACATGGGTTTGCATTATATTTGTGTCTGATGCATTGCATCTCAATTATTACAGCTAATTCAGGAACACTACATAAATGTATACTCACTGGGTTCAGTATAAAGAGATTTTCCTGCAGTGCTTTGCGACATAGATTAATCTTCATGGTAATCACATTCTTCCGCCAAACTGTAAAGGCCTTCCATTTGCGAAAACGTGAAAATACCGGAATAAGAGTAAGTTGCTTATGATACAGATATTCTTGTTCCCAGCGATCTAATTCTATGAACTCAATGTCTCCATCCCACATATGCATAACTCCATGATGGCTAATGGTATAGTAGTCATTCTTGTTGATGTCTTCATATGTTACAACACTGCAATATATACATAAAATATTAACAATTCAGTTTGGTGATCTTGGTCACTGATGATTTGAAAGATATGAATTATCTTCCTTATTATTATGTTTGAGACAAACGTTAGAGCATGTATTTACAAAATCAAACACTTTTAAAATGAAATACCACACCTCAAATTATAAGAATCAAAATTAATTGAAGCTTTGGGAGAGGTATAATTCATGTACAAAAATCCTAGGTGCTTGTTCTCCCGAATTATTGCAATAATTTTCAGAACATCTGTTATTTCCTCCCTGATAACAGCATCTGCTGAGCTGTATTCCAATTCTGCAGGCAAACTCATTCTCATGCAGGAACTTGTCCTACACAATTCAAGGGGATGTTGTTTTGGTGGAGATGGAGACGATATTCTTCTTGTGTCCAGCTCAATCTGTATAGAGTATTTTAACATTAAAAAGCGTTGATGAGTTTAACTGGAAACATCACATGCTTTCCCTCCCATCATATGTTACCGATTTGTAAACACATTACATTCCTTTAAACCGACCTAGGAGGTGCAATTTATTATTAACTTATAAATTCTAGGTTCAAACCACAATCTATTTTCTGATCTTGTCAGACATTTTAACCTTTATTTGGGGTCAGTGTTAATACATTTAACTCACTAAATGTATGTGGTTAGGTCACATGAAACCAACCACCTGCTCCCTTAACCCCATCCCTACCCCTCTCCTTACCTCCCAGCTCCACCTCCTTGCCCCTCTACTCACAGACATCATAAACCACTCCCTGTCCACTGGCACCTTTCCCACCCCTTTAAAAACAGCCGTCATCACTTCTATTCCTTAAAAAGCCCTCCTTGGACCTATCCCTGCTCTCAAACTACCACCCCATCTCCAACCTTTTCAAGGTCCTGGAATGAGTCATTCAAGCTTCGCTCCTTCCTCTCCCCCCACTCCCTTCACGAACTCCTCCAATCGTGTTTCTGTGTCGCCCACAGCACAGAAACAGTTTTGGTCAAAGTCACAAAGGACATTTTGTCTATCTGCGACCAGGGATCCCTCTGCCTCCTCATCCTCCTTGACCTCTCTGTTACGTTCAATCCCTTTGAACACTCAATCCTTCTCCATCGCCTCTTCTCTCACCTCAACCTTCATTGTGCTGTCCTTGAATGGTTCAGATCCTACCTCTCACACATTCTCCACTTCATTTCGACAAACGGTTTCTCCTCTAGCCCCCGCACCATCTTGTGCGGTGTTCCTCAGGGTTCTGTCCTTGATTCCCTCCTCTTCAACATCTATATGCTCCCTCTTAGTGACATCATCTATAGACATGGGGTCAACTTCCACATATATGCGGATGACACCCAACATCACCCGGCTCCGCCACTGTCTCACACTGCAGTCCGCCGAGACCCCTTATATACGCATTCATAACATTCGGCTTGACTATACAAACACATTGCTTGTTTCTCCCCAACTCCTCCCTCCATAGGCTGCAATCATCCAGAATTCTGCAGCTCGTGTCTTTTCCCATACAGGCTCCGTGATCCTATCACCCCCATCATCGCCTGACTCCATTAGCTTCCCATCACACAGAGGATACAGTTCAAGATCCTGGTCCTCACCTTCAAAGCTCTCCATGGCCTTCCTCCCCCCTACCTCTGTGACCTCCTAACCCCCTACCAACCTGCACACTCCCTCCGCTCAGCCCGCTCCGGCCTGCTTCACGTCCCCCATCTCGCCAGCCCCACCATTGGCGGGCGGGCCTTCAGCCACTCTGCCCCACCCTCTGGAACTCCATCCCACAGTCCCTACAGTTCACCTACAAATGCAGTCACTACACAATACAATACAAAACTACATTTGTATTACGCCTTTCAAGTTGGGAACGTCCCAAGGCGATGGACATAGAATTAGTAATAATTCTGTGAAGCGCTTTGAGATGTTTTGATGACCTGATAAGGCGCTATATCAAGGATTACTATTGTTTTATTATTGGTATCCGTGACATCTTTCTGTAGAGAAAGAAAAAGGAAATCAGAGTGCATATTTTTACCTGCGCAATCCTGCCAAACTAATACAGTTGGCAGGAGCAGAATAAGCCAACTAACTACCCTCGCAGTAGCAAAGCAGTGAGGACCAAACAAATCTAAGGCAAGAGGTTGAAAATATCTAATTAAATATATATAATCGTGGAGTTCTGTAGCTCAGTGGTTAGAGCACTCGCTTTGCAAGTAAGACACCTGGGTTCAATTCCAGACAGGGCGAAACCTTGGCCAAATTTCCTTACTCCACACGCCTAATAATAATCCCTCCAAAACAAAACAATAATAAATTGGTCATTTTCAATCCACGACTGTTTGTGGGACATTGCTGTGCGCAATTGGCTGCCGTGTTTCGCCCACAAATATACAGTCAATTCACTTTACAGTCTATTCTGTGAAGCGCTTTGAGACGTCGAGAAGACGTGAAAAGCGGTATATCAAATGCAAGTATTATTATTAATATTATAATATAGCTCTGTTCAAACCTGCTTCTTCTTTAAGTCAGCTGGGAGCTCTGGTAACCACTGATGTGTTGAGATGTCTTCTGCTGTAGAAGGCAGTGAGCATTTTGGTGGCGGACTAGGAATGCCCCATCCTGCTCTTATCAATTGATCTTTACTCTTTTCGTAGAGTTGTCCTGACTTACCGAGGTCTTGCTTTTTCTTCAGGACAGGCTGTAGTTACAGAGCAGTTAAGAGTGTTTTCTCTGATATGAAAATAGATGCACCAACACATCGTAATACAGAAACAGTGACTGTAGAACAATACACGATAAATAGATTGTGTTGTAATATTTACTCAAAATTTTGATTGTGAATCAAATCTACTGTCAAAGAAATCAACTAAAAACAGATATGAATAAATAATAATAAATAAGCCAGAATCCTGACAAATTTCCACTGTTGAACCCAGAGTTGCTCTGACTAAATATAAAATTCCTAATGTCATCCCATCTGCCTCACCCTGCACAGACTGTGGATCAAAGCAAGGAACTACCACTTTACATAACTGAACTATTCACTTGATGAACTTCCCAAGGCAAAAGATAAATAACTATAAACTAAACAGTGGATAAACTATCCAAACAAACTTCTGTTTTGTAACTTGCTGGCCATCTATGATTTTACATTACATACAATCACTTTTATTTTTCATTAGCCCATTTCCATATTTCTTCTATCTATAATGTAGCATTCATTGTGTTGTTATACAGACAATCACCTTGTTGAATGTGTGCAAAATCCTGATACAAACATATTCTACACAATAGACAAAGCGATGCAAGTCGTTACCCTGTTTTAATTGTGTTCCGAACACAGCGAGTTATATGCTGTTGTACTTGTGCTTTGTTGAGAACCATTATCGTCCATTGTGACCAACTGTATATAAAATATGTTGTCATCAGCCATGACATCTTATAAGTAGCTTCGCAAGTGTCACTGACCAGCTGTGAGAGAAATTATGTGTCACATGTGGAGAAATTTATGATAATAAGCCTTGGGTGACCAGGGCACAACTAATTTTAAATGAATAATTTTGTAATTATTGTACTTAGAATATCATAATTTGCTATGTGTTGCTATTTGTGCTGTCCTAGCTCTTGTATTTATTTGCCTAGAATTGTCATATGATATCTTTAAATACAATACAAAGCTGATGTTTGAAATGCATAAATGGCATAAGACAATATATTGTTACCTACCAAAGGTTCCAATTTTACAGCTTGCTCCCTTTTAATTCTTTTTTCTTGTGCTCTTGTGTGTTGTTTAAAGTGGAGGGTGTTAGGAGTTGGACTGATCTGATTTGGTGCTTTATTGATCAATCTATCTTTCAAGTCAGCAGGGTCAATGTCTGTATTTGGAATGGTAAACTGATCTCTACCCCAACTTCTTTTCCTACTAGGATGTTCAAAACAGGCAGAAGTCTTGCTGCTGGACATTTTGAACTGAAAAAGATGTTCAAATTAAAGAATAGTGTAAAACAGTAACTGCAAACAATAGCACAAAATGTGTTCACTTTATTGAACCATCATGGAATGCGACAACACAGAAAGAGATTAGCCCATCCAGTCTGCATTTGTTTTTCTCCATAATCCCCATAACCTTTTAATAAACCTCCCTTTCAAGCATCTTTCAAAAAAACTCAGTTTAAATTCATCTATTACCTTTAATTTACAAATTGAAATGTAATCAAATCTAACTCCTAATGATTTTGTTTTACAAAAACGAGAGTTTTTTTTACCATATTTAGGATAATCAAAATAATGTTCTAATCAGTTGTTTCAAACTCTTATTTACCATTTATAAAATCCAAAGAATTAAAAACTCTGCCACCTGTATCCTCATACATACTAAACTATATTATATAAATTATAAATTTATATATTATATGAATATAAGTTATACGTATATATATATATATATGTAAATATATATTTGCTGTATCTACCATCCTGTTCTCTCTATTTATTTGCCTACCATCCTGTTCGCTCCCCCGACTCAGCGGGCTCTGGCCTTGCTCGCCCCACTATTGTCGGGCGGGCCTTCCGCTACTCTGCACCCACCCTCTGGAACTCCATCCCACAGTCCCTCCATCTCGCCCCCTCCCTCACCACCTTCAAGACCCATCTCATCGATCGTGCTTTCAATCTCCCTGCTTCCCCCCCTGCCCTCCCCCACCACGATCCTCAGCTCGGGTCTGAAGCTCTGTCTGTCCAGCGCCTTGGGAACGTCCTCCCGACGTGAAAGGCACTATACAAATATAATTTTGTTGTTGTTGTATCAAATCAAAGATTATTATTATAAACTCCAGAACCCCAGCACCCCAATCCTTACCAGTTTCCACTTACCCCCCAAATGCAGAACAGATCGATTTCAAGATCCTCACTCTAATCTACAAATCACATCATGCCCTGGCACCCTTCGCTCAGCTGCCTCCACCTCCTGCAAGTCCCTCGTCCTCTCCATTCCATGATCAGCAGCCATGTTCTCAGCCAATACGTCCCATAGTCTGGAACTCTCTGCCTCAATCCCTCCTTCTTGCCCCTCACCCCACCCCAATGTCCAACTTTAGATGACACCTGAAGAGCTTCCTCTTCAACCATGCTTCTTGTCCCCCCTTTCTCCCTGGCTCGGCATTAAGCTCCACGATTTTAAGACCTCCAAGACCCCACCATATGAAAGGTGCTATGTAAATGCAAGTTGTTGTAGTTGTTTAAAACAACGGCCAGCACACTTAGCTTGCACAATCTACCACCAGCGATGATTTATATATCACCTTTGTTGATTTTGATGACATAGCTTACAGAAATATTTCTGAAGGGCTTGGTCGTATCCACACAAAAAAATCTATGAAAACTATTTTCATTAAACATGATTAAAACAGTTTTTAAGTAGATGTGTTACAATACAAGTTGTTCAAAAATAGTTATCCAAACTCGTGTTCCTTATTCCTGAATGCTCTCTGTGAAGCACTCTGTTTACAATTATACAATTATACAAGTCAGCAAAAGCACAGCCATGGATACAGGGGAGCTTTCAATTAGCGCTCTCCATCTGAACCACACCAAGTTGTGTCTCAGCACCCAAAACTCTGCAGATAGATGTTCACCAAGAATTCAACAAAAAAATAATATGCAAATATCCAGGGAATTGGCTGTCAGCTAGGAGCTGTCAGTCACACAGAGAGTGGGTGGGACAAGCTCCCAGATAAGCTGACAGAACATAGGGGGTCCTGGAGTCTCAGCTGGAGGTGAAATAGATTTGTGTGTCATCCACATACATGTGGAAGTTGATCCCGTGTCTGCTGATGACATCATCAAGAGGAAGCATATAGATGAGGAAGAGGTGGGGGCCAAGGATGGAGCCCTGGGGTACTCCGCAGCTGACTGGATGAGGACGGGATGAGAAACTGTTTCAGGAGACAGAGTGAAAGTCAGATTGTTACTCTCCTCTCCCCACCTGCCCGCTCTCCTCTCCTTTGCCACCTGCCCGCTCTCCTCTCCCCACCTGCCCGCTCTCCTCTCCTCTCCCCACCTGCCCGCTCTCCTCTCCTCTGCCATCTGACCGCTCTCCTCTCCTCTGCCACCTGCCCGCTCTCTCCTCTGCCACCTGCCCGCTCTCCTCTCCTCTGCCACCTGCCCGCTCTCCTCTCCCCACCTGCCCGCTCTCCTCTCCTCTCCCCACCTGCCCGCTCTCCTCTCCTCTGCCACCTGCCCGCTCTCCTCTCCTCTGCCATCTGCCCGCTCTCCTCTCCCCACCTGCCCGCTCTCCTCTCCTCTCCCCACCTGCCCGCTCTCCTCTCCTCTGCCATCTGACCGCTCTCCTCTCCTCTCCCCACCTGCCCGCTCTCCTCTCCTTTGCCATCTGCCCGCTCTCCTCTCCTCTGCCACCTGCCCACTCTCCTCTCCCCACCTGCCCGTTCTCCTCTCCTCTGCCATCTGCCCGCTCTCCTCTCCCCACCTGCCCGCTCTCCTTTCCCCACCTGCCCGCTCTCCTCTCCTCTGCCACCTGCCCGCTCTCCTCTCCTCTGCCACCTGCCCGCTCTCCTCTCCTCTGCCATCTGCCCGCTCTCCTCTCCTCTGCCACCTGCCCACTCTCCTCTCCCCACCTGCCCGCTCTCCTCTCCTCCCACCTGCCCACTCTCCTCTCCCCACCTGCCCGCTCTCCTCTCCTCTGCCACCTGCCCACTCTCCTCTCCCCACCTGCCCGCTCTCCTCTCCCCACCTGCCCGCTCTCCTCTCCTCTGCCATCTGCCCACTCTCCTCTCCTCTGCCATCTGCCCGCTCTCCTCTCCTCTGCCCACCTGCCCGCTCTCCTCTCCCCACCTGCCCACTGTCCTCTCCTCTGCCACCTGCCCACTCTCCTCTCCTCTGCCATCTGCCCGCTCTCCTTTCCTCTGCCACCTGCCCACTCTCCTCTCCCCACCTGCCCGTTCTCCTCTCCCCACCTGCCCACTCTCCTCTCCCCACCTGCCCGCTCTCCTCTCCTCTGCCACCTGCCCACTCTCCTCTCCCCACCTGCCCGCTCTCCTCTCCTCTGCCACCTGCCCGCTCTCCTCTCCCCACCTGCCCGCTGTCCTCTCCTCTGCCACCTCCCCGCTCTCCTCTCCCCACCTGCCCGCTGTCCTCTCCTCTGCCACCTGCCCGCTCTCCTCTCCTGTCATCTGCCCGGTCTCCTCTCCTGTCACCTGCCCGCTCTCCTCTCCTCTGCCACCTCCCCGCTCTCCTCTCCCCACCTGCCCACTCTCCTCTCCTCTGCCATCTGCCCGCTCTCCTCTCCTCTGCCATCTGCCCGCTCTCCTCTCCTCTGCCATCTGCCCGCTCTCCTCTCCTCTGCCACCTGCCCACTCTCCTCTCCCCACCTGCCCGCTCTCCTCTCCTCTGCCACCTGCCCACTCTCCTCTCCCCATCTGCCCGCTCTCCTCTCCTCTGCCACCTGCCCACTCTCCTCTCCCCACCTGCCCGCTCTCCTCTCCTCTGCCATCTGCCCGCTCTCCTCTCCTCTGCCACCTGCCCGCTCTCCTCTCCTCTACCCACCTGCCCGTTCTCCTCTCCCCACCTGCCCACTCTCCTCTCCCCACCTGCCCGCTCTCCTCTCCTCTGCCATCTGCCCGCTCTCCTCTCCTCTGCCATCTGCCCGCTCTCCTCTCCTCTCCCCACCTGCCCGCTCTCCTCTCCTCTCCCCACCTGCCCACTCTCCTCTCCTCTCCCCACCTGCCCACTCTCCTCTCCTCTCCCCATCTGCCCGCTCTCCTCTCCCCATCTGCCCGCTCTCCTCTCCTCTCCCCACCTGCCCACTCTCCTCTCCTCTCCCCACCTGCCCGCTCTCCTCTCCCCACCTGCCCGCTCTCCTCTCCTCTCCCCACCTGCCCGCTCTCCTCTCCTCTCCTCCAAGAATTCAACCCAAAAATATTAATATATGTAAATATGGTGAATCTGGGAGCCAGCGGTCAGGCCCAGGGGCTGTGGGTCTCACCCAGAGAGAGAGGGTGAGGGGCCGGGATCAGGGGCTGGGATCAAGCCTCTCCTACCTGCCTGCTCGCCTTTGCTCAAATTAGCATAATTTCACAACTATTATCACAAATGAATGTACCTGCTCGGCTCTGCTCGGCTCTGCTCAGCCCCCCTGCTCGGCTCTGCTCGGCTCTGCTCAGCCCCCCTGCTCGGCTCTGCTCGGCTCTGCTCAGCCCCCCTGCTCGGCTCTGCTCGGCTCTGCTCAGCCCCCTGCTCGGCTCTGCTCGGCTCTGCTCAGCCCCCTGCTCGGCTCTGCTCGGCTCTGCTCAGCCCCCCTGCTCGGCTCTGCTCGGCTCTGCTCAGCCCCCCTGCTCGGCTCTGCTCGGCTCTGCTCAGCCCCCCTGCTCGGCTCTGCTCGGCTCTGCTCAGCCCCCCTGCTCGGCTCTGCTCGGCTCTGCTCAGCCCCCCTGCTCGGCTCTGCTCGGCTCTGCTCAGCCCCCTGCTCGGCTCTGCTCGGCTCTGCTCAGCCCCCTGCTCGGCTCTGCTCGGCTCTGCTCAGCCCCCCTGCTCAGCTCTGCTCGGCTCTGCTCAGCCCCCCTGCCCGGCTCTGCTCGGCTCTGCTCAGCCCCCCTGCTCGGCTCTGCTCGGCTCTGCTCAGCCCCCCTGCTCGGCCCCCCTGCCCTGCTCCCCTGCTCGGCCCCCTGCTCGGCTCTGCTCAGCCCCCCTGCTCGGCCCCCCTGCCCTGCTCCCCTGCTCGGCCCCCCTGCTCGGCCCCCCTACTCAGCTCTGCTCGGCCCCCCTGCCGGCTCTGCCCGGCTCTGATCGCCCCCCCTGCCGGCCCCCTGCCCAGCCTGCCCGGCCCCCCTGCCCAGCCCTGCCCGGCCCTGCTCTGCCCCCCTGCCCGGCCCCCTGCCCGGCCCTGCCCGGCCCCCCTGCCCGGCCCTGCCCGGCCCCCCTGCCCAGCCCTGCCCGGCCCCCTGCCCAGCCCTGCCCGGCCCTGCTCTGCCCCCCTGCCCGGCCCCCCTGCCCGGCCCTGCCCGGCCCCCCTGCCCGGCCCTGCTCGGCCCCTCTGCTCGGCTCGGCTCGGCTCTGCGCGGCTGTCGCAGTTCACCGTCTCTGTGTTGCTGTCTCCATGACAACGGACGCGCGGCGTCACCCCGGCCCAGACCCCACGTGACTTCCCGCCCTCCCGCCCCTCCCACACCACGTGACATTCCCGTTTATTTCAGGGCCGCGGAGCTGAGCCCAGAGTCAGGGTCTGGAGAGCAGAGGGAGGGATTTTGTGCAACCAATCCCACTCCCAATCCCACTCCCACTCCCCATCCCAATCCCACTCCCAATCCCACTCCCCATCCCAATCCCACTCCCACTCCCAATCCCACTCACCATCCCACTCCCCATCCCAATCCCTATCCCAATCCCACTCCCCCTCCCACTCCCACTCCCCATCCCAATCCCACTCCCCCTCCCAATCCCACTCCCCCTCCCAATCCCACTCCCTATCCCAATCCCCATCCCAATCCCACTCCCCATCCCAATCCCACTCCCCTCCAATCCCACTCCCCCTCCCAATCCCACTCCCCCTCCCAATCCCACTCCCCCTCCCAATCCCACTCCCTATCCCAATCCCACTCCCTATCCCACTCCCAATCCCACTCCCCATCCCAATCCCACTCCCCCTCCCAATCCCACTCCCTATCCCAATCCCACTCCCCATCCCAATCCCACTCCCCATCCCACTCCCCTTCCCAATCCCACTCCCCCTCCCAATCCCACTCCCTATCCCAATCCCACTCCCCATCCCAATCCCACTCCCCATCCCAATCCCTATCCCAATCCCACTCCCCATCCCAATCCCACTCCCTATCCCACTCCCAATCCCACTCCCCATCCCAATCCCTCTCCCACTCCCCATCCCAATCCCACTCCTCATCCCAATCCCTCTCCCAATCCCCATCCCAATCCCTCTCCCAATCCCACTCCCCATCCCAATCCCACTCCCCACTCCCCATCCCAATCCCACTCCCCATCCCAATCCCACTCCCACTCCCAATCCCACTCCCCATCCCAATCCCACTCCCCATCCCAATCCCACTCCCTATCCCAATCCCCATCCCACTCCCTATCCCAATCCCACTCCCAATCCCACTCCCACTCCCCATCCCACTCCCAATCCCACTCCCCATCCCACTCCCAATCCCACTCCCCATCCCACTCCCCATCCCAATCCCACTCCCTATCCCACTCCCAATCCCACTCCCCCTCCCAATCCCACTCCCCATCCCAATCCCACTCCCCATCCCAATCCCACTCCCCATCCCACTCCCAATCCCACTCCCCCTCCCAATCCCACTCCCTATCCCAATCCCACTCCCCATCCCACTCCCAATCCCACTCCCCCTCCCAATCCCACTCCCTATCCCAATCCCCATCCCAATCCCACTCCCCATCCCAATCCCACTCCCCCTCCCAATCCCACTCCCCATCCCAATCCCACTCCCCCTCCCAATCCCACTCCCCCTCCCAATCCCACTCCCTATCCCAATCCCACTCCCTATTCCAATCCCACTCCCCATCCCAATCCCACTCCCTATCCCAATCCCACTCCCCATCCCAATCCCACTCCCCATCCCAATCCCACTCCCTATCCCAATCCCACTCCCTATCCCAATCCCACTCCCCATCCCAATCCCACTCCCTATCCCACTCCCAATCCCACTCCCCATCCCAATCCCTCTCCCACTCCCCATCCCAATCCCACTCCCCATCCCAATCCCTCTCCCAATCCCCATCCCAATCCCTCTCCCAATCCCACTCCCCATCCCAATCCCTCTCCCAATCCCACTCCCAATCCCACTCCCCATCCCAATCCCACTCCCCATCCCAATCCCACGCCCCATCCAAAACCCACTCCCAATCCCAAACCCCATCCCAATCCCACTCCCCATCCCACTCCCAATTCCCATCCAACTCCCAAACCCCATCCCATTCCCAATTCCCATCCCACTCCCAATTCCCATCCACTCCCAATTCCCACCTCACTTCCAATTCCCACTCCCAAACCCCATCCCACACCCAATTCCCATCCCACTCCCAAACCCCATCCCACTCCCAAACCCACTCCCCATCTCACTCTCAATCCCAATCTCCATCGAATATCCATCGATATTCGCAGGATTACAATTCCCCATTTATGGGAATGCGCACACTCCCTCCCTCCGACCAGTTTGGCTTATCCTTCCTGAGTATTACTATTTGCCAAGGCTTGGGGATCCTAACGTGTGGGTTAGGGTACTGAGAGAACCGGCTAAACAACAACAACAAAATTACATTTATAAAGCGCCTTTCACGTTGGGAGGACGTCCCAAAGCGCTGAACAGTCGGGTCAGGACCCGAGCATAGGGGAGGGGTGGGGAGGGCTGAGGGAGGGGTGAGGGAAGGCAGAGAGGTGGGAGGGCGACCAAAGGCACAATTGAAGAGAAGGGTCTTGAGTCCGGCCTTGAAGGAGGCAAGGGAGGAAGCGAGGCGAAGGGACTGGGATGGAGTTCCAGAGTGTGGGAGCAGAGAGGCTGAAAGCCCGGCCACCGATGGTAGGGCGGGTCGGGTAGGAGACATGGAGCAGACCAGAGCCCGTTGGAACGGAGGAAACGGGCAGGTTGGTAGGGGCTCAGCAGGTTAGAGAGGTAGGAGGGGGCAAGTGAGGACGAGGGTCTTGAATTCGATCCTCTGGGGGATGGGGAACGAGTGGAGTCGGGTGAGGGTGGGAGTGATGGGGTCACTGAGCCTGGTGCGCGAAGGTGCAGGAGCTGCAGAGTTTTGGATGATTGGGATGAATAACAACAACCACAAAATTACATTTGTAAAGCGCCTTTCACGTCAGGAGGAGGATGTCCTGAATCGTCTCAGAATCTCCCACAACTTGAACCAGAGTCTCCCAAAATGTCCCCTGGAGTCTCACATACGGTGACCCGGAGATATCCAGTATGTAGCCTGGAAATGGAAATCAACAAAAAAACCTATACGTTGAAAAATCATTACATGTAATAATATCTGAACATGATCTAATAACACACAACAAGGTAATCCTATGTCATGGTTCCCTGGATGGGAAGTGTTTTCAGAAAACTGAACCATTTGCTTGTTTTCTTGTTGTCTGTTACTGCTTTACTGGTTGATGTTTGTGGCACTCGGATGAAATTTGACATATCAATGTCTCACTGATAAGCACTGTTTTGTCCAGTTGACAGCAGCGCAATCCTGTTTTAGAAGGTAGTGGTTTTGAGTCCTGTGCCAGGATTTGAGATGAAATTTCGATTAAATTAGATGAATGAGTAGCAGTCATATAAAGTGAATGTCACATTCTGTTGTTTGTTCAAATGTTTTGCACACCAAGATAATATTCCTCCCACATTTAAATCCACTAAAACATTATTTCCAAATACACACTGATAATTGTGGGGCATTTTGATGTGATAATACGATCTTTATATTATGTAAAACATAATGGAAAGATCAATTGCATGTTCTGTTAATTAGAACATACAAGAATAAAAGTAAACAAATTATTGAAATTTGATTTGATTTCATAAATATTTGATTTATCACCAAAGAGCATCTAAATGTGCTCTCTTCATAATAACCAATCACACATGAATCTTCAGGTCTTAATATACGTAATATACAATATAAATTTAAATTTATGTAACGCTTTTCACATCAGGAGGATGTCACAAAGCGCTTAGGAGAACTGCCTGGGCTGCTTAGCTGGGGATGGGAGTTGTGGGAAGGGGAAAATGTGACCGAAAGCTTGAATGGGGTGAGGGAATGAGTCAGCAGAATGGATCATATATTATCTGTCATTTTATGAGTCATATGTTGCATCCATCAAGCTAAGATGGTGTCACGTATATGTTACAGTGGAGTTGCACCTCTTGATTTATGAAGAACTTCAAATGGTTTTGCAATTCACCACAAAATTACTCAAACAGTTCGTGAACATAATTTCATCCCAACCTGTATCACTGCCCAGACAGGTTCTGAGGTACGTTATAACAACAACACAATTACATTTGTATAACGCCTTTCATGTCGGGAGGACGTCCCAAGGCGCTGGACTGACAGAGTTACGGACCCGAGCTGAGGGTCGGTGTGGGGGAAGGGGAGGTTGGGGGGGAAGCACGGTTGAA